GGAAGGATGGAAGGATATATAGAAGAAAATTCTTCAAAAATAGCGTTACACATTTCGTTAAATTTAACGTCTTGGAACATTAGACCTACATATTTTTACTCAGAGATTTTTTTTCGTTATTATACGCCAGAATATTAGATATAGGTTTTAATTCATACTTTTAGAATACATTTTACATAGTCTCTCAACAGACTTTGCAAAGAAATGAAGATATATTAAAGAAGTAAAGATAAAATTTACTTTTTTTTTTGGCCTGAAAATCGCATATTTTGACCATCTCTATCTTTACATCACTGGTCGAACTATTTTACATAAAATAAGATTATATTTATTGCTGTTATAATGTAATATAGTTGCCACTTTGTGCATACTAAGAATTATTTTTAACAAAATTATAATTTTAATACGAAATCTATTGTAACCAAACTAAAAATTAAAGAAAGGATGTCGATATTAAATATAATTAAAAACATAACTTAATATTTGTTAATCAATACAAGTGCATGTAAATAAATTGAAAAAAACAAGCGTGATTCATAGGAAATATTGTAAACATAATGTTGACTAAGCTAAGACCTCGCTTAGTTCATTTCATGTTACGGTTTAAGACATACGTAAGGTGTGCTACGACAGGTCCTAGGAGTGCACCTAAAACATATTTATGACCATACTAAGCCAAAAACTTAACAATCTTTATGTTACGACTCCCAGGTTCCTAGGAGGAGTAAACATCACCTGTCGTCTTGAGGCCTGTGTATTGATTCAGGTAGACCGGATAGTTCGTAGTCAAAATAAGTATAGAAAAAATGGTCTAACAATTTGTATGAAACATGTCAGACACAAAACGACCCAACTATAAGTTGTATTTACAATCAAGGTCACTTATGACGAGCATATTATTTTGCAAAAGCGACTTTAAACGAGGTTGTTGAAATCCCTGTAATATCAAATTAAAAGTGGCCTATCTTAAAATTGATCATACTCAGAACATACTTTTGCGTATACATGTATGTTTGAATAAGATGGTATACATAAACACCATATGTATGTAAAAATGAAATATTTCCACATAAATAAGAGAAGTTGACGAAGGAAAAACTGAAGTCATTCCGCTTGTCATACAGCTTACTTGTTAGTTGACGTTATTGTTTAAAGTCAGTAAACATCAAAAAAATGAAATAGATGTAATAGACCCCGTGGTGTCATTTATTTTGAGTTCACGGGGATATATCGAGTCAACATATAAAAAATTAACTATTGTTAATTTATAAATCGTCCTATATATAAGTGTCGAATTGAAGGTAACAGCAAGGATTTTCTCTTCACATGTAGAATTTTTTTTTATTAATGCTGGATTTTTAATTAATAAGGAATATAAAAATAGGTCGGCTAAAAAGGAGCAAAATTGGTGTATATATATATATATATATATATATATATATATATATATATATATATATATATATATATATATATATATATATATATATATATATATATATATATATAAGGAACACCAGAATCTTTTTATATCAGCTTCAGAGTACTTGTGTGTAGAATTAGAATGATTTCTAACAAAAAAAATCTTGTCGATCTGGTGACCAATCACAAAATTTACATCTTCCATTTTCATTGAGGAAGCAGTTGTATATGATGCTAAAAAAGCCTATTCTTTCATTTTATCAGAGAAATGGTTAAGTAATGTTGAAAAAACATACATTTTGATGCTATTGATTTTTTAACATGCTTTATGTTATTAACATAACAACCAGTCAGAGTAGTGGTTGGGTTCTCGCTTAATTCCTAGGCTCAGTTTCAATTTTCGTTCCCGGCGAACCGGTCACGGTAGCCTAGTATAGTGGTACATGTAGAGCGTTTGCTTCTCGTTCGGCCCGGGTTCGATTCTCGTTCGCCGCGTCGCGTCAAGACTTAAGACGTAAACATAGTTAGTGACTGTTCCCTCGCCAAGAGCCTGGCATTAGAAGTGAAAGTCATGGGGCTTTCCTATGATATCTTCAAAACCGAGGTCCCGTGTAGATCTTCAGTGAAGATCTTGTGTTCGAATCACGGCCGCGACTGACCTAAGTCGTTAAAAAATAAGTAGCAAATGTTCCTTCGCAAAGCGCTCGGCACATTAAAGTGAAATTGCGGGTCTTTCGGATGAGACCTTAAAAACAGAGGGCCCGTATCACGGTAGGTGTTGGCACGATAAAGAACCCTCACTGCCCAATGGCCCTGAGTGCCGAGTATAGTTGAGGGGGCACAAACATATAGTAGCTAAGTTTTCTATAGTATTCTATACATTGGCAAAATTATTGAGGGGGCACGGCACGGCCCCCCCGTGCCCCCCCCCCCCGGTTCCTACGGCCATGTAACTATGTGTTTAGCCTGCCACCATCTGCTTGAGGCAGAATCACTTGACACATAAAGGCATATGTGTATTGATGTTACACTACACATGCATACTCTTACATGCAAATCCACTTGTTAGACGAGGACATGTCGACACCAGTTTTATGACTGGTTTTTGTACATGTGCGATGGAGAGAAGGATTGCAAATCTTTTGTATGTATTATCTACTTTCTATTTGTGTATTTTCCAGATGTTGTTTTGATAATATAAACACCCATAATATTTTGAAATTTAAGATTTTAAAGGCATATTTATATATTTTCAGTAAAAGGAGAAAATATTGCTTAAACATTATATGATTCTTGAACGCATAAAGAAAGATATCTGAAGTCGACTTCTTATATACCGAGTCATTTAAATATTTTATACATAATTTCGATTAACATTGATTAAAGCCAAACTAAGCAGTATGATAAAGATTTTTTAACGTGCATACCATAATTACTTTCTTTGGTGCTCTCTCTCTCTCTCTCTCTCTGTGGGGGGATGTTTTCTAGCTAAAAGAAAGCAAGACTTTCGATGAATGTTTTTTATAATATCCTTGAAATTCATGTCTATAAATGAAAAATAAATTAATATTAATACAAAAAATTGTTATTCAATCCATGAAAAATTACTTGACGTACAATGTAATTCATACCAGGATTGGTGCAGATAGGCTAATTTCTATAAAAGTAAAAAAAAAAAAAATTAAAATAAAGAGTTAACAAATTCGTAATAACGAGCTATAGCATCTCGCTTTACACGAGTTAGGTATCTCATTATAAAGAGTAAACTATCTGGCTATAACGAGTTAAGTATTATGTTAGAACAAGTTATTTATCTCCTATTAAAGTTGGTTATCTCTTAATAACGAGTAAGGTATCTCGCTAACATGTTAGTTATCTCGTTATTTCAAGATATCTATCTTTTTATAACGAGAAAATTTACCTGCATTATAGAAATGAAAATGGTAGTAGTTTTTAATCAATTGAATTTGTGAATTTAAATTAATGATAATCTGTCGAATTAACATTAGTCAATTGAAAAATGGTCGAAAATTTATTTTGTACTAGGTTTAATTATGATAAAAGTCTAGAGAAATAATATTTTGATACGTAAAGGAAATCTAAGGTGAACACATTACATGTAACACATAGGTTGTATGAAACTAATACTGTTTAAAAGCAATTCATAAGTAGATATTTGTATTCGGTCTTTTCAATAATGAAAAATATTTAATCAAATGCATAAGATAATACCCTAGTATGTCGTTCCTCCATTACTTTATTAATTATGCAAACCAAACTACAAACAAATTTTATCGACTAGACTTCTTATTTCTTATACTGACATTCTTTACTTAGATATATCAGCTCTTAGGTCAATTATAATCTCGTTATAATTAGATAGCTAACTCGTTATAACGAGATAACTGACTCGTCGTTATTATATGATGTTATGACAAACTCATTATAACGAGATGACTAACTTGTTATAAAGAGATATATAAATCGTTATAAAGGAATAACTAACTCATTATAACGAGATACTGATTTGTCATAACGAGATACTAACTCATTATAAGAAGATAACTAACTCATTATTATGCGATATACATGTATAACTTGTAACTTGTTTTAACGAGATATTAACTCCTAATAACGAGTTACGTAACTCGTTTTAACGAGAGAACTAACTCAATATAACGAGATACTACTCATTAGAACGAAGTACATGTAATTACCTCATTAAAACGAGATAAACCTCGTAAAACGAGATAACCAACTCGTTATAATGACAACTCTTTATAATGAGCTACATGTAACTCGCTATAACGAGATAACCTGTTAAAACGAGATACTAACTCCTTATAAGATGATAATTATCTCGTTATAAAGAGTTAGATTTTTTTTTAAACTCCGCAAAAATTAGCCTATATTTTGACCATCACTACCATACATTCAAAGAATTGTCAATACAGGAAGCCCTTGAACAAGGACTCTGTGATCACTGCAAACGCATGCTCGCTGATTAGATGAAAAAATCAAATTAAAAATACATGACAAAATCTAAAAACTTTCATTTCTTCTGGGAATAGTGTTAACAGTACCCTGTTTAAAAGATATTGATCAGTTCAAAGTACGTTTGTTAAAATCATCATAGCAGAATATCCATTCTATACTTGTATTAGTAAATCAAAATTACCTTCTTAGAAGAAAGTGTTCATTTGATAGATTTGTCATATTTAATTTACGATGCGGCCCACAAACCTATTCAACTAAAAGATTTTGGCATTTACCGTTAAAGAGCCGTTTGAATTGCTTTCCTAAATTTACAATGAAATCCATATGCCGACACTTCATATTTCAATAATACTCAAGCCTCTTCAAGACGTTAGCTATCATCAACACTACAAACGTTTGCCTTCCTTCGGAAACATGACATGCATTTACAAAATTATTTAAAGCAAGAAGCTTCTCAAACTAATTAAAACCAAACCATCCGGATTCATTGGATCGGCTGTAATTGTGAAAGTGAAGATTTTGGTTCTTCCACAAAAAAGTGAAAAGCCATAATGCAAAATATTTGTTGGGAGCGAGGCAAACTTTCGGCAGGTGCGTGAGAAGACGGTTCATTGGATCGTTGCGAATGAGCATTGCATTATTCGTTAAAATGTTCCTAAAAACTCTGCTTCGTTCCAAACTACTTGTACGTCTCGGAAAATGAAATAGGCTTTAAACTTGAAGTCGGTTTTAAAAGATTTCACAAATAAACTGTACAATTGTTTTTCCTGCATTTCAAGAAGACGTCGATTGAAACCAGAGGCATGTGTACGAACTAATGGAATCTAATTACCTATTTGCATGTTTTTATCTAACGTGCTGGATAAGAGAGAGAAGACATTTATAACAAGCTGTAAGGAATCAAATCCCTGATGATGTGCATTACATTCATAAATAGAGCTTCATTTACAATAAACCGGTGGATTTTTATCTTATGATGGGACAAGGAGCGGCCAAAAAAGAAGTTGATAAAGGTACGCGATTGTACGCAGAACAAAAGTTTGATGCTGCAATCAATGAATGGAAAAGTGCTTTACGAAGAATGACTAAGAAAGAAAAAATTCTCGACAAATTCAACACTTTAAATTATCTATGCATGGCTTACTTCGATATGGGGAAATACCGGGAAATTGTCGTGTGCGCTAACCAACAGCTCGAAATGTTGAATTCTAAAACCATGTGCAATAATGTTGATCTGTTCCAAGAAGCATACTTCAATCTAGCGCGAGGATATGAAAAATTATCAGAGTTTAAAAAGAGCATCTCATACGCCAAAAGCTGCATTGAAAAGGAACCTAAAAATGAAAATGCCAGAGATATTAAATCATTCGCGACGATTTGTCTTGCAAAAGCTTATCATGGACTCAGTGACTTTTACAACGCTATAAATAACTTTGAAATCGTTTTAAGCAGGTCCGAGCAAAACCCCTCCTTACACATGAAATTCCTTGCGTTTGAGAGTCTTGGACAACTTTTTTCCAAGATAAAGGATTACGATACAGCCCATCTATATTATGACAAGTGCTTAGATATCATACAACAAGATGCTACCACGCTCTCCAAGTACCGACGACGGATACAGAGCCAGATTTCTCTCCCTTTACTTCACATGGGTCGCTTCAATGACGCCATGGAACAGTGCGAGGTAAAGCGAGTTTGTTTCTGTGGGCTTCGATTGTTTAGTCTTGTGAAATAAAAATATTCACAAACTATACGAAAAATAAAAGACTAGCATCAAAAAATATTTTTGAGCATTTTGCTAATTCGTATTTCGAAATAAATGTATGAGGTAAAAAATTTAAAATTAAAATAATCGTAAAGTAGTTTCGCAGGAAATCTGATTAGATATCATGTTATAGACAGATAATTCTACTGTCCTTTATAATGCGATTACTGATTTACCTCACGCGTCGAAAAAACGGTTTCTGTTTATAAAATTCCTAATTCCTCCGCTAATGATTACCGCATCTGGTATTTTTAGTAATTGCTTCATCGGTGAAAATCTCGGCATGTGGTCCTTAACTGTATTGCGCTTGACCAATATATATAAACAAATAAATAAATAGATAAGAAAGAAAGTATACTACAATGTACGTAAGGTTCTGGTGTATGAAGACCCAACGTATGCAATTAAATATTTTTTAGAGTTGCTTTTAAGTATGCTATATATATATTATACGTTGGGGAAAAAAAGCTATCCAGGACACTTTCTAGACGTCAAAGAGTAGTTGGCAACCATGTTTTAAGATAAGGTAAATGGTTTATTTGATGCAAATAACTATAATTAGTATAATGAATTGTTCAGATCAGGGGTCAGAGGATTCTACAGGCGAAAAAGGTATCTTTGCTATCCGGAGCATTTGTTTTATGTAATAAAACGAATATCTATAACTACAAAACATGCCAAGAAATGTTGAGCGAAATTCAAAAGAATTAGACCCACGATTGATCAGCCGTTTTTTTTTATAATCAATGTTTATCTCGGAATGTACAGAAAAAAAATTACTACCATAGGCGTTGGAACCGGGGGGGGGGGGGTGTAAAGATAGACATAATAAAGGAATTGAACATTGGGGCACATTGCAGTGTAATCAAAGAAGGGTAAGTGGTAGCGTTTGAAAAAAAATGGTACTGAAAGAAGTTTTATCCCCCCCCCTCCACACACACACACGAAATAGGAATTTCGGGTTTGGACAAATTTTAATTTACCTTTTTTTCTTTGCTTGTCAAGTTTTTTTTTTCAGGTTTGAAATTTTTTTTCTCTTTCAATTAGCCCCCCCCCCCCTACTTTCAATTTGCTTCCGACGCCTATGACTACACACAAAACTGATGGTTTATGGAAGTCACCTTAGTTTGTATATTTTGGGGTCCTTCATGCAGAGGTCTTCAAAAGGTCAAACCTAATATTTATCTATGTGAAGCAATAACTTCAAAAAAGTACAATGGTTTGTATTGGAGAAAGATACATAATTGTAAAAGGAAGACGCACAGGGAAGTTGGAGTTATGAAATCAAATGTCAAGGATCACTACACAGAGGTTGGTTAGAGAGGGAGAATTTGGGGTCACTTTATGAAAAGGTCATGGTTAAAATATCAAAGAAATAAGGAAATGTAAAATCTTCTTGGTTTCTCTATGTCTAGCATTTGGCGTCAAGTAGGACCGAGACCTGATATAAAGTCTTTAACCTTGACCATTTCAGACATATCCTTCTCGGATAATTCAATATTTATGTCCACTGTTACCTGTAAAATTCCCGAACAAAGAAAAATACACAATTCATCTCCCACGTTCTCCGGCGCAAGGGATTGCTCCCGGTGTTTAATAATTTTTTTTTCTTTTAAATTGGAAAATAATTTCTTAAATTGGAAAATGATTTCTAAAATTTTTTTACACATCGGGAGCAAGCCCTTTTGGTCTCAATTGAATATGGAGAATAGTTTGTAAAACAAATCCATACGGCCATGATAGAATTGCGTAACTTGATAAGTAGCACACTCGCTCACTAGGCCTATAGGCAATCAGATTTTGGAACGCAGTTCGCAATTTAAAAGTGAACTGCATTCTATAGAATGCAGTTTGCAATTCAAAATTTTAACGTGAGTCATGGGGTCTGAAATTTTGAAGGTGGGGTACTAGTGGTCAGTTACCACGTCTATGAAAAAAATGTTTTTTTTTTTTTTTTTTTTTTTTTTTTTTTTTTTTTTTTTTTTTTTTTATAGAAGTGGTATCTAACCACTAATACCCTACCCTCAAAATTTCAGACCCCGAGACAGGGGACTTCGATGTCCCCGAACCCGATGTTTATTCATATACATGTAATATACAGTAGGCCTAAAAACTGGAGGGCTACATGTATATCTCGGAAACTAGAGATGGTACCGTCACCATTTTTTTCATAGAAGTGGTAAATGACCACTAATACCCTACCCTCAAAATTTCAGACCCCATGACTTATGTTAAAATTTTTGAATTGCGAAATGCATGCACTTTTAAATTGCGAACTGCGTTCCAAAATCTGATTGCCCACTTACTAGGGCCTAGTATTTGTTATGTAATATACATACATTGATTACATATAATTATAATCTCGGCTGAGTTTCGACTTGGCGTGATATTTGGACTGACGCCGTTGTCGACGTCCGTCCAAACTATCAGCCAAGCCGAATCTTAGCCGACGACAGTGTTAGTGCAAATATCCAGCCAAGCCGAATCTCAGCCGACAATGGTGTCAGTGCAGAGTCTCAGACAAATATCCAGCCAAGTCAAATCTCAGTCGAAATTACATGTAACTAATTCGCCCATTTCTTCCAAAACGTATCTGAATCCGCCCCTGACATAGGTGACGAATGTTTAAACAATTCAAAAATACAGTATACATAACTGCCGACACTTGATTACCTGCCCAGAATTCCCATCAATCAAAACCATTGTGTTTTTCAGCTGTCTATGAAGGATGCCATGTTGCGGGCCGACCGCCCCGTACAAGCTCGCTGCCTGTTTACTTTTGCAGAGATTCACAGAAAGAGGAAAGACTTTGAGGTATAAACTCTGCATCGTTATAAAGCACGCACCTGCTCCAGGACAAACGGTTTATTGAATACCAAGGATTATAATTAGGCTCATTGTTTACAGATTCAATGAAATGTTTAGATGTTGATAAAAATGGGTGGGGTGCTAAATTTTAAAATTTTGTCCACCCGTGATATTCTTGAATGAAATAAGCTCCTCGGTTTAAAAATGAATGGTAGATTAAATTGTAAATTCATTGCATTTGATAATTAACACTAAGACAATTCTTTGTTTTGAATGAAAAAAAAATCACATTTTAAACAAAACTGGGTATATAAATATAACTACAAGAATTTTATAGAATTTCATATGCATCCTTTATATACATGTATGTGTTTTTTGTAGAACAGATTATTCAAGTAAATACATGTAGCCATAAAATAGACAATTTTATGTAAAGATTTTTGTTATCCTTTATTATACTTTTAAGCGACTCGGTTAAACCATACATTTTTTAATGTATTCAATGTTTTGTTTCCTTTTTTTTTCTTTTTTTTTCGGTATCAATGGAAAGCAGATGCTCTCTTGTGTATAAACATCGTTAGGAAATTATTTGGTGTCATGACCAGAGGATTGTTTCTACATAAATACATGCCAATGAATAACATTTGCGTAAACTTTGATTAATGGTTCATATTTTTTTTTTAAATTCAACGGAAAGAATAATGATGGGTTTATATTTTCAGCGATCATTCCCGCGCTATGAGTCAGCCTACGCCCTCTTCGTTGAGATGGGTGACCGTCTGAATCAGGTCGAGGTGCTTGGAGGAATGGCAAAATGCATGACTGCTCTAAAGGACTTTGAACAGGTTCACTTAAAATAAGAACTATATGCCCTTCATCGAATATGCTTGTAATGTGACTTTTAATATATTTATAATTCCGCGGAATTACAATTTCTATTCAATCCACGGGTAGAAATTTCAATGTCATTGTATTTCATAAATGTATGATTTAAAGACACTGTGATAAATTTCCGCGGAAAATCTGTGACCTCGTATCATTAAATTTGTGACTATGTTCACAGCGTAAATGAATCCCATGCGGGAAAATGCACGCCTGATGTATATTCTTTTATAACGCAGATTTCTTGATTTCCATTTACTTGTATTTTAAAGAAATTTCAAAAGAAAGTAAGGAAACTAAAATAATATCAAGAAGTCTTCTTTTAACTACAATATCTGAAAGGACAAGGTATGGTACATGTAAGGGCCGAATCTAGCCCCTTATTTGATGTAAAAATCAGAACACAGTTAAAATTGTGATAGTTTGTAGTTAAGAACTTAAAATGATGCTTGTTTCAAAACCAGCACTAATTTTGATTCAAAGCTTACACGAAGGCCACAGGAGGGTTCAGAAGTAGGACATTGTAACGAATTTACCTCATTTCTGGCGGAATTTCGTCCAATTTGAGATACTTTTCACTTCGGGAAACATAGAGCACAAGCTTGCCTATTGAGATTTTTATACATACGATGCATCTGATACTAGTGTATGAAATATTTAAATTTGGTAGATAGGCAAGCTTGTGCTCTATGTTTTCTGAAGCAAAATGAGCTGTAAAATCGATGAAAATTTGCATAAAAATGAGAGAATTTGGAGTTGACATATTTTTTGATTTTCCTGTCACCTCTGTGTATCCTATAACTTAAAACCAATACTCAAGACAAAAGGCTTTTATTGATAAACTGTTGCATCATTCTAAAAGAGACCCCAAACCAGGGGCAAAAGAGGGGTCTTAGCCTATCTTGACCTTTAGTTGTAATTTGCAAAAAGAAATCTCAGCAATAAGCTAAGGTTCGAGAGCGATAACTCTCTTTGGATAAATTGGAAGACCACCTCGCGTATATTTCAGTGTCGCTAATGCACGAATCTCCAAATGAAATCAAAATTTCTCGACTCCCATAGCTTTGACCTAACAATGACTTACATTATTTCAGGCCATAGAAATAAATCACAAAGCGCATCAACTAGCAGAAGAAATTGGGAACAGGGTAGGCCATGTTCTGAATTCACACTTCAGTTTTCGTTCCAGAACCAATTTGTTCGAAATAACTTCGCATTTTTTTTTTTTTCATTTATAGATGGGCTTATTGGACTGTAACACAAGACTAGCAGAACTCTATGTGATGACCGGAAACTCTTACGCCGCGCATCAATGCGAGGAAAGAATCTCGCGCTTGACAGCGGAATTGGAACTCTTTTGTGGTGTATGTGGAGAAAGCATGGGTCAGATTCCGGAACACTTGGACAAACTTCCGTGTGGTCATCTTATACATTCGAAGTATGATTTGCAATTAAACTTCAAATTTAGGTGTCATACTTCTACTAATAGTGATTAGAGTTATTCCTGATATTCTTTTGTATCTTAGTTCGTAATTTATTGTTTTCTATCCAAAATTACATAATGCAATTTTAGTGAATTAAATCGAAGAGTTCACTAAAAGATTATGGTTAATAAAATATTTTTTAAAAAATGTTCAGAACCAGGATTCGTATAACTCTATTACACATTTGATATGAATATGAAATTAAAACAGTTATATAATTTTTTTTTCAGATGTACACCACACTTAGCGCGGTATACCTGGGGGAGGAAAGGGAGAAAAAGACCGTGTCCGTCATGTCGAAATCGATCATCCGGGAACCCTGTTCTTTCACATTAATGAATTTAAGTACTTTAATATTTAGAATGGTGCCTAATGTACATTGTATTTGTATGAGTTAATCATACACTAGATTGTTTTGGGAAAAAATCATATATGTGTTCTTAAAATACATCGGAATCTAAGAAATTTTACTTTCCATTTAGGCCATTTAATAAAGCAAATTAACGTCAATTCATTTAACACAGCTCAAAAAACTCATCATTTGATATCTTTTCAAATTAAAACTTCCGGTAATGCTTGTTTTTTTTTTTTTTTGGTTTTGTTTTGTTTTTTTGTTTTTTTTTTTTTTTTTGTTTTTTTTTTTTTTTGTTTGTTTAAGAACTCTTATGGTATCATGATTTTAAATTAAGAATATCTTTTATTAAAAAAAAAAATTAGCAATGGGTAAGGTACGCTGTAGAGTTGTGGTAAGGTTGTGTATGTCCTTAATAAGAAGATCTGTTTATAAATCAGATGCGAAGTTTATATCTATACCAAGTTGCAATGATTTGATTTTCAATATCATGATTAAGTTATAAAAAATATTATTAGATTTTCACCTATTTATCCAGTGGAAATCATTAATTGGATAAATAGAGGATACAGGTGTATCTACATTGAGTGATTTTATATCTGCTTTATACAACGAGTTGAAATGAGTTTATTTGCGAGGATTGCCGAGCGAATATACATCATTTCAACGAGTTGGATAAAGCAAATATAAAATCACACAACAATTATAGATGTTCCATTTATTATTTTTATTTTTCATATTAACAAAAATTTGAAATAAAACCAGCAAACTGTGTTGATTGATTTGTGCCCAAATGTATTACTCGTAAATTGATGACGTCGTCCCGTTGACATGCCGAAAGAAATTTAACTGTAGATCTATACAAAATATTAAATCTTTGAATGATATCTTCTGCGTATTTTTAGAGATGTGTGACAATCTTTTGAAGATTTATTTCATACAAACTTTTGAATGGAAGTAGTAATACTCCGACGGAATCCATGAGTCCTAGTGTGTAAGGCGCGATAGTGCATAGGCATAGGCACCTACTTGTAAGTTGTATGCTTATGGTAAAATGTAAGAAAGCATTGTTGAATGTGAATATCTAGACTTTCCTGCATGGTAAAACGAATGTTTCACCAGCAACTTAACTGCTTTGCGTAACGCCTATGAGAAAGATTTGAGGAGGGGCGGGAACATCCGTCATTGCAGTAACTACATGTATATAGTATGATAAAATCTGATATTTCATCGAGGTATAATGAATCTTTTCTTACTTTTAACGAATATGTTTGCTCATTATTGTTTATTTTATAACGCAAGAAATTTTAACAAATATAATTTTTTGGTAAATTTACATGTTGAAGCGAGGGATTGTGTCAAAACCGGAAGTGACAATGATAAAGCAAGCATAGGTTAATCTAATGGGTAGTATCCACCACATTTATGAGATAAATTTTCATACACCACACCGTGTATTCCTCTAATAAAAATAACTTGTACAGTAAAACTTGTCTAATCCGGACACTACTGGTTCCAAAGAAATTGGCCGGAATAGACAACATTCTGGATAAGACATGTACAACATTTGAAAGATAGGGACTAAAGGTTTCCATCGTATTAAACAAGACTTCGGAATACACAACATCCGGATTTTACAAGTGCAAGTTCAAAAAAGAATTTAATTTATGAATGAAATATTAGCGAAAAACAAAAAAAAATATTTGTCTTTATTTCATTACTCGCTATTTTTGTGGTACAATAATACTGACGTAGTTTGCTGTAAGAGAGTGTTTAAGAAGACCCAGGGGGGCAGGGGCTATGAATTTCATAATGTTTACTCTCCTTCACCCATAGATGCTATATGCCAAATTTGGCTGAAATTGGTGCAGTGGTTCCAAAGAAAAGCTGAAAATGTTCAAATGTTAACGCACGAAACACGACGACGGAAGAAAATAGATAGCAATATATCACCTGAGTTTAAAAGCAGAAGCTTTTTGATTAAAAAAGCATCTGTACACACAGTAAACCATTCGCCTGAATTTAAACTAATTCAATTATAGAAAAAAATCTGAATTTTTTTTCACAATTAATTTTTTTTTCTTATCACAAACACCCAGTCATCTGTTTTATCATAGATTTTAAACATATCAGGTTTTGCAAAGACTGACACAAATTAATGTGAACAAAATACAATGTTATTTTGGGAATTTTTTCCTGCTTCGATTAATTGTATCATGTCTTCATTAACCCCGATTATTAACGACGTGCACGATATCAATGGGTTACTCTATGCTAGGAAGCATATATCATGTGTTTCTAATCTATATCTTTCTTATATTCCTTTATTTTATTTTGGAAAGCTTAAGCATGTACATATATGTTTACACCTAAATCATTTAAATACAATCTCAGGAAGCGTCACTTAAAGACAATGATAAACAAACAAAATATGGGACCTTATAACATTTAACAATGTTTTCTTCCTCTACAATATACAATTTTCGACTGTTTCCAATTTGTAATTATATTCATTATCGATCAATTGACACAATGCAACGACTGTAGAAATCATAAACCTTTCTGAGTACCGTATCAAAGATTTTGATTTGCAATAAAATCAACAGCTAATAAAGAATGACACTGTGATTATTTTGATTAAATATACAAAATTGTAAATGAAAAAAATTGTAAATTATATGTTCTGTTTGATGTTTTTAATCTTTATGCATTCAATGTGTGCTCAAATAGAAAACCGTCTGACGTGTGTTTTGAGCACCGTTAATACCTGGCAATATTCATCATATTGTAAGCGTGTATATTCTGACTTTGATTCCTGGCTAATGTCACTATTTACCAGAGAGTTACCTTTCCGTAGAACTGTCTTTAAATCATTAACCTTCCGACGTACACTCTCCATAAATGAGACAGGCCAAACCTTTAGCATTGTTGCCTTTTCATCATTTTCTTCAGATATGATTTCGTCAATTCTAGTTATTATGGAGGCTCCTGCAGTCAAAAGTACTTTAATCTTTTCGACCCTTTCTGTGATATATTCTTCATTGATTACTCGTAAAAGAATAGGGAGCTCCTTTTCTCCGGAATATGTATTCAGATTTGGGTCTAAGCCTAACAAAATTAGGCGCTCTACATCTTGAGAGTGACCTCTCCAAATAATCTCCATCAACGGTCGTGGCATATCCCACACTTTCCTAAATCGTATATCAACTTCGTCTTTCCTATCAAGATATGCATATGACTTTCGGAGGCGTTTGAGAATTTGAAATAAATGACAATTTCCGGGTTTATTATATCTTCCACATGTATTTCTATTACAGATCCTGGCGTTGTTTTCAGCATACAATTCGCAACCACAAGTATGCTTCCCATGGGCATTTTCTCCATCCAGAAGTGTTTTAAAGGCAAATTAAAATTTTTTCCACAATGTAATTTCTAGCGCTGTTACTAAGTTGTTAGTTTTCTCTCTGAAATTCAATATTTTACTTTTCAAGGATTCAATTACAAATACATTCCCTTCTTCTGATGCTAGATACAGACTTGTCTGCCCTTTGTAATCTCTTAAATTTATATCTGCGCCATTTCGAATCAAGTATTTGACGACTTCCTGGTGTCCACGCCATGATGCAACGTGCAAAGCTGTTTGCCTAAAAGTATTTAGACACTCATTAATATTACTGTTCCGTGAAAGAAGTTTAACAACCTCTAAGTGTCCACCACGAGCTGCGACATATAAAGGAGAGAATTGTCTGTCTTTGGTACATTTATCCTTATCTGCACCTTTCGTAAGAAGATATTTAATTGTTTCTAGATGGCCATACCAGGATGCAATATAAAGCGGTGTCTCTCCAAGATTTGTGGCAATTTCGATATCCATCTCAAAATCTTTTACCAAATATTGTATAACGTTTGTATGGCCACAACTTGCTGCCTCAAAAATTAAAGACCTATTCTTATCTGTTTCTTTCAGGTCCGCATTTTCTTTCTTAATGAGGTATTGTAAGAGGGATTCATGTCCATTTCTGGCTGCTTTTATCAAAGGGGTCTGTCCCCACAAATCTTTATCATTGACATTGACACCTTTCTCAAGCAGACATCTAGCGACGGAAATGTGGCCATTTTCACACGCTGCTGTAAGCGGTGTATGAGAGCGATGAAAATCTAAAATGTCATCTATATAATGTGATGTTCTTTTTATGCAAGATGTATCAATGTGATTCAGAACTGTTTCAACCAATTTACAAGATCCATTAAAGCACGCAAGAACAAGAAGTCTCGTTTGCTCCTCCAAATGAGGACTAAAAATTCTATGACAGTTAAATTCCCCTATCATTTTAATAAGTAGTTTTAACAGATTCAAATGCCCATAGTAAACAATCCAACTAATAGCTTTTATACTGTAAGACTCTGTTTCATTTGTTCTCATGTCAAAAAGTAGTCGTTGTCTTTGTCTTTCATTTTCGTATCTTAGATCATCGCCAATATCACCAATGTCATTCCAAATTATGGTTGGAACTATACTATCACTCGTTTCACTTTTCCGTGTAAAAACTGCAATCATTTCGTCGTCCTTCATTTTCTTCAGCATTTCAAAGAAATGCAAGGAGAATTCCTTGTGTAAGAAAGCTTCACTAGTGAAAACATCCTGAAATTTTCCATCTTTAATGTACTGCAAATATTTTTCTGAGAGAAACTCAACGTCTTTCATGATGATATGTCTTTCTGGAGAACCATTGTCCTCAACAGAGCCGACACGTATCTTCTTTGTGACAAAACTGCTACTCATGTAGTTCAACAATGAGCGAGGATGATCGGACCCGTATGTAAATGCCACGACTTCTGTTAAAGTGTCGTTCATGATAACAAATGTGTGTTCATCGACTTTTCTTAAATACGTTCCTAACATTTCTTCCAGAGATTCAATTAGTCTCCACCTAGGTATCGTTTCCACTCTGCAATTTTCAAACACTTCCATTTTTAATTTAGTTATTTTCTCGTCATCAGAGTCAAATATTTGACCCGAGATTGCATTTTTATTCAGTAAACAAATTACCAAAATTGCATATTGCAATTTGTTTTTTTCTCTTAACTCTTTTATATCTTTTTCTATGCAAACAACAGGATTCTTAAAAAACAAATTACCCATATTTTGATACTCTTTTTTGCTACAAAATAACTTACAAGTCAAGGGGAACATAGGCGCTTCTGGGGGTATTGTTACATTAGGAAAATCGAGATTTTTAGCCTTGCAATGCTTACTGAAGATTTCCTTTCTTTCTTTCGCACTAAAAATGTTTTCGATTGCTTTTAAATCGACTAAATGATTTTTATTTCGAAGAAATGTCTCGATATTTTCATATTCTAATTCTCTAAAGACGGTGGATCGACATGTGCACAGAAGTTTTGATGGACCAACAAGAAATGCCTTGGCATATCTCTCAAGCTTTTGAAGGCGTTTCTTTTCAAGTACGAATGAACCAATCACATCATCAATCACATATATATTTTTTGACGATGTATCCTCCCTAGAAAATATTTCTCTGATGCTTTCCACCGATATGATTTTGTAGCCCTCTTTGCAAAACTTCAAAGCAAGATGACGAGCAGTTGCAGTTTTGCCCGTCCCTGGACCACCGAGTATAATCACATAATTATAATTTGATTCTAGAAGCCTCTTGAAGATCAAAGAAAAGTTTTTGTTTTCGACATATATATGGTCATCGCTTTTCCATTTTTTAATGATTCCGGAATTGGAACAGTCATCTGAATATGAAAAAAAAAACATATTTATATTAAAAATAATTCAGTGAGTAAACGTTGAAATTCAAATTAATAATTTATCACAAAAAGATCAAATTATTCTTTGATGTAGCTACCAATTTTTCATGACGATATTGTTAACAAGAATATGATAAAGAAGGTGCTCTCAAAATCATTACTTGCTATACTACAGGGGCAATTTTCTGTTGTATTAATTAATCAACACAATCAGTATATAAATTCACTAAAAAGTATGCAACATCATGCATCTGCTATTGCTAACAAACAATGCACACTATAAGCAAAAACTTTCAGCATTTCTAATGTATGATCAGCAGTTCTAGCATTAAGATCAAGACATGTATCAGTGAATTTTATCAAAGTTGCTTTTTAGAAATTTGTTTACAATTTAAAAAAAATACTTAAATGCCTACCAATAAATATTCATTTGTAAAATATTAAAATTTAGATGCTAAAATTGCAAAGGTGAAATTCAAAATATCACCATCATCAAATATTATAAAGAAAATAATCTTCATAATTAGCATCACTCAGTTTTACAGTTTTGCCTGTCCCTGGACCACTGAGTATTATCACATAATTTTAATTTCTACCAATAATTAACTGAGTTAATTCTATATTTAGGAAAGAAGGCTACAACTTCAACAATATAAAGAATATCTGAACCATAACTGAGATTTTATTGAAAAAAAATTTATTCATAGATACCACAAAACAATGCAAGCTTTTGAAAATCACATATTTTCGGATCAAATTCAGGATAAATGATTGAATAACCTTACCATTTAGTAACAGAATAGTTATTGTGTCGCTTAGAAATTGCCGCTCCATATATTTCACTGAGAGCTGGTATGTCCCGGTATCTTCGTCTCTTAAATTGCCAATAACTAATTCAGCTTTTGGAAATTCACTAAAACTATCTTTATAATTATCAGGCAATGTTTCCAAGTCAATCGCACTTCTCTGGCCGTTGATACCAATTTTAAGCCAGGTTTGATGGATTTCTGTTGAGTTAAGATTGTTTCCTGAAACCTCTGCAGATATTTTAATTCTGGAACCTCTCGAAATAGACAAGTTTCCTTTGGGAGTAATGTTGATGTTAACTGATATCGTAAAAAAAAAATAATAAAGTCCTTAAAGGGTTTTTTTTTTTAAATGAAAATAGTAGGATTGTAAAAAGTATTCATCGACGGTTCTTTGATGACATGTTTTAAGTTATGGTTGAGAATTAAGACTGCTGGGAAAATATTGTTCTAATTTCCATTTCATCACAGGAAAAGGAATTTTTTTAATAAGCGGATATTCTGCTACAAATTCGTTCAGTGATCTTTATTGCTAAGTGATTACAAACAAATTCAAAGAACTAAAAGAAATTTTCTAAACTGAACTTTTTATGGTTAAATGATCCTAATCATTTAATTTTTTTATTCATTATAAAATGTGAAGATAACGAACAGTGATCAATCTTTAAGTCCATTTAAACAAAAACATGAGCAGAGCCAACACGGACCTCTGAAAACAACAGAGGTGGGATCAGTTGCCATAGAGGATTGAGCATCCCCTGTCGACCAGTCACACCCAACGTGTATTCCTTGTCATGATCGTGTAAACGGAAAAATCTGTAGAAAATTCAGTGTGAAAATAAATACCTAACAATTTGTATGAAAGATGTCAGCCAATATTCGATCAAACAACAGATTGTATCTGCAATGCAAACAAGGTCATGGTATCGACCATAGAATTTTCGAAATGTTGACTTTTAAGATCGTTGATATTCTTGTATCATCAGCTTATTTGTCAATAGCTGTATAATAGACGTATTTTACCAATAAATTCTAATAATTTGAATAAATAATGAATAGATCATGTTATTTATCAAAATTATCCAGAATTTTAAACTGCTAAAATGGGGTCACGGAGCATGGTCAAAATTGAGTAATGCACTAAACAATACACATTTTAATGTCAGCGTAGGAAATTCATAGCAACGGACTATTGTGATTGATAAAACACTGTCGATATATCTGAATGTCGGATAGAAGGCCACAGCAATAAACTTGTTCTTTTCATCTAGATGTTTTGAAGATATTCTGCTTCATTTGAAGAAAAAAGAGGCCTGCTGATAAGGGACACACCTGTTATTCCAAAACATTGTTGAAAGACCTGAAAACCACATATTGTCAATGAGAAACTCTTGCATCTTTTTAATATCAACCTCAGTGTACATGTACTTGTTGTAGAATCAGAATGTATGCTGACTGACGTTTTTTATACTAATTATTATTTACACACTGGACTTTCTACGGATTTGTCCGTTTATCCAACACTGCGGGTGTGATAGGTCAACAGCAGATGCTTACTCATCCATGGCACCTGATCCCAACTCTGATGTTTTGGAGGTCGTTATTCGATCCGCTCCCGATTTGTATTGTATTGGACTATGAGCTTGAATACTGTCGTAATCTCCATATTTCATTTTAACAAAATAAGTTTGCAAATGACCAATAAAGGTATACAACCACATATTGTTGAAGATTACTGCATGGTGATATTTAGCAGAAATACTTTCTTATTGATGTAATATATTGTTGTCATCGTTCGTATCCAGTGTTTGTTTAACAAGCATCCGTGTTTTGATTATTTTTGGTGCAGTTTTACAATTAACTTAGGACCTTACCTAGATGTCTCTCAACATCTTTATTATCTATAAAATAAAAATTAGAAGTTAGAAAAAAAAATACAGAGGAAATAAAAAAAAGAAGACATTGCATATAAAATAAATATCTCTTATATAAATCTAATATAAATAGCTAATCTATCGTAGGATGAACTGTGAAAAATGTATCTCTTACTGAACAGTGTAAAATGTGCGATTTTAAGCTTCAAATTTACATGTTCCATTCTCATCCAAGAAGAGTTGTGTATGATGTCAAAAATAATACGAATATGGTAAACTGGTACTCACCTTCTTCTAGAAGGGGTGTACTTTCTCCTTTCGAATATCCTATATATATATATATATATATATATATATATATAGAGAGAGAGAGAGAGAGAGAGAGAGAGAGAGAGAGAGAGATAATATATATATATATATATATATATATATATATATATATATATATATATATATATTAGGGATGGCAACGAATATTCGAACATTCGAATATTCATTCGATGAGTTGATATTCGAATATGAATTTAAGATTCGAATATTCGGTGTTTTTCAGATTTCGTAAAAAGAAGTACTGTGATTAATAAATTTTGATTAGAACAGTGCTGGAATTATCCCTGTTTAATTTACTAACGATCAATTTCGATCGCCTGATTTCTTTCACTACTTTCTTATCTTATAGATCTACTAAATGACATGTATTTTGTTTTAAGCAAGGTGTTAATGAATTGTACAATAATGCTTTATGTATAATACAAAACGTACTTTCATAGTTCTTATTAGTTAGATACTATCGGATCTAGAATCAAGGACAACAAAATGAAAACCTTCTTAGAATGTCTAAAAGACGCGAGGAGTATACTTTTCAAAATAAATTTAATTGATCATTGAATGAATGTCCGATAGAATTAGTCTGTATTCAATATTGCTCAATTTCAGCATAAATGTGTAAATTACTTGTCAATGATTATCTCGGGTTGTACATAATTCTAAATTTTATATTCATTATCGGGAAATTAGTTAATTACCTAGGAAAATTGTCTATGGAAATATTTGTTTACATTGTATCAAAGATTATAATAATATCTCTTATTAGGCAGATAACTGTAATTCATTACATGTATTGAAATCTGAAAAGTACACCGTTACGACTACATCTTGCCTTTGGTAAGACGACTGGTTCCTCAGTTGGAGCCACTATAAATACACATGTTTCCTTTGTTAAAATTATACTTTTCTACATTGACATCAATTATTTATTTCAAACATTGACAAATATCAAATGGAATTCCTTATTGTACACCTACAAAAGTCTTCATACAATTTTACTTCCAATATAAGTATACCTACGCTAAACCTTTCATGAGAGTAGGATGATGCATTATATAAATTAAACAGATTTTATTTATTTTATCGAATATTCGAATATATTCGAATACTTGCATTGAATATTCGAATATGAATTATTGACAAAATTGACATCCCTAATATATATATATATATATATAGATAGATAGATAGATAGATAGATAGATAGATAGATTATATATATATATATATATATATATATATATATATATATATATATATATATATATATATATATATATATATATATATATATATATATAAACCATTGTTGATTGTCAAAAGAGATTCAATTAAAAAGGGTGAAGATAACGAACAGTGTTCGATCTAAAAATAATAATAATAAGAGCACTTACTTTACTTGTATGTGTTTTTCTCTTTCTTAATGAAAAAGATGAAGATATAACGAACAGTGATATTCTTTCTCTGAATGAAATTAAATTCGGAGTATCTGCATTCCCTTGAATTTCATTTATATAATTTGAATACATTAATGGCGTGTTTTTATTATATCCACGGGGATGGTTTGCTTTTAAGCAAGTGCACATGTCTGTTTATAATGTTGAAATTAAGGGTATATTTGTTGATGATTACTGCATGGTGATATTTAGCAGAAATACTTTCTTATTGATACAATATATTGTTGTCATCGTTCGCTTCCAGTGTTTGTTTAACAAGCATCCGTGTTTTGATTATTTTCGGTGCAGTTTTACAAGTAACTTAGGATCTTACCTACATGTCTTTCAATATCTTTATTATCTATAAAATAAAAATTAGAAGTTAGAAAAAATGACAGAGGAAATAAAAAAAGAAGACACTGCATATAAAATAAATATCTCTTATATAAATCTAATATAAATAGCTAATCTATCGTAGGATGAACTGTGAAAATGTATCTCTATCTGAACGGTGTAAAATGTGCGATTTTAAGCTTCGAAATGTTTGGGTAAAAATGAATTCATAATTATGTAAATATTGATTGATTTATATTGCCAGGGTTAAATCTTAATAATGGGCAAAGTTTCATCAAAATTGGTGACCATCCCTGCAAAGAAAAGTGTTTACAGAAAATTGCTCTCTAAAAGCCTTTATTCAGCCATAGTTGGAGTCGAACTCAATTTATTAGCTCAATTAATTGGCTCAATTAACTCAACTTTTTATTAATCATTTAATGCTGCAATGCACATTGTAAATTACAGTTTGTCCCACGGTTCCAAAGTCTTACACATTTTGAATCTCAAAATTCACATATACCTTGGCCATTTAACAAGGTTTGATCATGCAATAGATTTTCTTCCAAACTTTCTACTTTGAAACGATCCCTTGACAACTAGTATGTTGATATCGGCAAAAAATTAAAGTATTAGGGGGAATATAAAAAAAAATAACTACAACTTCAGAAAAGGATACTGAATTATTCGAGATTTTCTGTTACATGTTATCAATAAATTTTTGAAGTAGTGAATGTGCAGAATAAATTCAGTGGTCACACTAGGATAATATCTAGAAATAAGGAGATCTTGGGAAAAATTGTTTTGGAAATGTTTAAATGTTATTTTCTTTCAGAACAAAGATTTATAGACTGTTATAAATATGAGGTGGCATTTGCGAATGTCCACCCTTCGTTTTTATTGTACATAGAAATACAATATTATATTTAAAAAATATATTTCAGCGGTTTTTGCATTTTACTTTAATCAGTGTTTTCAGACAGACATAGATAAACACATAATACACAAAATACACCATATTGAAATCGACCCCTATAACTGTAAATATTTCTATTGCAGATGCAACTGAATAAAAAACACTAAAAGGAGAAGGTCTTCTGGCAAGTCAAATATCGAAATCGCAAAAAAAAGCCTGTAAAACGCCAGATATTTCGGACTAATTTAAGCGTTACTATATGAATCACCAATACTTTCAGAAAAAAAAATTTTGAGAGGGGGTGGGGCCTAATATATATCGCCAAACGCCCTAACTCCGTCACTACCCTAACTCCGTCACTTTCTGGAAACTCCATGTACATATATTTGTAAACAAATACGATCGTGACGTCATTTTTTGCATGCTGAAAATTTACAATTAATTGCCGAGAAGTTCTAACAGTCAAATTTAAGAATGCGTCAAAAATACATAACAATATTACACGCGAACTACTGTATCTATCATATGTGAAAACACCTTTTCCTTTATGCGCTATTCCATCCCTATCTCAGAAATGTGCATCAACATGCTCAATTTCACATGTCAGCCATTTTTATGAAGGTCTATGTCAAAGGTTTAACATGAAATACCATATTGAATATGCCTAAAATATTTTATTTTTCGACTACATTTACCTTAATGCACTAGACGTTAAAGATAACGTTAGCGCGACGTTATAGCATATTTAAAATATGTTATATTAACGTTTTTCTGTTGTTGATACTTTTCTTGCAATACAATTGAAAAAAAAAAATTCATATCGTATAAACTATTTTCTTATGTTTGCAAGTTTAAGAAAAAGGGACAAAAACTAAATTGGATATAAATCCATTTATTACGCAAACATTGTAGAGGGCCCTGGTGACGGAGTTAGGGGTGAAATATGGAGATACCGAACAGTATTCAAGATCAAAATCCATCAAACAATAAAAATGGGGAGCAAAGCAAACACGGACCTCCAAAAACATCAGAGGTGTGATCAGGTGTGCTTCGTAATCCTGTCCCACTCGTGAAATAAATTCCATATCCAACTAAAAACATTGAATATCTTCTATATACACATACAAATATGCCTTGTTCAAATAATGTTATAGAAGGGAAAACATTTGCAAATGTAATTACTGTATACATCAGAACTTCCCCATCTTCATGTCCGTTTGCATCCTCTTTTTTTTTCATTACTATATACTTTATTTCACATATGCAATTCTCATATGAAAAGGTTAAGCATGGATATAATTTAATTTGACATAATTCTCTTACCTGATTGTGATAACCTTTTTCCGGTAAAGGTAAAGAAAAAAGGCGGTAGTAATGAAGACAAGAACGAGCACCGAAATTATCACTGCAGGAAGGACCCAGTTTGTATTAGCAGAGTTATGTGTGTCCGGGACTCCTGGCAGAGAAGAATTGGACGGCGTTGTTCTGTGCAAAAGGATAGAGCATATCTTTTTGTTTAAAGTTTCTTTAACTTTGGGAAATTCTACAGACACCGCACAATGATGACAAAGTACAGCAATGCATCATTTGAGCTTTAATAAATAATACTACATGTAAATTAAACGAAATAAATGCTTAATTGGTTGCATGACTCAACTTAAGTGTTCTGTAAATATTAAAAGACTGATTTTGTATGAAAATCCAAAGAATAATGTACAGATTGAAACAATACAAATGTAATACGCTTGTGAGCGTAAGCGTATAAAAAAGATGCACGTATATGAAAGCTTATTAATCCAAAACGCAAATTTACATGATAATTATGTAAACCAGGGTACTCAATCCTCCATTCAAAAAATTCTTATTTTACGGTCAGATGATCGAAAGGGGTATTTTCATATAACAAAAAATGCTGTTTCTAAATGAAAAAAAAGCACATTTAAGAAATAAATAAGGTTAATAAGTTCTTTGGGAAATGAACTTCGTTGGTCACGTGATCAAATACTGTGAAGCCTGAAGGGCCAAGAAAGTTCGCCTAGCCCCAATATTTGAATATTTAAGTTGATGTTTAGCATTTAAGTTTAGGAAATTTCTGTTTATAAAGATAGAACAATGATCGGCATTGAGAATAATCTGACTGTTTTATGAGTTTTTATATATATTGAGTCAAAAGCTGTGTTATTGTCCGTTTTAGTTTACATACCTTCAAAGAAATTTCGGGTTAAACAGGTAAGCGCGATTAAATTATTGAAACCATTCTACACACTGAAGAAAGATCTAATGGACATATGTTGATTGAAAAAAAATTCCGTATGTTTTAATAATTGTATCTTTGTCACCGCTATCAAGCTAGAAGTTCCCGAAACCAGTTTCAGTGTGACAGAAATATGAAGGCAAGATATCATCTCGTTGTGTGATTCGGTCACACTATGACATCTGACCCCCGAATAAGTTCATACAAAATTGAATTTTCTCTTCAATAAGTTCGCCCAGGGAAAATATTTGCTAGTGTAAATATTAAGAAATGTGACAAATTGACATTTTATGAATTTGAATACAGTAAACATTCTAAATTCTGACCTTTTTAAATTTGGACAAGCCGGGTCTGCAAGAAAGCATCGTTCTTCTGAATTGATTTCCAAGCATGCCGGGTCTAGAATTCGAAATACATGTATCAAATTTTTGTAAATTCCAATCCAAAAATACATACATGTATTCTAATTCATGATAATAAATTTGAAATAATTCATACATTTGTAAATTTCATTGTTCAGGTAGGTCTCGTTGGGACATCCGTAGCTAAAGGAGAGGCAATTTTCTGAGTTTATATATCCTCCAAAATTTGTAGATTCGGAAAATGCATACAAACAAGAATCTGAAAAAAAGGAAACACATATAATTACATATACCTACTGAAAATACGATACATAGGTTCGTTAATTTTTTCAAAGAAATATGAAGATAACAGTGACCAATCTCAAAAGTCCATTGCAACAATATGTAAATTATGAGCAAAGTCAACATTTGACGTAACGACAAATTTTATTTGCAAACATTGCATCGACCATAGAATTTGCATAGTGTTTACTTTAACGAGATTGTTAATATCCTTGTATCACGTAACGACAAATTTTATTTGCAAACATTGCATCGACCATAGAATTTGCAAAATGTTGACTTTAACGAGATTGTTAATATCCTTGTATCACGTAACGACAGATTTTATTTGCAAACATTGCATCGACCATAGAATTTGCAAAATGTTGACTTTAACGAGATTGTTAATATCTTTGTATCATCAACTTATTTGTAAATAGCCTGCCTCCTTTTAGAACAGGATCTTGTGTATCGAATCAGCTGGCAGATACAGGGGACAATGGTATATTGCTGCATAGATAAGGGAAGTTGACGACAGCAAAGTTAAAGTCAGTTGAAAACGTTTCATCATAAAGTCTTGTTGTCAGTTTGCCATCAATGTCTTTCTCTAGAAAAAGTCCAAATATGAAACAGATGCGTCAGACTCTGTTGTGTCTTGTATTTAGAGTTAATTTGGATATCGAATCAACCTAGTAATGAAACTGAATATTTGTTAATTGATAAAACGTACTGTAAACCGATAACTGTAAACGTATCCATAATATTACACTGATTTCTTGTATAGTCGTTCAACGTCCTTTATGCATTTTTAAGAACTCTGTGAAAAATTTTTGCGGAAAATTTGTGATCGCCTCTTAGCATAATTCTATGCGCAAAAAGTACGTGTACAGTATCTAAACGCCGAATTGAAGGCCACAGCAAAATACTTCTTTTTGTATAGGTTTTTTTAATAATAAATTCTGTTTCATTTGATATGAACAATAATAGAGAGCAATAGACATGATTTGTCTACTCACCTTTCGGATACCTCCCTATCCTACCACGGAAACAGAACTCTACCAACGTGGACTTATCAGCATTCGGAGTGCATTGGTAGAGAGTTCTGTTCTTCTCATCGTACGGGCAATTTAACCGGATGCTAGAGTCAAGCCATGATTTTCTGTTCCGAGGACAGGAGGACACGGGGAAATATTTTATATCCATTACAGGTCTATAAAGAGAAAATATCTTAGTATGCTTTTGCGGCTTTTGAAAGGAATGGTCAGTCCCGTCTTCTTTCGTCGACGAAAATATGCAAAAGGTATTGAAAATAGAGTGAAAAATATACTGTAAATGATCATGAAAAGGCTTGCTGTTCTATATGAGTTAGGACAATTCCCACTATTTTATTTGTGTTATGAAAATATGTTTTAATTTTATTTAAGATTGAAAAAATTCAGAGTCAGAGAATGAGCATTATGATAATGGTCAATTGGTTGTGTCTGCATTTAAGGAAAATAAAACACTGGGGTGTAGAGTAGCTTGGCAAAGAAAACTTTTTACTCTACAACAGAAATCGCCTTTATCTTCTTTGAACACATCACATAAAACTTAAAGATATGAATGAGAGAAGCATTATAGTAAGATAATCTGTGAACAGTTAAAGAACATTTCTAAATCAGAGTCTGGAAAATTATCTTTTTATAGTAATGTTACAAATTAAATCTAAATGAATATAAATTACAGAACTACCTACAATTACCATTGAAGAATTTTGAAAAAATAAAATCCTGACAAAACTAAGAATTAGTGCTCATACACTACATATGGAAATGGGGAGATACTCAAGTCCACCTATTCCTAGGGAAAAACGTGTATGCCATTCTTGTAAACTTTTCATTGAAAATGAAAAACATTTACTTTATTGTCCTAGTTATGATCAATGTAGATTCCAATATTGCGATATATATATTTAATGCTCAGTGTTACATGAAGGAAAACCCTTTTATTGACATTATCAACCCTCCAAGTATTAAAATTGCTAGAAGAGTATGTGTCTTCTGAAAAAGCGCTTTGATATTAGAAATGAACAACCTCAACATAACTGATATGGTTACTAGGATGGTTTTATGTATGTTGTTTGTTGTATTCATGACTATATGCCGATGTATGATGGTGTTGTCAATAAATAAAGTGAAATTATATTAAAATTGAATTTAAACATACTTCCAATAATGTTTTCCTGAATTTGTATTTTTCCGTGAAATTTGTCTGTTTTACATTAAATGCATTAGGATAGTTGTGTCTCTTTTACATTACATATGAAGATATTAACACAAAGTACTTCAACTAATTCAAAGGTTCTTTAATCATGCAGGGCCTATTTCAATTTTTTGATGAACCCAATATTATTCATACTAAATTGCATAGATGAGTGTTAAGGGAAAAAAATAAAATGCAATATAAAGTTTATGAAATGTGCAACTGTGCTTGAACAAAACTCATATGTGATGTTTCCAGCTGAAGCCCTGTCAGATGTGCAGTATTACTTAAAACTATCAAAACTCTACAGGAATTTAAAAGGTGTGTCACTTTTGCAAAAGGTAGCTATAGATTAGAGTCTGTATCTCAAATATCAGGATATACATGTATCTATGTACGTAATAATACACAGCTAAAAAAACTTTTTTAATCTAACATGCTTTTGGGAACTACTCAGTAATTAAATGCAATTTTGGAAATATAACAAAGGCGCAAATAAAGATATGATGAATTTTGAAATCTTACTAAACTTTTTATGTTTATGATTCATTTTATAATTTTTTACTTTCTCGTAAATTACTCCCCTGTTTGCATAAGTACATGTACATGTAACAGTTTATCTGCAATTAAGCATGTTATCTAAGTTTTCACCAAACGCAATGCATTTTCTGCACGAAAGTTGCCGGGAAACTATAATCACTATCAAAACTCAATCTAAAACATTGAAGCTTGAAATTAGAATGGAACCAAAGGAATTTAATAAAAACCTGCCAACGGCTAAAGACTTCAGTTGCCCATGGGCCACTTATCATGACTTTGCTGTTCTTGAGGAGAAAAATTTTAAAGATTTTTTCCCCTATGTATTCCTATATAAAACTGATCGCTCATTGTGGCCCCATCCCAACCCTAAATTTGAACAAATTTAAATCTATACTATCTGAGGATGCTTCTATAATAATATGACTAACCATGGCTTTGCTGTTCTCAAGAAGAAGATTTTTAAAGACATTTCTTATATATTCCTATGTAAAACTTTTGACCCCATCTTTTGCCCCCGCCCTACCCCTGGCGGTTATGATATGAACAAACTTGAATCTAAAGTATGTAATGAAGCTTTCCGATAAGTTTCATCTTTTCTTGCATAGTGGTTCTTGAGAAGAAGATTTTTAAAAGTTGCCACCAAATTTTCACGAAATCTTTATTATCTTGAAATAGGGCCTGACATTTCCTGTGAACAAACTTAAATTCCCACTTCCCAAGGATACTTTGTGGCAAGTTTTGTTGAAATTGGCCCAGTGGTTCTTGAGAAGAAGTCGAAAGTGTGAAAAATTTACAGACGACAAACGATGGACAACAGACGGACGCCAGACACTCTTTGATCAGAAAAGCTCACTTGAGCCTTCGGCTCAGGTGAGCTAAAAAGCTTTATAAAAACAAAATTTATGCAATGGCTAAAAAATGTAGCATTGTATCATATATATATATATACAAATATTGTTGGAAGGCGCTACCACATCCACCCCTTCTCAAGTCTCACAGACCTGTCGTGATTGAAGATTATGTTAAAATGGTCCATGAAATCTTGTAATCTGCGATCTCTCTCTCTCTCTCTCTCTCTCTCTCTCTCTCTCGCATTTATTAGTACTTACGATAGTGGAATCCCCAAGTGCACTTCAGTCGGTTATTATCAACAGTTAATTTGAAACATTTGGTTTTTCCCATATTTTATACAGTATTCTTCCGGGATTATAAGACGGGTATGAATTTTTACTTCGGGTATTTAAATCTTTTTTGTTATGGAGCACACAGCATGACCACACACATAAGCCTATCGTTCCACAAAGTTTCTCGAAGATATTCATGTAGTCTCATTTTTGAATTTCTTAATGTCATAGGATACCCAAAATCAAAAAGTGATGTTTTTATTTTATCTTGTTATACATTTTTTGTAGATTCAAAGGTATTTGCTATATGGTAAAATTAGAGTGTCAGTGTACATGTATTTTTTTAATGCATTTTCATTGAATTAAATACATGTATAGATAAAAAAAAAAGTAGATTTAGGGAGAATGTACAAATAAGCTTGTTTGATAGAAAAATTTCGTGATAAATATGTTCAAGCAATGATGGTCTCTACAAACTGTTTTACAAACTTCTTATAAGATAATTTTTTGAGTATCTTTTATGTTCACAAATCGTTCTTTTTTTTTTTTTTTTTTTTTTTTTTTTTAACATTGAGACTTTGAAATGAAACAAGGAAACTTGCGAAATGTGCTACATGTATTTATACGCAATGAACTTTATTATTGCAAAAATCATATTTATAGATTCAATATTTCACAAGAAAATTTTTCAAATAAAAAATGCAATTATTTGAAATTAGCCTCGAAACACCAATGAAATTTTCAATATGAAATTGTACACTGGTGGTAAATGTTTCAAACTCAGTAGATTGTTGTGTCATAAAGATTTAAACTTTCATATTCAAGTACATGCAGATGGGTTGTTCATAGCTTCATCATATACCGATGGATTTGAAGTTTTTTTCCTATACACAATTATTCAAAATCTTTAATTAAGCTGTTAATTACAACATTTTGGGGAAATAATAATCTTAGTAAATTACTTTTACATAGTTGCTTGCTTCAGTATGACAAAGGGAAGCCCTTTATTAATATAATAATCTAGCTGACTTCAAAGCAACAGTAGAGGGAGAACTGTTACTTCAAATTTAAGAAGATCCTCAGTCGCGGATCCAGGATTTTTTTCGGGGGGGGGGGGGGTGTTCCACCCCAGTACAGAAAGAAATTTGTTGACAAGCCAAAAAAAAAAAAAAAAAAAAAAAATAAATAAATAAAAAATAAATAAAACGTAATCCACTCCCAAACGTAAAAAAAAACAAAACATTTCGTGGTAGTGGTGGGGGGTTTCTAGGGGGAGGGGGCCAAAGTCATTTTTTATCTGCTTCTATAAATACTTTTAATAACTCTGCAAATTCCAGGGGGGGGGGGTTCGAACCCATCCCTACGACCCCCCTCTAGATCGGCGAATGATCCTGGCTTGAGATTTAAAATTTTTACAGGTACAATGTACAAGTATATGCATATATAAAATGTAAAATATTTTCAATTTTTCAATTTCTTTGTTCTAACCATGCAAGTTTTTGAATACAGGTAAGAAAAATTCCTTCGCACATCTTAGACTTCGCTTATAATGCGATGTACCATACATGTAGATGTATTACCTTCCTAGAAATCGTGTCCTAAAATTTAATATCATTTATAAAGTCTCCAAAAAAAAAAAAAAATAAATAAATAAATAAAAAAATTAAAAAAAATAAAAAAAATAAAAAATAAAGAGGATAGATGGAATTATGGGAGTATTTAATTTTCCGTCACCGATTTGGAGGTTTTTTTTTCAAAAGAAATGAAATTTAGCACCCTCATCATGCATAATATTCTTTTTCAAATCTACATGTACGTATATGGAGACGCAAATAAAGGTTTGTTAAACTAGAGACATGAATAACATGTTAAACTGCAAGGAACATGTATTCATGTATTACATGTATTTTAGGTCTTGCAATGCCTTTTATTTCACCTTTTGGAGATATTTTATTGTATTCTTATTTTTACTTTTCTGGAAATGCTAAACAGGTTAGAGGCCAGGGGATGCTTGCTCCTTCAAGTTACCTGACCATACGGAAAATCCACACCAGATTCAATTTTCTGGGGGGGGGGGGGGGTCCTACTCTGTGTAATCGTTATAGAGAGCGATTTCTCCCAGAGCTAATCTGGGCCCAATCAAATATCATGGCTGTACTTATGTATGGATGAGGGGGTTAGGAGGTGACATGTTATTAAACATGTCCCTTCTTCAAAATGGCCACCATTTTCATTGAAAGATACGTAGTGCATGTATGAAAATTTTAAATCTCCTTTTTCTCAGTAACTGTCCAACTAATTCTTTTGAAGCACTAAAATTTTGATCTTTTCATCAGGCAAACTGGTCTCTGAAAGGAAAATGTACGTAATCGGTTGGACAAAATTTTAAATGTTATCATAGAAACAAAAAGGAATTTTTCTAAATGAATTCTTTTCCTCCTATTGTATTTCAAACTACATGTACATAACAAAGATGTGTAAATGTTTCTCCAAGATTCCAGTTGTTTAAATATCCAGTATAGCTGTTGTTGCCTTGGAACTTAAAATGGGTCATTTATTTCTTTAAATTTGAAATTTCGCAAAACTTTAAGAGGATATTTGCTCTTTGCTTTCAAATCCATTATTACACCACTGAGGTAGAAGGGACACAAAAGCAGTGTTTTCTTGTATTGTTTTGGCTTTTTTTTTCTTTTGAAGAACTACTCGATTCAAATACTCACAAAATGGATTTGGAACTTAATTATCAATAACATAAATTTTAAAAATTTTCTCACACATTCTTTGTAAAAAGGATCGACCCATAGAAAAAAATACTAGGCCTTAATTTAGAGGGCAAAAAAATTATCAAATCACTAAAGGTGTCCTGATACTAGAGTATACATTTTAAACTACTTGAACAAACCACAGGTACCGCAGCACCTAGAGAGGGTGAAGAGACTTCGAGTCAGGATTTTTGGAGTGACTAATTATACAATTTAATTTCATATGAGTTAAACTTTTGGGTTTAGACTCAATGAATTTGAACTATATATTTTAAGATTTATTCTAAATTTGACAATTCTTGAATAGACAACACATATTTCCATTAAAAAATAATTTGATTTTCATATAAACTTTTAGCCAAAATATTGTCGATATAATTTAAGCATTGATAAAACAGGGGAAATCCTACTCTGACAAAGAAAAAGGGAGGAAATTTGGCTATAGGGGGAAATCCTACTCTATAGTACAGATTCCGGGGGTGGGGTGGGGGGCTGGCTATGGGGGGAAATCCTACTCTACAACATCGGTATTAAAGTAAATGTATATAGTTGAATATCATATGGAAGGTCCATATTGTCTCGATTATCTCTGAGTACTCCATACTCCGAGTTCAAATACGACCTCCAATTCCCTGTCTTCATTGACCACCAAAGGGCTTAAAGTGCATGTTCGACACTGACAGGCTACTATTTATACAAATGTTGAAATAAAATGGACCTTTCGGCCTACATCGCATTCCCAACAACGACACAAAACCCTAGATCCCAACAGTGGCATTGTTGGACCAACATTAAGCTTACAATTCCAACGCCAACATTATGCTAGCAGTACAACTATGATCAAGGGGCTCGATATATTTCTGCAAAATAGGATTGAGCATTGCAGTCTTGCAATGCCCTTTGAATTTTCTTGATGTACTCAACATCTGAGGAGCTAAGTTAAGGATATATAATATGTAAGCCCATTTTATTAAATCAATGTTCCAAACATTTTTTTAAAAACTTGAAATTATTTAATCCTTATCCACTAAATCTACTAACTTTTTCAAATATACATTGTAACAATGTTTTTTTTCTTATATTCGTTTAAAATAAAAGGCATCTTTTGACTATATACAAAACGAAAGTAATGAATGTATGCATCAAGCTTGCGAAATAAAATAAATGACGAGAGAGGAAAAAGAAAATATTGCGTACAGTTTCCTGAAAGTTATTAAACTCATAAATGCGTCGAGTTAACAAAATCCACAAAAAGTATTTTCACTTGATACATATATTATGTCGTTATAATGTGATATATTCATGTAGGAGTTATTTCCCATATCAACAAGACCCAAAGATAATCGTAATTAAAAGTAAATTCAATGCAATTTATATCTAAATTTAGTGGCAATAAAGCAAATTGTATAAATGAGTATTCAAAAAATGTTCAGTTATTAAATGTTTCTAAAATAAAATCGATATATACAAAGATTTTTAATAAAATATCTTAATCATGAATACTTTAATTTAAAAAATTATTTTCGTCGCTGCAATATTTACAGTTGAAGCACTCCTCTATAGTAGGAAGGAAGGTCCGGAGTGTCTCGGTTATCTCTATGATTACTCTATACCCCGAGCTCAAAATAAGACCTCCCTTTAAATTTTCGTCTTTACATTATAATAAAATTTTAAAAGTCAGTGATTTCGAATGGAATAATTTATATACCATACAACGGAAGACAGCAGTAACTGTAATTCCTGGCTTTCTTGTCCACATACTACAAGTTTGAATATATACATGTATATTTAGCATGCAGTGTTACAAAATAAAAGAAACAGGAGAGAGAGAAAAAAATGGTGCATAAACATATTTCGCTTAAAGTTAGTACATGTAAACCCATCTATATCTGTCTCCTACAACATGTACAGTGTTTCACAATATATATCACAATAGGTGATAGATGTGTAGGAGTTATTCCCCGTATTACCAAAACACAGATATAGTCCTAAATAAAAATCATTTCAATTTAATTTCGCAAAATCTATGATGAAATTTTATTCAACAAGGCAACATGCATAAATGAACAGTTAATAAAAATGACAATTTAATATTTTTTTGAAAAATATCTTCTGTAACCCAAATACTTCATATACAATATCATAATTGTAAATACAACATTTTCAAAATTTTATTAGTCCTGAGCAATATATAATAATAAAGTAGAATGTTAATATGGGTGGTCCGGAGTGTCTCGGTTATCCTATGAATATCTCAATACCCCGAGCTCAACATAAGACCCCCCTTTTTTTTCCCCATCTATTCGAGATAGAATAAACGATTTCCAATACCGTATCGTATTACAATATCACATAGTCTGTATTATTTTTTCAAAAAATTCACACATTTGATATAAAAAATCAATAGCTCACAAATTCACTCTTGCTGTGTGCGAAGAAGGGACATCCTCGCAAGCCAGAGGTCCTGAGTCAACACGTTGTCGTTGTCCAACGGCAATTGACTCAGGACCCCTGGCTTGCGAGGATGAGAAGGGAAAGCTAGGGAGCACCATGCGTCTACATATTTATTTATGTGCACTCGTCCATTGGAAATCCCCGTTACTATATTTAACTACAGTAACTGTATTTCCGTATTTGAACTGATTTTTTTTTTAAACCTCAAAATTATTAAAATTTTTTTTTTGTAAAATAATTCTATTACACGTACCGTTCAGTTGGCAAGGATCATACAGCACATCATTTTTTTCTATTGTTACTACATGTACCATTTCAGCCACGGCCTCATGCCTCCTGGGGGGAGGGGGGGGGGGGCACAGAGAGAATAATTTTAAAAGTGCTACCTTTTCAGATAGTTACAGCTATCGAAATTATAAACCTTTTTGCAAAAATCGATATCAAACCACAAATGATAATTTTAAAACAATATAAACCAAAAAAAGTCAATAAAAGAATAACATACGCAGCCAATGAAATAGTGTACGTATAAAGTACGTGTACCAGATTACAGTTAAGTCCCTTTAAAATTTTCCAATAACATGTTGTTTCAAACCAATTCGGCAATCGATAGAAAATGCATCAAACATAATTTACAACTTTCTACATGACATAATTAACAATTGTTTTATTTGTGTATCAATGGAAATTTGCAGTTATTTGTATAACAGTGGCTTATGAAAGATTAACGCACTGCTTTACTTTAGCATTTTTATCGGGTGGATATAAAAATATATCGAAGCCCTGAAAATGATATGGAAGGTCCGAAGTGTCTAGGTTACCTATCGATTACTGTAATAACCCTAGCTCATCATTAGACCTCCACAAATCTTTTTTTTTTTAATACAGTATTTGAGATAACACTTTCATAAAAGTAACGTTACACAGAGGTACCTTATGACCAAAGTCTTAAATTTCAAAAGCACAGAATGACATGTTTACACGGAAATTGTTATTATATTTTGGTACTTACATGTACATGTTAGTGGATGTTGGGGATTATGAAAAGATGTATGTTATCTAGTATCCATGCTTCAGGTGCCTGTATTGCCCTGTAAGAATTACATATAAACAATTGCTTTTGTCTTTTGTGCATTCAAAAACACAGCATGTGTGAATTTTTTTTTAATGGATAATATTCTTTTTCTGTAGGATGACAAAAATTGTTCATAGACAAAATTTATTTCAACAAATTATAAAAAAAAATATATACAATGTATATGCATACCCTGCTTTGTTAGTTAAAAGCAAAACCCTGTACAGGTGGGGTTTTTTCTTTTCCCTTTGTAGAGGAGATAAAATTTAAAATGGTGTAACCCTTTAAACTGTGAAAATTTGTTAATCTTTATTTTTACCTATATTATCATTTCTTCATCGTGTTTTTAAAGTTTATATAGAACCTACAGAATATGGAGAACACAATAAACACTTTTTTTTTTAAACATACAAGTGCTATTTAAAATTTTAATTATTTAAAATACTGTAATATTCACATGTAATTCATGAAATCTTCCTTCATAATTTCATTTGAAGCAACACAATAATTAATATGTGAATATCTGATAAATAAATAATTCATTTGATCACAAAGCTCACAAGGTCTCAATTCCCAAATAAAATTCAATAAACCCTAATACATGTATCAAATCATATAAATGAACATAATCTGCTAATAACTCATTCCAACACTTGTTTTGCCTTGAGTATTCAAGCTGTTAATAAACAAACAATAGTCAAACTGTCTTTGGTCAAAAATACAATTCTATACCACACATGCCTCATGAAATAAAAATAAAATGATCAACAGATACATTTACACATGTACAAATATCACACAAAATAGATATAGTGTAAGTAATTGGTGTCACTGAATGCCCAATGGTTGTCCTTGGTACTTGAGGGATGACTAGTTACCTAAAATGTACATTAGTTATAACACTGCTGCAGTGTGACTAAGGGGTGGGTTTTCTATGACCGCTTTACTCTGTACCAGTTGTAATTCCATCTGAGCTGGAGTAGGTGCATTTCCTTCTCCTGCAAGAACTGAAATAAACAGATGTGGAAACCTAATGAGCAAAATTTAAGTAGTTGGTTCCAAGTCATAGGCACTGAACAAAACTGAAGGTAGTCTGGTTCAATTCATAGTCACTGTGTTACAGCTTCAAGAGCTACAATTCTCGATTTTAACAGAGTATCAACATGATCAATATTAATATGTTCAGAAATACTTTATCGCAAAATTATTTTGTTAAAAAGCATTCTGATTGTATGCACAAGTACTCTGAAGTTGATATTAAAAAGATGATGAGTTTCTGATTGACGATATCTACGTAGTTTATGGAGATCAGGTCTTTCAACAATCTGTTGGAATTCCCATGGGTACCAATTGGGCCCCCTTGTTAGCAGACCTATTTTTGTATTCATATGAAGAAGAATTTATTCAAAAACCTGAATGAGAAGAAGAAAACACTTGCTGTGGCCTTCAACTCGACATTTAGATATATCGATGATGTATTATCAATTAACAATAGTTACTTCCATTCATATGTGGACTCGATATATCACAAGAACTTAAATTAAGATACCATAGAGGCTGAAACATCTGTTTCATATTTGGATATTTTACTAGAAAAAGACTTTAATGGTAACCTAACAACAAAAAAGCTTTATGATAAACGTGATGACTTCAATTTTTTTTAATCGTTAACTCCCCTTACTTATGTAGCAATATATCCTTATCACCTGCATATGCTCTACGTATGAATAATTTCCAAAACAAGGCAAGCTACTGACAAAAAAATTGATGAAACAAGGATTTCAACAGTCTTGTTTGAAGTCATTATTCCGCAAGTTTTATGGTCAATACAATGACCTTGTCAGCAAATACAACCTATCATTGAGTAAACTGCTGACTGACGTTTTTCATACTAATTAATAGGCCATTATTTACTGAATTGCCTATGGATTTTTCCATTTTCCCGATCATGACAAGGAGCACACGGCGGGTGTGACTGGTCAGCAGGGGATGCTCACTCCTCCATAGCACCTGATCCCACCTCTAATGTTTTTAAGGTCTGTTTGCTCTTCTCCCGATCCCAATTTGTATTGTCTAAATGGACTCTGGGCTTGAATATTGTTTGTTATCTCTATACTTCATTTTAATCGGTGCTTTTTATTACTAAGGTTCAAGGATCTCCATCTGCAGTAGAAGACTTACTCGTTAATCCGATTCATTAAAAATTGTCAGAAATTAGGAGTAAGTATTGCAGATAAACTGGGAGTTCTTTTCTCTGAACCTACTATTGCTTGAAAATGAAAAATTTTGTGATTTTTGAAATTTAAATCTTTTTTTTTTCCCAATCTTCAGGCTTAAATATTTTTGTCAAGTCATAAATAAAATTAAATAAAGGTTGTGTAAAATATATGTGCTTTCAATTGATATGAAGAAAAAAGGGATGTCCCCTTATATTAGGCATTTAATATGGAACCGAAAGTCCATTTTTGAACTCAATAAATAATTGACATTGATTAAATAAAATACTAGTAGTATATTCCTAATGTGAGTATTTTGTAGACTTGCAGCTCCCTGAATCTTTACAATTATTGTAAACTAGTGAACAATACCATACTTTAAGAGGTCAGATTACAAAAAACTTGAAACTCTATCATTTAAAAGAAATTATCTGTTATTCAAAAGAGAGGGAAAAATACATTCGAAATGATATGAGAAGGAAGTGATTCTTCCTTCTTATATCATTTTGAACCTATTTCCCTTCTCTTTTGAAAATCAGAGTTATAATAATTGGACATATTTCTACTAAAAATGTCAAAAACCTGGAGATTCTTGAAAAATTTAACTTAATGTTGTATTTTAATGGATAAAGGACACTATATGAATGAAGATGAAATATGTTAAATGACTCTTATTTATAATTAATTATTTATTATAATGTTTAACTCACCTCTAGCCCTGTCCAGTGTTCGTTTGATGACATTTTGAAGGGTTGAAATGGTTTTCTCAAGAGCCAGCTAAAATGATAATAAACTACTATAAAAAAAAATACTACATGTACTAAGGGTACTCAGGACTGTATTGTGTCACATATAATGTCAGATCTAAAACCACAGGCCTTTAGATGGCTTTTAATGTGACTGATTCACTGACAAGCTGGGGGAGGGGTGTGTGTGTAAATAAATAACCCTAGTCTGATTAAAGCGATCTAAAGGACTAGCTGTGTATAAAACAATACATATTGTACATTTTTTTATTACATTTTCAACAGTGAAATACCGTGATTTATTTATTGAATAAAAGTAATATTCTCTCACAGTGTGAAAGGATACCAAAATGATATTCTCTCACAGTGTGAAAGGAAATCAAAGTAAGTAAAAATTAATTTCTGGCCTGTCATAAGATAGAGATATTAACTAAGCATCTTGATAGAGCTAAAACTGCAAATTTCTTCCCAAATAAGTTGCTAAAATCCATGCTATGTAATGTTTTCAATCACATAACTGCAGCGCTAGGCTATGACGTCTCAACCGCTCAACTATGACGTCAAGCCTATGACAGTGTTAAGAAAAGACAGAGGCAAAGGGAAAATCAAAGAAAATGTAATAAACAGAAAATTCAATGTTTTGTAGATGAATATGGAATTTATTTCACTGGTGAGACAGGATTTTTTTTATATTTTCACTCGTGCTTCGCACTCGTGAAAATATCAAAAAATTCTGTCCCACTCGTGAAATAAATTCCATATTCATCTACAAAACATTGAATATCCTCTATCTATTTCATTCACCATTGCATTGTGAAAGGCAAAACACAGACTGTTTCAAATGCTCAAATGATCCTTATTCAGAAATCATATTGAATTAATCTGGGCATTAATTTTACACTATGGCAGTGTTTATTTTAAGAATAAAATGCTCTCTTTCTTTGTTAGTATGGGAATTAACATTACAGCTGTTGCAGGAAAAAAATACATAACTGCCATAGGCAGGCTATGGCACGCCGATTGCTTCAAAATTATTTTCTGCACAAGGATCACGATTAATATACACGAGTAAAATAAAACTGCACGTATCGGTAAAAATTGCACATAGTTTGAAAGATTTTAACACAAACATAACGAAAAATACACGAATCCGAAATCTTTTACACGATTAAGGGGTATAAAATGCACAAACGTAAAATCAAAACTGCACGAGCAGAGGAAACTAAAAATTACACAAACAATTTTACTGCGCATATCATTATTATGCAAATAGAACATTCATTGTGTTCTTGGTTTTCTGTACTCTTTACCTCTTCATGAATGCTGGAAATGGCGTTGACGATGATATGCATGTTTGTTTGCTTCTTTATTTCTTTGCTAAAACTCGATCCGATTTCTAACTAATGCCAATCGAATGAATGAAATGTTTTCTTGTGAACTGTGTGAAAAAATTTTAAAAGTTGTTTGGAGATATTATATTTTTCTTATATTGACCGAGATCCTAGCCAAAATATGGAGGTATTATATGATGTCCGACATAAATTGTGACAAGAAAGGAATCGCATGTTTGTGTTATAGTGCGGAGAAAAAGTACCATTGCATATGATGCACTCGACTCCGAACTAAAAGTAATACGCTCTATGGCCTTTTAAAATTCTCTAACATAAATACAACTTTAACGGAAAGTACTTGTATAAAATAAAATTAACACATGCATAATAAAACAATTAATAAAGTGGATTCTTCATGAAAATGATGGCAGAATTATTGCTGATTATAATCATTAAATTGAAGAATTTATTTTGGTACTTCTCATTTGTACTAATTATGAATTCATTTGGGCATTTTTTTTTTCATTTAGGAATAGGAAATTATTCAGTTGGTTGGATATATTTTTGACTTTCAAAAAGATTAAAAAGTGGAGATTACCTGACCTTAGATATACACAGTATGTTTTTAAAGTCAAACATAAAAAAATATATTATTTCTAATTATACATGTATCTTGGGTTAAGTTATAAAATATGAGGATATCAGTTTTGGTTGGATATCTGTAGCCTACACCGTTATGAATTCTGTCCATGATTTTGCAAATTTTCAGTCATAAACTACGGTACTCACAAGACATTCCTAACGGTAAGCGTTAACCTCATTTGTAATGGCGATTACTTAATAAATGTTTTCACTTTTAATAAAAAGGACCAGATAAAGGGAAAATATATATACTCTATGTGCTTTATGTACATGCGGTTTTGTGTCTTTTTCTTAAAATTTGTCCAAATGAAATAAGAAAACTCTATTCAAATAATCCTGGCAACGGTAAAACATATCATTAGTGGCAGATCTGGTTCGTGGATTGATTGAGTCGCAACATCTGAATCTATGTATTTATTAAAGTTTCAAATCGTTGGACCATAATGACACATTGGAAATTTTAAAACATAGTGAATTACTAAATACATCTTCATACAATGTTACAAATAAGAAAATGGATATTATAATAAATAGAAAGAACATAGCACGTGTTTATCACTCTTGAAAAATGCAAATAAATCATGTTCTTCATGGATCTCAAGGTTTGACAAATATTTTCCAAGATAACAAATTCGGGGGTGTTCCTATACTACAAGTTTAAGATTGCGTGCCTGTCAATTTATCTATATGTATAATATACGTTGTACATATTCTTGAGAGTCTAGCGATATTTTAAAAGAAACTTTTTTTAAAAAGAATACTTGTTACTCCTCCTTTTGTATTTATAATATGTTTCAAGCATCCGAGTCACATTGAGCTGTTCTCTAATGAATATTAATGAAATGTGCGCAATGAGGATGCGTAGCATATTATGTCGATGTTGTATTCTCACTCGTGCAGTTTTCGTTTTTACGTTTGTGTAATTTCCTCACTATATCGTGTAAATATTTTGTTGATTGTGCAGTTTTTCTATAGTTTGTGTAAATTTTAATAACTTCGTGTATATTTTCCTCACTTTGTGTAAGTTTTTACTTACTCGTGTAATTTTTGTTTAAGGTCGTGCAGAAAATAATTTTGAAGCAATCGGCGTGCCATAGCAGGCTATGTAATTTTTTCTGTACTAGCTGCAACTGTGAATTCCCATACTAACAAACAAAGAAGGACATTTTATTGTTTATATTTATGTACTTTTTCCATGGGGTCATAATTCTGCTGGATCTCTCTGTTAATTTTCAAGGCCTGAAGGGTAGAAAATTACGCAGGTTTCTTAGATTGCATTTGACTCTATATGCCTAAACTGTACATTAAGTATGCTGAGACAAATTTCCACCAAATATTTGTGACTGCATGCTTACATAGTGTAAATTAATAAATAGAAATGGCCAAGTAGTACAACATTTCCATTCTCTATCTATTCATCCCCGCTACGCTCCCACATACACCTCTGTCAATGCCTGTTATACAAAGTTCTTGGAAAATTTGTAGATACTGAAAAATTGCATTAATAATTGTTTTTAATTACATTTATTATCAGAAATCAAAATTTATTTTTTTTTTTTATAACTCCTTAAAAGGATTTTTTTAATTAAGTTTTTAATTTTTATTCCCCAAAATAGTTCCCTAAAAACTCTGAAAATAAATCGTTTTGATGGATGATAGATTTAAAATAAATGATAAATTATCGTCTTTATGGATAATTACTATAATTAATTACTATTATAAATTCACATTTTCACTGTTTAAGACTTGTACAAGAATCTTGTACAACGAGCGTTAATTGACACAGGTGTTGGGAGTATAGCGGAAGACAACTCTGGATAGAGAATGACAACATTTCAACATATATTGAACAACATAAAGACAATCAGAAGTATTGAGATAAACATGATAAATAATGATCTAAATCAGAAGAACATTCTACTTTTGTATTTTGTTACTGAACTTGACTACACTTGCAGTCTCCAATTCTTCTCCTGACACAAATACAGAATGTCAGATGTTCAGAGAGGACAAAAAAATGTCCCCCCCCCCATCTTTGATCTGGGGGCATACAGACTGACAAGATCTATTTGGTTAATATAGAGACATTCCTGTGGGCATTTCAAAACCAAACATTTTCTAGAATTTGAGTGATACACAACCTTCCAAAGAAATATACCTTTAGATTTTTGTCTTTTTCCAACCATGCCAGCAGGCAAGCAGCAAATAAGTCCCCAGTCCCAACAAAAATGGCAGGTACCTTTTCAAATTGTACTTTATATACTTCTTTGCAACCATCTAATAAAAATACAATAGTAAAATGTATACCAGTCAAATTCTAATAATATTTACACTAATAAACATATATACATAAACGATCAGAACAATATGATGGCTAGTGTTCCAAAGATTCATGGAATAGCTCCATAAAATCAATACTTTACAAATATAGCCCTTTTATGAGGTCAATCCATATAGATATATCTACTTCACAGAAAAGCATATCGACTGTCAGAGCACGAAGTGCTGTGCAGTCGATATACCTATGTATTGACCGAATCAAAGGGCCACATTTGTTATATCATTTTCTTTAGAAAAGAAAGAGACAAACATATTCATTATGTAGGAATTTGTGAGTTTTAAAGACTTTTTGGCATTATAAACACATCTTTCGATTTTCCCAAAGTTATATTTAGTACTTCAAGTCAGTATCATAAAATATAATTTTGGACATGATGGCAAGCAAACCAATTAGATTTATTTAATTACACAGTAAAAATAATATTGTACAAGATAGAATTTTTATTATATTGATGAAAATTTAAAACAAATTTACAATCCATTGTGAAATATCCTTACTGGTCACTGTGCTAGCCAGGCATATAATGGTACCATCAGTAGCAAACTCACTACTGCTAATGACCACAGTCTTTGGCCCTTTGCTGTGTAGAATCTGCATTGCTTTAATGGCATCCTCTACATTGCTAATTTCTACTCCAGTTAGTTTTCTAAGAAAAATTAGAAAAAAAAAATCAAATTGAATAATTTCATGTTTACCACGCTGTTGTTAAAATACAAACACATGATGTATTCTCCCTCATTTTATTTCTATGCTTTTACCATGATACCATTTAGCAGGTGAATTTAAACTGAGATTATTTTGGCTGAAGTTGAAACAGGGTTTATTTTTCTTTAACATGTTTGGGTGAAAATACTACAGATCAAAAATTATTATGTTAACTATAATTTTACATGTATGATGATATAAATGTATATAACTGCATTTGATAGATTGATGAGGCATGCATGGCCTCTGATCAAACCAAACTTTGAGTCAAGCTTCTGCAATCTCTGTATGACATTGCATTGACAAGGACAAAACTGAGCTGTACCAAGTATGAGCTTCTATTATTCCAGCATTCCAAATGTTGTGTCTGAATAGAAATTTTCCAGTTGGAGGCACCTGTGACCTTGAACAAGACCAATGACCTTGGTTCAGGGTCATGTTTTGCCTTCTGTTCATGCACATCCTTTGTGTCATTAAAGTACATGTATGATGTTCTAATATTTCACCATTTCAGAGTAATGGCATGGATAAGAATTTTACACAAAGTTCAAGGAACTCAGACAATTCAACACAACACACTTACTCAGCCTCAAACTGGTTTGGTGTAACTATGTCAGCTATGGGTAAAATTTTCTCAATGTAAACTGGAAGTAACTCCTCAGGGACATACTGTAATAGAACAGGGTAAGCAGTTTTACAATTCTGATAGCAAGTTTGTCATAATGACAGCTCACAAATTTGTCAAATACCACAAATGTAGTACAGTCAAACCTCATTATCTTGAAATCCATGGGAATTGCTTTAACATATCTGAGAATTCGAGATATTGCAGGTAAAATACTTAAAGAATAAGTGGTTGGGACTTCCAAATTATTTTGACATATCCATGGTAAATTGACAGAGGCTGACAAATAAATTTTTAGGCACTTGTCCAAGGGCAAGTGCATGGTCAAAATTCACTTGCCCTGCCTGAATTTTTCATGACCATAAACTAATACTGTATATTAGGGGTGCAACGATACACTAATCTCACGATACGATACGTATCACGGTATTCAGTTCACGATACGATACGTATCACGATACATGACAAGGTTTAAAAGTCTTTCAAGTTTGTCATCACATTTTTTTAAACTTGACAGGGTTATACAAAATGTTCATATTTTTTAATGATAATTAAAATAACATTTTGTTAACTTGAATTGGATTGTTAGGTAGATCTTTGAGTTGTGACAACATTCTAAACCAAAAATGAACATTTACAGGGAACTACGGGGAACTTTCCTAATAATCTTCTTTTTAAATTGGAATGAAAAAGGAAGACATTCATTCTGTTATTCCTTTTATTTACGTAGAAAACCAGTTGTCATGTTTCTCGTGTTAATACGTTTTAGTCAACAAGACAGTGAATTTTCATCGAAATACACACGTGATGAAATATCGTGCATTACCAAAGAATACGTTTAGATCTAAAGGATTTATCATTTGTCTTAACATCTTTAACTTATAATCACATTAAGTCCTTCTCTGTGTTAAATCTGAGGTCTGTAAGATGCTGGAGATGAGTTTAACTGCCGTAAATGCGTTATCGGCGACCTCACGTTTTGCGCGGAAGACATTTTGAAATAGTTAAGAAGGAAAATAAATCGGACAAAACGGATAATTCTGGACCGATTGAACCGAACCGCGATATCAGTTTAGCGTATCGTGAATTGAACCGTGGAAAAATATACCGCGATATACCGTCAAACGGTTTATCGTTGCACCCTTACTGTATATCATGTACAGTGTATATATTAAAAAAAAATAGGAAGACAAATACTGAGTATAATGCAAGCCTTTGTGAATAGCTTTATCTATTTCACTTACATGTGGATTTAATTTTTTTTTTTGAAGTCACTTCCACAGGGCAAGTGGTTGTTAAAATTTCACTTGCCCATCCCTAAAATTCACTAGTCCCGGGCGTCGGGTAATGGGATTTGTCAGCCACTGATTTAGATATCAGTGATTGAGATACCAAAGTTCAACTGTAGTTTGTGAGGACATTATAAGATAAACAATTGCAAAAAGCAACTATTGCAAAATGAAAATCAAGAATGAAATATTTCAGTCAAAAAATCAGTTAAAAAATGTAAAGTTCTTCATGCAAGCATGGTTGGGCTAACTGGTCTGTCTGAATGTGTGGCATTATATGCAGACATTTATACAATAAGCACTGATAAGGCATATTAATACAGAAACTGATGCACACCTCCAGTTTTCTTCTGGTAAAAAAAAAGAAAAGAAAAACTTTTCTTACCATTTTACCATGATCCCCCATTACAGGATCACACACTGAAATAGAGGGAAAAAACTTTCAAATTATCAAATTTATTTACTATAAACTGTAATCAGTAAATTTATATACCTGTAATCATATCATTATCATCTATAATTATAAAATAACTATAAATAGATGACATACCATACAGGAGAGACGGGTTACTTGTCTTTAAATCTACCACAATGTCTGCTACTTTTTCTAGGAATGATTTGGACCCTATGTACCCTGAAAATATAAGAATATGGATTATAAATAAATACTGTGAATGATTCTTTCACAAGTGGGTCTTGAGATGAACTATAGGTGGCTTTATAATCTCTCAATAGACTTATACTGAGTATAGGACTTACTGGCAGAACTGAGAATTGAGCTATCAGTTTTTCCATTGCTTTTCTGAGTATAAATCGATATAAAATCAAATTAATCAAATTTTAGTGGCATTCAATTAGCACACAAAAAATTGTGCAAAAGGTGCAAAAAAATGAATTTGGTTTAAATAAATAAACAGCAAGTAGATTGTATACACTGATACACAACTATTTATACCAGAAATGGTCATTTCAGAGAATTGAAACTTATACAAAACTTGATAACCAAATATATGACAGCAGTATGTGAAATGATCTACATACCACCACTGAACTATTAGACAATAAAAATGGATTAGGCAACCACAGTGGCAATTAAGAAAAAAATCTAGACATTAATTAACCTGTTAGTATATGTGAAAATGAGCTGATGTTGTTTTCTTTCAAACCATCAAACAAGCATGCTAAGTCATCACTATTCAGCACCTGTCCCTTAAAACATTTGTAACCTGAAATAAAAGGATTATAAATAAAAAATATATATATGAAATTTTAATGCTACTTCCATAGAGTATAAATGTGAGCAACATAAGTTAAACATATGAACTTTAAACAGTATGCCTACCATACATTTCAAATATTCCTATAGATAAAAAATATACATGTGTCAAATTTTATATACTCAATACATGTTCAACATGTCTTGAAATATTCAAACATGTATATGAGAAATATATTTATGCTTGTGATTTTTATAGTAAACATAGTGAACATAGTTATAATTTTATTAGTGTTTAATCACTATGACAAACCTTTATCATGTTTTAAATGTTTACAGCATATTTGTTACCATATATACCTTTTACCATCTGGTTAACTGTGCAACAAGTCAAATACCTGTGTGATTGGAAAACTGCACTGAATTGATAGTGCTGACATCAAATCCTAAGACCTAAAATGCAAAACAGACTTTGTTTAAGCATACATTTGGTAGTCATAATTTTTTTCTTTGATCTTGTCAAGAGAAATAAAATGAAAACACTTTACATCTGAGCCCCCTCAGTCTCCCCTTTTCAACACAAAATATGTTTCAGGTAATGAGGTGAATGATAAATCAGGCTAGGGCGTCCTTTCACATTTGAACTGGTTGAATAAACAATAATCTAATAACAGTAGAACAGTAGAACTACTTATATACTGAAAGTTTTCAACATACAGTATAGTGAGAATAATAGAATAAGCCATACTGGCAAAATATTGTATTCAGATACATCACTGAAAAGAATGCTCATCAAAATAGCAATATTTTTTTTCTCCAACGACTCTGCTAAGAGGTGTTAAAAGACAGAGAAAATTCGACATGGGATTCAGCTGACCTGCAAAGGAAAAGCGGCACTTTTATTTCCGACATATCCAAAAACTACAGTACTCTGGATCGATAACACACTCTTTTCCGGCATGTCAGCCATAACGGAACAATTTCAAAACCGGACAAACTTCAAAGTACAGTTTACCCTTTCACATGTGTTTGTTGTTGGTGTCAGAGGTCAAAGTTCAGATTTATTTCATTAATTCGTACATTATTTTTTTTGTATGAAATTTCTTTGTTTCATTCATCTTAGAAATCCTATAAACAGATAAATATGATACATTGCATTTAGAAATGATTTACGTTCGTTTAAGTGCGTGCTGATTTTAATAACAGTTTAGAATGAGTATATAGAAAATATAACGATGGTATGAATTAATCTAATTCTGACACACCGGAAATCTTCATTAGTGGGCGTGTTTAAACGTAACCTGGGTCAAGAAGGGTCAAAAGGTAGGTAAGTTGTATTTTGCAGAATTTAAATTTAAATATAACTATTTCTGTAATGATAAGGATTTTCACAGTTATGCATTGTCATACCTAAATGTGTTTAAGCAGGTTGTATTCACTGTCATTTTCTGTCGACGCCGGAATCCCTCTGTTTTAGTTACTGGTGTTCAAAGTTAAACATTGGCCTACATGTGCATTTTATAGGAAATGGGGAGATTGGAAGGAAAAATCGCAGTGCTTTCAGCTGCCGGACAAGGGATCGGGAGGGCCTCAGCACTGGTATGCATAGATTGACAGGATAGATGCCTAATAAAAAAACAAATACAATCAAATGATATTTATGGGCAATATATTTGAACAGTTGAAAGGATTGATACTTTATATATACACGTAAAACCTGGGACGTATTTACTAGTATATAAGTCCCTGATAAAACTAATAGAATTAAATGATACTTAGGGACAATATATATATGTATTCATATGATCTATTTGTTGATTTAATTGGATAAATTAAAATATATAAACTCGGAGAAAGTTGCAGATTTGGGAAGGACCAGACAGGCAGGTTCATTACCAATACCCATTAACATGTGTTAACCAGTGGCCAGATAGCTCAGTGGATAGAACACTTATCTAGAGTTTGGAGAGAGAAGGGGGAGGGGGATTCAAATCCTGGTCTGATCTGTCACACTTTCTCACTCTAACACTTTTAATATTTTATATAGTCATGATAGTGTTTGTGTCAAGCAGCATAGCTAGTGAAGTAAACTTTGAAATTTGATTTTTTTTTCTAAAATGATTAATTATAATTCATAACCCTTCCTTTTTTTCTATTTTTTCTTTCTGAACAGACATTTAGTGTTTGTAGGTTTTATTGTTTATACTTAAACATTTTTCTCATATCTCATCGAGTGAATGAATAAACTGAGCTTTAGTACCCATTAAATAACCCTTGCTCCTAATTCACTCATTGAAACAGAAAAACCAGGTTAAGTACATACATGTATATTAGTATTTAGTGTTTATTTTTTTGTTGTTTGTGAGGATGATGACTTGCATTGCAGCACAAAACAATTTTTTGATAAGCAGCTTTGTTAATCTATGCAATTATCAGATTTAATCCTTTACTTCTGGATCAAATGATACAAATAGATTTTCTACATGTTCTAGATATGCAAACTTTACATAAATTAATTAATTAATCAAACAATTAGTTTTTATTGCTCTCCCCTTGTCTGTTCTCTAGCTTTGAATTTTTAATTTTTAATTGATACATTAGCCACACCTTTCTATTAATTGTGAATTAAAACCAATAAGGATACAGAGAAATGGTTCACAGGTCACTTGGACAGTTGATTCATGGGTCACTAAGATGCTTTGTGCTTATGAAATGTAACCATGCATGGATTTTACTTGTATAGTTTTCATAAACAGAACATTTGCAAATCTAAAAAAAATGTTAACTTTTAATTTCATTTTTCTAAACAGGCCTTTGCAAGAGAGGGTGCAAAAGTTATTGCAACTGACATAAATGCAGATTTATTGAAAAAATTAGCCGAGGATTGTCCAGGTGCAGGTTTTATTTTTTGATACCTTAATAAGATCAGAAATATAAACATGATAAAAAAAATTTGAAAATAAAAACTCAGTGAATAATATTATGTAATAAAAAGTATCTTATAATTGGAAATTACTGGAGAACATTAATACCATGTTGAAAAATGTTGACTTGAAAATATATACTAGTAATAATTTTTTCTAATTGCTTGAGATAAGTATATTTTTTTCTCGTTGCTGATTATCATATTTTATTTATTTAACATAAATGATTAAAGGACACTAATAAGTTTTCCTGTATGTATCATTAAAAATACATAATATGAAATCCATTTAATTTGTTTTGCAGGAATTGAAACAAGGGTTCTTGATGTGACAAAAACAGAGGATGTGAAAGCTTTCGCTGCAACTATACCAAAGATTGACATATTATTTAATGTAGCAGGGTATTTCAGTTTCATTGAATTTTTAAATTGTCTTATACATAGTGCCCTTTTTATAAATTTGAAAAAGAAAACATTAATCTTATCATAACCACACTCAATACTCATTCTTTGCAAAAAGTCAGGGAAAAAGTTAACAAGGGAAACTACTCTTCCCTTTTAAATTTTAGCAGTATGTTCATAGTGATATTTTTTGTTACTTGAAAGACACTTGCAAAATACACACAAAGGTCAAACACATCTTCAGTAATTAAGGAGATGGAAGATTGAAAGTCCTGGCAAAATATTTTCCATAGTCATTCTCTCAGTTTGCACACAGTATCAATTAATTTTTCTCGTAACATTTGAATGATACCTTATACATATGCATATGTGACCTTGACCTTAAGCTTAAAAAAATGTCTGCCATTAAAACATTAGTGTTTCATCAAGCTCATCTTGGTTTTAAAATTTCTGGAATTCTCTACATTTAAAACCACGATGGCACGGTAGTGAATTCTTTAGCATTTCTGTAAGAGGACCTAAGAGCAAGCACTACTAAAAGAATGCTCCAAGATTGCTGGTTGTATTTTCATTAAGATTTGTACACCATGGATCCATCCTGGAAACTGATGAAAAAGCCTGGGATTTTTCCTTCGATTTGAATGTCAAGAGCATGTGGCGAATGTGTAGCCAGTTTCTTCCCAAGGTAGAGTGTAACTCACAAATCTTGTGTACATTTACACTGTAACTGTAACTCACATATCCCTTGTACATTTACAATGTAACTCACCATCTCTTGTACTACATGTACAGTGTAATTTGTACATCTCTTGTACAGTGTGACTCACCCAACTCTAGTATATGTACAGTGTAACTCATACATCTAGTAATTATTCATGTATTACAGTGTAACTTGCACATCTCTTGTATAAGTCACATATATCTTCTACATGAACATTTACAGTGTCAGTCACAATCTACATGTACAGAGTAAATTGCACATCTCTTATACATGTACAATGTAATTCACACATCTCTTGCACATGTGCAGTGTGACTGACATAGCTCTATTACATGAACTGTGTAATTCACACATCTCCTGTACATGTACAGTGTAACTTATACCTAGTGCATGTATAGTTTTAAATGTACAAATCTCTTGTACATGTACAGAGTAACTTACATACCTTTAGTACATGCACAGTGTAACTTGCACATCCCTTCTACTTGTAATATATACCAGTATGTCAGTATAGACTCTTCTTCAAACATTTATATATATATGTACTAAGTAACCTTGTTAGGCATTTCTCTATTTTTAACTGGAACTCTCCTTGACCAGCTCTGCTGCATTTTTATCTGTTCTCTCATACTTTGTGGAATTGAAGTGGTTCTGCTTGTATTTTTTCCTCTAGATGAAGGAGCAGAAGTCAGGAGTCATTCTTAACATGTCCTCTGTGGCCTCCAGTATCCATGGTGAGTCTCTCCACCAGTTTGAGGAGTCATTCAATTAATGTTTCTGATTAAGAGGTACATATATATAATTTATAAGCTTTTTGAGAGATCCATTTGTCTCTTTTTCTCTCTCAAAAATATCACTTTCATTAAAGCATTACAGATCAAATTAAAGTAGAAAGAGACATTTGAATACACTTTTAAAAAACTATGCTAGGGAGTTAATAGGGAATTAAACCATTGATATTTTTTAAAGGTGCTCCAAATCGCTGTGTTTATGGGTCCACAAAGGCTGCTGTAATAGGGCTTAGTAGAGGAATAGCTGCAGACTTTGTCTCTGACAACATCAGGTGTAATTCTATCTGTCCAGGTAAGACGTACTGATATATAATTCTTTTAAATTTTATTTTAAACATAACCATAAAAAAAAAACTGTTTAGAAATCAATTCAAACTCGATGAATATATAATTTGAAGGCTGAGAAACTGGAGTTTTTGTGTTTCAGTAGAGGTACATGTATGGGTATATGTTTATCTAATGGTGAAAAATTAATGATCTTTGTATGTGATTTCTGATAATTCGAAATATGAGAAATAAAGTGATAGGCTTTAATTGAAAAAAGAACAAATATTTGAATTCTCAGTTTGAAACCCCTTTAAATTTTATATACAAAAGACTTTTATAGAGATGCTGTTCTGTTTTAGGGACAATTGACACTCCATCTTTGCAAGGAAGAATCCAGGCGCAGCCAGATCCTACGAAGGTAAAATATGATAAACAGTAAGAAAACATGAAATACAGTCAAATCTGCTTATAGAGTGTCTTAGTTGGGTATAATTATTGTTTGAAATGCAGTTAAATCTAGATTAGGTTATGAAAATCTGTGAAATCTGTGAAATACAGTCAAATGTTTCTATAGAAAGTTTGCTCATATAAATTTGTTAAATACAGCCAAATCTTTTCATAAACTGTAAGAGTCTGTCCATTTCAATCTATGAAAAATAGCCAAATCTATTCAAATAGTCTTGTCTCATGCAAACAGTCATGTGAAATACAGTCAAAACTGTTTAAAGAGAGCTTTGTCATGTAAATCTATGAAATACAGACAAATCTGTGGTGCTTGTAAAGTGTCTGCAAAAATAGTCTTGTAATGTAAGTCTGTGAAAAACACTTATATCTAATAATAGACAGCCTAGTCCTGTTATCTGTAAAATAAAGAGTCTAGCTGGTCTTGTATTGGTGAATCTCAGTGACAGTCAAATATGATTATAAAGAGTTCAGTTTCTTTATTATGTGAAATACAGTTAAATCTGTTCATGTAGTGTGGGCCACTGTGGTCAAGTAAGTATGTAAAGTACAGTCAAATCTGTGCAAAAAGAGTCTGGTAAACAAATAGGGTACATTTATATCTGTTTATATTTTAAAAGAATTTGTCCTTCAAAACCTGTTATTTCAGTCAGATCTGTTCATATCAAAAGCTTTGTAAATCCACCGTCTTGTGAATAATAGACAAAAAAAGTGAAAAATAGTCATAATTGTTCATATAGATTTTGGTATACCTGTGCATTACAGTCATATCTGTTTATAGAAAGTCTGGTCTTGTAAACCTGTGAATTACAGTCAAATCTGTTTGTAGAAAGTGAGGTCTTGTTTAGCTATGAATTACAGTCAAATCTGTTTATAGAAAATCTGGTCTTGTAAAGCTATGAATTACAGTCAAATCTGTTTATAGAAAGTCTGGTCTTGTAAACCTGTGAATTACAGTCAAATCTGTTTATAAAAAATCAGGTCTTGTTAAGCTATGAATTACAGTCAAATCTGTTTATAGAAAGTCTGATCTTGTAAACCTGTGAATTACAGTCAAATCTGATTATAGAAAGTCTGATCTTGTAAACCTGTAAATTACAGTCAAATCTGATTATAGAAAGTCTGATCTTGTAAACCTGTGAATTACAGTAAAATCAGTTTATAGAAAGTCTGGTCTTTTAAACCTGTGAATTACAGTCAGATCTGTTTATAGAAAGTCTGGTCTTGTAGAGCTGTGAAGTACAGTCAAATCTGTTTATGGAAAGACTGATCTTGTAAACCTGTGAATTACAGTCAAATCTGTTTATAGAAAGTCTGATCTTGTAAACCTGTGAATTACAGTAAAATCAGTTTATAGAAAGTCTGGTCTTGCAGAGCTGTGAATTACAGTCAAGTCTCATTTGATTCAGTTTGCTGTCCATGTACCAGTAAACAATAATATGCATGCTTTATCAACCTGCATTGAACTTCTAAACATTTTTATACAGGCCAGGAAGGATTTTGAGGCACGACAGAAGACCGGTAGATTTGGCACCCCAGAAGAAGTAGCCAACATGGCTGTGTATCTTGCTTCTGATGAGGTACTGTAGTGTCTGTTAATTTTTACTCATTCCAGTTTAAGGATCATGATTAAGTAAAAATCTGGTGGTTCAATACACTAGCAGTTTTATATGTACAGTATTTTATCACATGTTTACACCTTTATACAGTGGATATCAGTCATATGATGTTGTGTTCATACATTGTATCAACACAATGATTTTTGTGTGGAAGTGATGAATTAAGTCAACTGAAGTGGATTCATATATAAATAAAGTGTAAAACATGTGATGGCTGTGTGTCAAACATGTGATAAAAGGAATCTTCTTTGGTTTGTGGTTGGATATGATTTTTATCCAACCACAGACCATGGGAGATACTACATATAATGAATTATTTATAGCCATGTTATTCATTTTTTTGTTTGGACATTTTTGCTAGTTACACAGCTGATATTTGGTTTAATTGTACTCAATAGCAAATCATTCTCTTTTCTCCATATTTGTTTGAAAAATTACAAATTGAAACAAGTACAGAATATAATGGGAAAAATCAATAAAACCAAGTACATGTACCTATAGCAAAGCAAGTTAATAATTTGCGTCAATTAATGATGAATCATGGAATGACAATTCATTAAAAAGATTTAAACAGTTTATTAGTAGAGAGTTGAAGTTTTAAATGGAAAGAAAATTCCAATCCCAATGCCATAGTTTATCCTCCCCCCTCCCCCCAAGACCAAAATGTATATGAATGAAATTATTTCCAATGAACATGGATTTGTACATCCAGTGGTTCAAACAAACTAATTCTTAACTACAAATATTAACAAACTATAATTGCAAGAGAGTAAAACAGAATAGAAAAGACTAAATTCCTGCTTTTTTGTATGTGTAATGCATGTAATGTTTATGATTTTAAAATGCTCATATGTGTAATGACGTAGAAATTATCATACATTGCAAACAACTATCTGACATGAAAATAAAAATTGTTTAGTATTTTAAAATTTACTCTTAATTTGTAGGCAGTGTATGTTACAGGGAAAGAGTTTGTTATTGATGGAGGCTGGAGTATCTAATTGTAGCACTATTGCCACATTATCCAAGATTTTTTTATACATCAGATTTTAAAATCTACACGTGCATGAAATCCATGTGAATTTTTTCAACAAAGCAGAATTCTTAGTTTCATTTGTGTACTTCAGTGCTCATAATCAAATATATATACGGATCAAACTCTACAAAATGTAAGAAAAAAGTTGTGCTTGATATTACTGTCATACAGTAATTTAAAGAGCATTGCAATTTATCACTATTGTTATCAATGTTGCTATGAAGATTTTATGGTTGTCTCTGTGTATTCAAGATGAACAAATTTTAGATTTTTATCTCTTTGTTACAATGTCATAAAATATGTTTATTTATAATGAAAAGGAATTATTTTTATTCCAATAATTGAATTAATATATATAAATATTACATATATATTCCCTACAATTTTTCTTTTAAGTTAATATAAATAATAAAATTATTTGAAATATTTATTTCTGAATATTTTATCTGATAGCAAAAATGTACGTTTATGCTACGTATCTTAAAGTCATATATGGCGTATTTTTTATAAGTTCAGACTAACTAAAATTAAAAAGATCTTTCTATTTGTATTATTACTTTATATAAAGATAGGACTTTCCTTTAAATTACACAATTTAAGTCAATGACTTTTCAAAGATATTAGAAATTTAAAATAATAACCGATTTGTGTACCGACTCCGCATTTAATTACGGACACGATTTAAAATCAATTTAACTATGGAAAAATGAGATTATTCAAGTTCAAAATCGGTGAAATTTTTAATTTAAACGTAAATAACATATATCATGTTTATCTACACTCAATCTCGTATTTTTAGTTTTTAGCTCAGATACGGCATATGTAGCTTCAAGGATACATTGCTAAAGAACATCAATTTTTCCACAAGTAAGACTGGCCCATAGGCCCTCTGTTAAAGGATGGTGTGTTTTGTGTATTATGTGTGTTTCTACGTCTGTCTAAATACACTAATGAAAATAAAAGTAGAAAATTTCAATTAACAGTTAAAAAAGTACCATTTTTCTGTATGTCAAAGGACACGTCTTTTGACACACAGAAAGATGGTATTTTTACGATGGGCTATATCTCAACACTTTGACAGAAGGGATAGTACAGAGAGAATCGTATGACAATTAAAAGGCAAAATGCTCACCATATATCTTTGAAAAGGATTAGAAAAAAACTACATGAATAAATATATGTCATTGACATATGACATTGCATATGACAATGTAGCCATGTTTGTAAGTCTCATTATCAAAACTGCAATTTAAACGCTCCATAAGAGACTTGGTCATCCATTTGAATTTAGAATTCCCTTTACGTATTATAAGGACGCTTTGTGTCAACTTTTGTTAAAATTTGCCCAGTGTTCTTTAGAAGGGGTCGATATATAATGTAAAAAGTTTACAGACGACGGACGAAGGGTGATTAGAAAAGCTACATTGAGCTTTAAGCCCAGGTGAACTAAATCAGAATATCTAATATATGGATTAAAAGAAAATAATTTAAAATTTTCGTTATCCAATGGTTTCCGATACGAAATCAACAACATGTCAGATTATATTTGTAATCGAAATCCTTGGGTAGCGAAGATGAATTTTGAAAAGTATTTATTTAGCAGTTTTAAAATTTTAGAATTTTAAACTAAAGCTTAAAAATACGAAATATCGAAATCGTTTCAGAAACTTAAATTCATTGTAACACTGATCTAATACTACTATATTGAGACAAAACGTAAAGTAAATAAAACGCATGGAATATTTTAATGACGTTTTATTGCTCAACAAAACCTCTCTCTCTCTCTCTCTCTCTCTCTCTATCTCAGTTTTCATCCCCATTTTAACAAGATTACTTATTGGTTTCTTCACATTTATGAATGACTCCCCGGCGTATCGATCATGCCACACTATTATCGAATTTTGCAACTATAATGAAATGAATTTTACGATGTTTTCATATTTTAGTACGATGCACATTCAATTTTATAACACACATTCATTTTCATGTAAAATTCAAACATTTTTTGCATTGACTAGACACACTCAGTTTGAAAAAAAAAAATATTTGGAAGACATGTTTTTCCATATCAACACAGCAACATGTAAAACTACCGTACATATTTCATATACATAGCGAGTTTACACATTAAATTATGTATCACTATAATTCTAAAATTTCTAAAAATTTTACCAAAAAAGTTAAATTATTTTAAAGTCTGACAAATTTATAAGTAAAAATGTCAGATCTGTGGTAGAGTCAATGAATAATGTCACGAATATGCAATGTACATGTTGGTACCCTGTACCGTAAATAGCTTTTCATCTCAAGATCGGATGCGATCGAGTCCTTAATGCCATAAATGCATATACTGCCTCTTTGGCACTGAAAGTGTATAAAACCATAAACCTATGCGTTTTAATTAATTTGTATTCATTAGAGATCACGCAGAAATCACTTCAACCTTTTCTTCTTTAGAATTTTCCGCTGAGGTGGTAGCATTTCCATTTTCGCTGGTGGATTCCGCCGATTTTCCTTCCACCACTCCGTTTGCCTTTCCGTTACTTTGTCCTGCTGATCCATTGGCCGCAGACTCTTCCTCCTCCAACTGAAGCAGGGGATTATCAATTCCTTTGGTTCCCCCATTCATTTCAATATCGTCTTTCTCCTCCGTTTGCTTACTGGCATTTCTCCTTAAGAAATTTATAAATAAATCTCATTTTAAAACCGGATCTCGTACCTACATGTACTAGTATATGAAAGTTTGTGTCTCTTGTATTATGATTTTATGCTTCATGGAATTAGGAAGATATTCATGGAAGAATGAATAATAGTTGATTCAATATACCAGATTGCTTTATCTCTGACATATATTGTACATACCTTGATTTTAAGAAGGTAGCCAATATTACGATAATTGCAATGAAAACCAGGATTCCGATAACTGAACCAACCACAATAACTGAAAAGATACAGAAAAGATGTTACATCCACTGTCAAATTTACTGCATGAAAAACAGGGAAAAATCACAGTGAAGTAAACAAAACTGACCTGTAATTGTGTCATCATCGAGCTGTTCCGAGTCATCGACAGTGGAAAGGTCTGCGGGAGGTTTGCTACTTCCATCTTTTTCGGGGGTTTTCTGACCAGGTTTGAATGACGGTTTAAGAGTAATTTCCTTTGTTGAATGAATAGGAATAACAATGGGAGGTAACCGTGTCATTACTGGTTTTTCTACGATCATTGGTCTTGCAGTTTCCGGTTCCACATCACCTCGTGGTTTGATGGTAGGTGCAACGGTTGCCTTTGGAGTGGTAGCGTCTTTAATTTCTGGAACTTTTGTTGCTTTTTCTGATATTTCTGGCATCACCTTCTCTGTTGTTGGCTTAAATGTTGTTGATGGTACTGTTGTTTTTGTTGTCGTAATCGTAGTTTTTGCTTTTAATGTCGTCGTATCAGGTATGCTGTCTGTTGTTGCTGTGATTGGAGACTTTGTTGATTCATCTTTGACAGCCTCTTTTGTTGCTGTGCTTGGAGACTTTGTTGATTCATCTTTGACAGCCTCCGTTGTTGCTGTGATTTGAGACTTTGTTGATTCATCTTTGACAGCCTCTGTTGTTGCTGTGTTTGGTGACTTTGTTGATTCATCTTTCACAGCCCCTGTTGTTGCTGTGTTTGGAGACTTTGTTGATTCATCTTTGACGGCCTCTGTTGTTGGTGCCACTGTTTGCACTTCCTTGACTGAATCTTTAGTTGTAATTTCTGTAGATTTGGCTGTTTCTTCAGTGGCTGCGTTAACTTCTAAACTTGTTGCTACAGTAGTTGTTTTTCTGTCAGTTGGAATAATCGATGTTTGTGTTACGTTCGTCCCTTGTGTGTCTGAGGATGTTGTTGTTATTTTTGTGTGTGGACCATTTGTTGTAGATGTTGCCATACGCAGAAGTTCCTCTGAATACAACTCATTTAAATCAGGGAGAGCATTGGTTGCGTTTATTTTGACTTGTGGATCTGTTGTTGGTGCAACAGTTGTCTCACTCTCAGTAGGGATAGTAGATGTTTGTGGTATATCTGTTTTCTGGGACTGCGAAGGTGTCGTAGTTCTTTTTGTCTGTGGAGAGACTGTTGAAGACGACATGCGGAGAAGTTCTTCTGAATATAACTCATTTAAATCAGGGAGTCCTGTATACTTGGTGGTAGTAAATGAATTTTCCTGAGACGATAAAATTTCATGCTGAGTCGTTGACGATGTAATGCTGCTTGGTGTAGTAACATTTCGATTTGAAATCGATTCGAGATTTGGTGTTGTTTCCAGTGTTCTTGAGGAAGCTGATTTTAACTCTGTAGTCATTTCTGATGATTTAAGCACTTCTGTCGTAGAAGTTTTAACAGGCAAACTTGTAGGTGTTGAAGATAAAACAGATGTTGTTAAATCTGAACTGGGTGTTGAAGACGCTGATTTTGAATCAGACGTCGACATTCCCAGAATGGTTGAAGACAAGATAGGAGTTGTAATATCAGAACTACTGATAGTTGATATAACTCCAGATGCTGTAGGTCTAATTGTTGTTCCAGGCGATGAAGCTGTTGATGTTTCTATAGAAACTGAGGGGGTTGGAGATACCGTTGATGTAGTCTGCTTATTAAAGAGAGCTGACTCTTCCAATTTTGCCGATGCTGATTTTTCTGTTGTTGAAGAGGTTGAAAGTGGACTTGATCTAGAGATGTCCATTGCCATAGTAACAGTTGCTGTGGTGAAAGATATATCTACCGATGTTTCAGAGGTGGAGGCTGATAAAGTACTGCTTGTAACAGCAACTGAATCAGTGGTTGATGGTTCTTTGGTTTCCTGGTGGGTAGTTACAGGAATTTTGGTGGATGCTGATGAAGGGGATGTGACAACAGATTTCTGCTTAGTAGTAGGTTGTGAGCTGATTGTTTTGTTATCAATAATCTGTGTTGATTTTTCTTGAATAGATGATGATGTTGTTTGTGCTGGTATTTGTGTATTTCTAGATGAAGTCGATGGAGAAGTGATACTTGCTTGGAATTGGTCTTGTCTAGTTGTTGGTGCTGGAGATGTTGAGAAAGTAACATTATTCTCGATTACATTCGCAGTTGTTGTAGAGTATTCGTTGGTTGATACGTTTGGCGTATTTGAATCGACTTCTGCTTTATCTCCAATTACTGCAGGAGTTACCATTTTGTCCATTAATTCAAGGGAATTAATAGGAGTCTGAATCAAGGTTGGCTCTAAAAATATACTATCCTGACTGATTCCGGATTTACTGAGAAGTTCCTTAATTGCATTAGATGCTCCTGTTGACTGATCTTGAAACATGTCTTTTATGGAGATGGGACTAACTTTGCTCTCAGTGCTTGTTAGGGTCTCAGAGTTTTTACTTCCCGTGCTTACTTCCGGTAAAGAATCACATTGCAGAGATATAAATGCTGTAAAGAAAACTTTCATGGTATCAACGAAGGCAAGCGTAAAGATAGATAGTGTTTCATCATGATACATATATTTAATCACATCTTCACAATTTATTCAAATTATTTTTGTCATTCTTACCGTTTAGTTCAGTTTGCATTGAAATACAGAATCCTGTGGCAACGGCACCAGTTTCTAGCTGAGATAAAACTAATGATCCATAATTTATTTCAGTTGTATTAAACTCGGCTGTGGCAGTGGTGCAGTCTATTGACTGTGATTCATTATTTGGACTTGTTCCCACATGGAAGTCTATTTTTGATCCACACTTTACGGAAGAGTCTAAATGGCCTATTTCAAGGTATTCTCCAGTAACATTGAATCGACAAACACATTTTCCATAATCAGGAGTAAACAAGGAAGTGTCTAATATTAATTCGTGTTTAGATTGAACAGCAATGTCTTTGCATACCTCCACAACTGAAACGATAAAAATTGTAGATTTACCGAAGGGCAAACCATGCTGTACAATAGTCATCTAAGACGCTATATGATCCTTTCATAATATTTACAACATCAAAAACAAAAATTTGTACACAGAAAAAAAAATCGCTTTTAAAGACTTTTTAAAGGAATGTTTATTTTTTTCTAGAATTTTTTCATGATTTATTAGGGTTTAAGTTGTAATGCATCTTGATAAAGAGAACTCATCGCGATTTGGAGCTAGTACTGTACAGTACATGCATGTGTAGTGCATGTGAATAAATGATCATACAATTTTCACGGGTGGATCATGTCTTTCAGATCTTAATATTTAACAAATTAAAGCGGTTCAAAATCAATCTTTTTTTTTTTTTTAGCTCTTAATTACACTTGAACTTGTTACATTTTTATCCATTCTCTTTCTAATTAACCAGACGAAGTCATTGATCAAGGGCAATCAATCTCTTTGTGTGAGTAAACAGGTACAAAATAATTATGTTTAAATTTAAATTTCTCAACAGTAGATGTGAACATATAAGTAAATAGTATGCCCAATGCAGTTTGTCACCCTTCGGCAATCAAACGACATAAACTTGATGATTTAGGGTTCACGCGAACAGTTCAAGTGCTATCCGAAGACAAAACTGTCACGAGTGGCCATAAAACGGTGTAACTCTGTCACCTACAGTAGGTATAGTCTTAGTCGGGGATGTTTGATGTTTGCAATCCCATCAGCAGGAAGAATGGCCATATTGTTCTCCAGATACAGATCGGGCTCGGAATGCACATATTTGCCAGATCACGGGGACATTATCATTAGAATATTAAGATGAAGTAATGCACATTAATGAAATATGTCCACCTGACTGGATTGCTATGATACATGTACAAGCAATATAGCACTGCATTATTCACTTAAAGGAAAATCTGTACATTTAATAAATGATGTCACTTCAGAAATTGTGTATATACGCAGCCTGGGGGATTTTGGCAAACTTTTGAAGAATCTAATGCATTTATTTTACCATGCGTTTGCTATTTATATTAACTCGTCATTCTATTTATTATGTGTAATACATGAGTTAGTATAGACTTACAAGTATTTCAAAAATTAGCCATTTATAATATGGACAAAATTGTGTTAAACTGAAACGGCAGTGTACTTTGTTTATTGTTCTACTTAACGAGATGTTAAAAGAAATAGCCTTGATTGCCCGCATTTCCTCCTTTCAATTTGTCAATTTTTATTATCAAGTATTTTACAGAAGACAGAGAAAACACCAAACTGATAACAGTTATTTAATGAATGAACTACATGTATTAAAATCCTTGGAATCCGCTTTATCTAATTCGAAAAGCCATTTGCACACCGAAATTATTGATCTGATACGGTATATCTTTTCGTAAAATAAGATCAGTAAATGTTACACGGGAAGGTAAACATGTTGATGTTCTATAAGGAAATAATTTTGGGAGAAGTCTAAATTTAGCAACTTGTGATCAAGATGTGGTTGACCTCTAGATTCCTTCGTGGAATCTTGTAACTGGTCATAAAAACTTGTCTAGCCGAACAGCTACGATAAAAGTGTTCATTTTCTTTTGTTTGACTTTATTAATACGAATGGTGAGGTTCTTCTAAACGACCGTAGTCGTCATGGCCTTGATTTAAACTTGTCAGTTTGACTTTCTTTAAGATTTTAATCATCATAGAATTGTTCAAGTACTAGTAAGGAAAGACTTATACAACAAAACTCTACTTTTTATATCCATTTCCTTTAATCTGTACAACATTTGGAATAGTTCGTAGACAAACATTACTATCAATTAATAGCAACTCAGTTGATCGAAAGAAGAATCAAAAAGAATTACATGATATTCAGAAGGGAAAAAAATGCAGGTATTTTTGTCAATGCTTACTTTGGGGGGGGGGGGGGGGGAGTGCAGTCCCCTATTCTTGATGTGTGTTTCGAATTCAAAATCTATAAATCCTTTCATATATAAAGAAATCTAAGAGAAGAATTTGCCCTAGTGCTTATAGATATAGAAAGCAATAGAAATTCTTTCAGAATTTTTAAAATGAATATTACCGACACTTCCAAATCCAAAAAGTAGCAGTCGAGAAAACGTACGGAACACTTGCAGAAACTGGACGTTTTTCATTAAATTCAAAATTTTGAAGCACTTATTTTATCGTTTTGAAATATGTGTTAAACTATGTTTGATATTAATTTAATTATAGAAATTTCGAGGGATGCAAATTTTACAAATTGGATCGGGCAAACATTAGAAAAATTGATAGCCCTTTTCCTACATGTGAATTACATCAACCATATTTACACATGGGATGCATTCTTCATGTTTAATTATATATGTGGGTACAAAGATCAACAACTTATATATTTACCTTGTCCTTCATGGTGTAAACACTTCTGAGCAACAATCCCTGAAAAAATCAAACATCATAATTGAAATATAGATACTATGGTAGTAAATATAAGGTCATGCATTAGTTGTCGTGGGGCCCGTTTACAAAAGAACATTAGACTGAGACTAAAATTTAATTCTGCTTATTACTTTCTATTTTACTTTAATTTGAAAATGGTTTTAATCTTTTTAAAAAGAATTTACCAAGATAATTCTATGCTAGCAATTTGAAACGGAATCATTAAATTTGCAAAATTCTACAATCAGCTAAAGTTTTTGGTCTAAATCCTAAGTTCTTTTGTAAATTTGTTTTACATGATGGCTTTCATGAAAAGAAACAATTGTATAACTTGATGCTAGGACTTTCGATTCAGTTTCTAGACTAATGATTCTATCTGGTCGGTACACGATCGTGTTTTTTTTTAATTCTTCATTTAAAAGGTTTGTAATCTGATTCATTAACGAGCTCACAAAAAATGATAAACGAGTTGTGGGAAATAGCTATGCAGACTATGAACATAGTTATATAGTTTGTTGACGCCCTTTAAAGATGACAAAGACTGTTGACAACATATCAACTGATTGACTGGGATGGCAAATCTGACAGGTTTACTCGCGGACAACGGTCATTAATGCTTAGTGATCTGTGTTACCAATCACTGTGTTCGATCTGTGTCACAGCCTGTCACTGGTACATATTGGTAACAACACTAGCCCCGGCAAAAACCCTCGCTAACCAATAAACTGGCGTTAGGGGACATTAGCATCGCCCTTAACATTGTTTTAGTATATTGTTGTGGTCATGATATTCTTAATACTACGAATCTTTGGTGGGCATGTAATGAAGTGAATTAGTTTTTGCTGCATGGATGTGCAGTTAAAATAATTAAAGGCATTCTTGCTTTGGTTTTAAATTTCCCTTACCAAAAGGCCACTGAATGCGCTACAAAGGCAGCATTGGTGTGCATACAGTGTACCTGCACGTTTCATTGAAAAGACCTTTCAGGTGAGGGGATAGAAAACACAGAGTTGAATAAAACTCACATTCCATGACAAGCTATGGAGTATCTTATTGTATATATATTATAACATATAATAATTATGAGTTATTGTGAAATTGCGTAATTTAAAAGAAAAATTAATTAACATTGATTTCTAAGCTATTAATTTGAGAGTGACAATATTAGATGGAATTCTACTTTGTCACCAAAGACTGAGGTCCCAGGGGCGTAATGTTTACACCTTGTTATTCATCCGCGATATAATCCCGCCAGTTTGCTGTCCTCCACTAATGCACATTCCTCGTGCAGCCCCATGGCTGTATGATGTCTTAATTTGGCGGATGACAGTTTGATTGTGCAATAAACACAACTAAGACAAGATTGTACTTGGCCATTTTATTACTGTCGACGTTTTTAACAGTTTAATTTACTGCGCTTTTATTTCTCAGAAAACACGTTGAAATTATGCAAGAATTGTGTTTTTTTAAAGTAAAAAAGAATATTAAGATTATTTTCGTTAATATATAGGAATGATAAATATAACAGATCCCAGAAAATAAAATTGATCTACGTGGTTTATAACAGAAACAACTTATTTCTTCAACTTTGAATACAGTGCTATATTTATAATGATTATTTGTCTTTTGACACAAAATAATTTTATGTAACTTGTACATGGAGAACGACCAAAAAGTATATGGGCCAGTATTTAGTATCCACGTGCTTTTACCATTAACCAAATTATACATACATATCTACGCACGTTGTGAATGGCTATGAGGAAAAGCACCAATGTAATATTCCATTAAGCATGGACAAAACATGGAAATAACATTGTCGTCTCTAGTGCATTACAATAATTATTACACATTATTGAAATATCTCAACCCCCAAGACAACAGACACCGGAAACTGGTTAATGTCCATAAACAGAGGAAGACATTGGATTTTCTCTTAAAAAAAAATGTTCTAAAAGAAAAAAAAATCCGAAAAAGGAAAACGGAAGCAAAAAAAATGTGTGCCTAGCATTCTTTTTGATTTTGGTAATTTTTTTAAAATAAATATGAGAAGATATACCAGCTTAATTCTCCTAACTACTAATCATTTCTTGGAAGTAAAAGTCCAAGACGTTTGTCAACGTGTCGTTCTTTGGGAAAACATAAAAGAATACGGAACGTACGAAAACAGCATGTAATATGTGTCAACGTAACCTGTTTAGTAGAGTATATGTAGTATACCTATGTTGTGTATGTTAATTAGCTCGTATGCAAATTAGGTTTTGGTTGGGAAGCCTTACAATTTTAGGTTAATGTTAAACAAATCATTATTTTTTATATGTTATAAATTCAGTCAGTGGTTATAAATATATCTATTTTTCAGTCACTCAATGGAAACAAAACCATACAGGTATTCGTATCAGAATTACTTTGATATACATTAGGAGATGAATAAAATATATAAGAATGAAATACCTACCATTAAACAAGCACAGGACATGTAGGATAACATATAAAACATAAAGAACATCACGATATTCCTTCAAAAATCTCATGTTGGAAAATGTCAGATAATACACTCAGGTCCGCATAATCTGAGCTCCTTCTCAGAAAAAAAGTTTTTTTTTTTTAATTTCACATACAAAATATTCCCCAATTTTCCATTACAGGGAAGAATGTGAAAAAAAAAAATTGTGTCACGTTTTGATATACCGTCACATAATTGTAATGAATGAGTTGCTTAAGAGTCCAGTGCGGTTTGACACGTTTGTAATTACTATTTACTCTCCAAGTTGCATACACAGGAGAGGCAAGTTCCAGGTAGTTGATGTGCACGTCCGGTGCCTGCGTTGGTCAGGTGAGGAAGCATGCACTGATAGATGTCCACAGCTCCCTTCACGCGCTACCTGTGTAGTAGATGACAAGTCCTTGTCGAATGTCTTAATCGTCGATTCGTCATTAAGTGTCGCGCGGATTAATGACTTGTCCCCCGTTAATCTGTTTCTCGCTGTCAAATTCCGTCTGAAGTACGAACAGGGGGAGGAAAAATTACAGTTCTTTTGGTATATGTAGGTGTTTCCCTGTGAGTTTCACATTTTTTTGATTTAAGATAGTAATTGAAATGTATGTGCTTCTGTGCCTAATTATATAATACTCGTATATGTATGTTGTTTTTGTCAAGTCAAAAATAAAATTACATAGTTGCTACGAATGTATGCATGGAAGATATAAATTTAAAGTTTCAATTTCATATTAAAAATAAGTGATGTAAAAAATAAAACTAATATTTTTTTTTTACACATTTCTTATGATATACATAATATCGAAATTGGTTCCTCTCCTAAAGTTAATGTCGGATTTTGAAAAAAAAAAAAAGTGTGACAAGTTGTAATAAAACATAAAATAAAATAATGAGAATGTGTATTTACAAATAAAGTAGAAGGAAATTTAAATGCTTGTGCATTTTTTTTTTTTTTTTGTTTGGCAGACATGCAAACAAGATTCTTTTTATCAGATGCTTTCTGTTCACACACCTATCACTAAAAACCCATACATGACATAAAAAATAGAACATTATGAAATGACACTAAATCAGAAAGCCCTTTTCTTGCTTTGATCTTGTCCGACTGCTCCATACCTTCAGACTACAGTGTCTAAGCAATCTACATTTTGCGTCTTGCATCTTGAAGTATTGATCCCACCTCTAATGTTCTGGAGGTCCGTGTTTGCTCTGCTCCTATTTTGTACTGTTTAATGGACTTTTGAGCTTGAATACTGTTCGTTATCTCCATATATTTCATTTTAAAAATTCATTTATCTCTTTCTTTAATTGTCACATATTTACTATTTTGATATAAAAGTGATGCAAATGAAGATTTTTATGTATAAAATTCCCGATCGTTTTGCATTTGTAAGTCAACTATCCAAAGCCTTTTCGTCACGCGTGGACATTGGTATTTCGTGTGATTTAGCATTTCAAAGAAATTACACATTCTTGTCCACCATAGTCTATTCATTTTTGTTGTACAGCACATTAAAAGGATTTTTTTATTGTACGCAAGAGTTCACAATCCACCATGTAATGCATCGTTACGTGGCATCATTACCATTAACGTCATTGTTATTCTCACGTATTCATGAGAGTACCAAAGAAAACAATCAAGATGGTGCTAATATTGAAGGCAATTCGGAACACAGAACAACAAAAATTAATGGCAGGCCAATTCACTATTTGACACCAGACCTGAGGGAAAAACAGCTGCAACTAAACTCTATACCAGTTGTTGGCTATGTACATGTAATATAAACGCAATGAAGATTTATGCTTTTCAGTGTAGATACATCACATGTTTGTCTTTGACATGTGAAAAGGAAATAAAGATATTATGGGAAATTTTCCTTGTAAATACGTTTTATTTTCCTCATACAATCCTTTCAAAACTTCCAATATCCCATACACATAAATATAACATGCTGTGAATCACATAAATCATGGAAAAAAAAATGTTCATGTGGATAAAAATGGTGACTCGGAATGAAAATCTGTGCATACTTCGCTATGTACAAAATGCTTTAAATCATTGAATGTTAAATCTCCTTATAAAGTCTATATGATTCAATGTATTTTTGATCAGGTGCTCCGTCTCAATGACATATTTACATGTATGTATATATTTTTTTTTTCTTCAGAACAATACATGTATATGAGTCATACTAGTGTTTGGAATATTAGAAACACGTTCTTAAACAATTAAACTTTTACGAGTTACATATATACAAATGTATATGTATCCGATCTGACTAAAATGGTTCGGAAATGATAAACTTTAATGTTCAAGGATAATTTATGTTTTCTATATTTGCTACATGTATCTTCGAAACTTAATGCTGATGGGCTCTTGTGGTTCAAGTCTAGATCATTATTTTCCGAAGATACCCCCCCCCCTCTCTCTCTTTTGCATTTTCAATTCCGGAAACTGTCCACTAGGAATAAGGTCACCGATAAAAAAATGTTATGAGTTTTTTTTTTTTACGTATAATATACACATTGCATATATAAATATCACCCTTTTGTTTAGCTAAATGCATGTATATAGGCAGAAAAGTACACTCGTACACATAAAACACTTCATCCTATGAGGAAGAGCGAGGTATTTACCTGGTATTTTCCAGCAGTTCCTATTTTATAAATAATTACTTGTAATAAATTAAATGCCTTAATGATTCATTGTAAATTAATGTACGTCATATATAAAATGTTTAAAGGAGAGGCAAATTGTAAATATTGCAAATAAATTATGGCTATTTGGCACAGGGACTTAAGCTATCTATTACGTCATAAATGCGTCCATGTATCTCCATCAATTTTAACTTGTTCGGATTCCTCTTCCGGATTTAAATCTTCCATGCTGTCGGTTCTGTCTTTTTCCTGCATCATGGAGTCGGTATCAACGTCTTTCTCGCTGACGTTGTTAGAATACCAGAAGTCCTCGTAAGTGGGATTGTCATAAGTCGACTTATCATTTATTTGCCTCTCAGCTCTTCCAATAAGTGTTTCACCGCCCCTGCTGCCTCGCCTAAATAAAAAAATTCAAACATTTCATTTAATTTGAAATCATTCGTTTGATTTTTTTTAATAAAAACATGATTATACATGTATATTTGTTCAGCTGTATATTCTATGTTAATGAAGTATCATTATCCTGTTTCTAAAAGAGATGATAAGGAATATAATCATGGACTATCCTTGGCTCCATTATAAATTTCTTTGAAAGACAAGACTGCAGCCCTTCAGTATGATTATAAATAATTATTTTCTTATCAACGAGTGAGAAGAATTCGAAAAAGAAAAGACCTCAAAGATTTTATAAAGTCTGATACATGTTCTTATTTTTGAATGTCTGCTACTGTAAATAGAAAATTCATTTTTTACTCAGAAATTTTTTCTTGCTCAGTTCATGTGCGTGCAAAAGATCGTTTTTCTTTTCAAAGACTTTTATATTTAATTGCGGCTTGGAATTCCAAAACATAGAATGACTCTTGGTTTTGTTGTTAGAGAGTAAAGACATATCCTATTCGTGCAAATAATGTTCTGGGAATTGTGGTTTTAATGCATGTAAAGGGTCACACATTACCGGAGCGAATAAATTTAATGATTAGAAAGAGTCTTGTGTTATGTGAAATGCACAAGTAAGAAAGTTTGAGGTCATTGACATTTTCTAATGTGATAAATTTAAAGTTGTTAATTTGTCTATTCATATGAATAACTGAGGTGTGCATGAGTCTTTTAGTCCATATTTGTAAGATAAAAACAACTTAAGATTAGAACATATATTTTTCCCTTTAAAATTTACCAGTCTATATGAATGTGCAACTAATTACGTAATCTGAAATAAACAAATACGAAATTTATACAGTGAATTAAAACTAGTAACTATGAAATTAATAAAATTGATATAATTGCCGAAATATAAAAATACAAATATTAGGAATACATGAACAAAAATAAATTATAATACTCATAGCAATATTGAATGATCACATATATAAATGAAGTATTCAAATCAAAATTGCAGCAAAAAAATATAAATATACTTGCCAAATATCAGATATAACGCAACTTTAGAAAAAGCATTGCAAATAAACGCTATATATTTTCATTATAAGCATGTGGTGATTCTTTCGTCAAACAGTTGAAAACCCCACACCCAGTGAACGAACGTTACCTATTCTAAAACGTGGAAGTCTAGATCTTGTATCTTCCGATTTTTCGACGTTTGCTGCATTACATAGTAAAATATTTCATATATTGTATATTGTTATTATCTGTGTTACTTACGAAAAATGAATAAAAAGTAATTATACAGTTTTACTTTTATTAATAGAGATCATGTCGCAAATCAGACAAATACATCTAAATTATAGCTGTTAAATATAATTAATGTGTGACCCGTTACCACATTTGGAGCCTTCCTATGAAGAATTTTGGTATTTTATTCAGGAGAGAAGAAAATGTTAGAATTTCCTCTGTTGTTTTAACTTACCTGAAACACACAGCGATTGCTACAATGACGGTAAGTAGTACAAAACCACCCACAGCCACGGGGATTATAACTGATACTGAAAAATAGAACGACTTAAAAAGATGACAATGTTCATATGCTAGAAATCAAATTTCGAAGATCAGAGGTAAAGGTTTATTTCTTAGAAATCCAAAATTCCGATATGTACCAGACATATTTCATAATATAATAAGGTTCCTGATTATTTTTAAATCATATATGACAATTAAGTTCAACTTCAATGTAAATCAAGTTAAGTAATTTATTATTAGTATCGTATTACATGTACCACCGAACATTGAAACCATAAAATACAAGGAAACACTTACACGGCACGTCATTTGTCTTTTCACTAGGTTTACCCTGTTCGGGACTTTGTGTTGTATTTTGGGATGCTGTCGTATCTGGACTGACTGATGTAGCGGTGGATTTATTTTCAACTGTTGTTGAAGCTGTTGATGTAGGAGTTTGGCTCATTTCGACCGTTGTTGATGGCTCGCTTCTTGTCTGTGTTGGTTTTTCTGTTGGTGTTTTTGATGATGTTTCGGATGTAACTGATGGTGATGAACTTGCTTGAAGTTGTGTTGTACTTTTAATGGTAGAAGTTGCTGTTGATGATTGACTTGTTGTCTCTGTTGGCTTATCTGTTGGTGTTGTTGTTGATGAAGTCTGGGATGTAACTGACGGCGATGAACTTTGCTGAATTTCTGTTGCAGATTCAGTGGTTGAAGTTGTTGAACTTTGTATAAATGATGTGGATTCAGTTGTAAAGGTTGGAGTTGACGAGCTGGTGCTAGTTTGGGTTGTTGTCGTTGTCGATGATTGAGTTGTGTCTACGGGTTTGGATTCTGGTGTCGTTATTGATTGTGCTGTAGATTGTACAGTGTAGATCTTTGTAGACGATATTGGTGCTTGTGTTGATGCGTGTGTTGTTGATTCTGTGAAGTGAGGAGTTGTTTCAGAATGCTGAGGACTTGTAGTTTCTCTGAGAGTAATAGTAGTTGAAACAAAAGTTGTTGTCGATGAAGTTTTGGCTTCTGTTGTTACGGTATGATCTTCAGTTTTGGAATTAGATATGCTCTGAGGAGATGACTGTGTTATAGATGTGGATGTTTCAACCATATCAGTTGTTACAACGGGAGAGTGAGAAGAGGTGGTTTGTGAAGTAGTTGTTAAAGGTGACATTGTAGAAGATAACGAAGAACTGTTTGAAGGTAAAGTTGAATTAGTTTGATCAATAGGAGATGTTGATGATGATTTTGTTGTTGATGGCTTTGTTGTTTCAGAATTTATTGTTGTTTCTAATGGAGATTTTGATGTTGATGAAAATGTCTCAGACTTTGTTGTTGCTGTTGTGGTTTCACCTGTTGGGATTATATGTGTGTCTGTAGTAGTTGAATAAAAAGTAGTAGATGATGTAGAATTGTAAGATGGATATGTGGTGTTAGTTGACGGAGTGGTCGTCGACAATGAGATTGCTTTTGTGGATGTTGCTTGTGTTAATGGTGTCGTTGATGACTGTGAATTAGCTGTAGATGTACTGGAGTTTGAAATAAAAGTAGTTGAGCTTTCTGTTGAAGGAGTTGAGGGCACGGTTGTTGATGAAGATGAAGTATTTGTTGGTGACATACTCTTTGAAGTTGATGAAATGGACGTTAGTGTTGTTAATGTTGGCGAAGACGTTCTTGTAGATATTGTGGATGTTGTTTGAAACTCTGTTGTATGTTTCGTTGTGGGGGCTTGTGTTGTTGATGTTAAGGACGATTCTGTTGTTGACTGTGTTGGAAAAGGGGTCATGGGCTTTATAGTAGTTGGTGGTAATGTTGGAAAAGGACTCTCTTCTCCCGGAATAAAACACTGAACGTGCAGTTGTGCTCCGGAATCATCTGCAAAAAAGATTTAAAAATGATTTATGAAATCACAAACCTTTGTTCATACAATGTCAAATTACAAAATTAGGTAACACGTTCAGGGAACAATAGTCAGAAAGCTTTTAGGCCGAGTGCTTGCTTTCTTGTCGGTCTATGTACATGTACCTTTATGGACTTTATTAATGAATAGATAAAGTTTTTTAAATTTCCACTTTAAGTTGCATCTAGCAAATTAATTAAATATTCTGGATTTTTAAATGTCGAATTGGATATATAAGAATGAAAAATGCTTCTCATGGGATTCCTTCCAGGCTTTTAAAGTAGCAACTAGTTCATAGACGGAACAAACCCGTGCTTCTGGAACCAGTTTGTATGATGTACAATGTAACAGATAAAGACTCAGTTTATTATGATTATTTTTTCGGTCCTTTTCACTCCCGGTAGTGCTGCTATATGCCAAACTATGCAAAAAAATGGACCTTTTTTTTTTTAAAGAAACACAGATGATTTTTCAGCAGGGCACCTGACCAAAATGCCTCTGACATGAAATGTATGGAGATAACGAACAGTATGATTCAAGCTTAAAAGTCAAGGATATCCTATTGTTTTTATCGATAAATAACATCGAAATAAATATTCAACAATATAAAACTTTTGATATCTGGGACTGTAAAAAAAAATTGATTAAAAAAAAAATTGTATACTCTTTGATGCATTTCCCTCCTCTATATATAGCCCTGAAACGATTGTTCCCCAAATTACATCTTTTTTCAAAAGACCACTAATTCTTGGAATTCTAAAACGTATGGATACAATAATTTTCCAGATTTCTATGGATGTTATGATTAATCAGGGCTAATTTCAAAGATTTTGATTAATCAGGACTAATTTTTAAGGTTTTGATTAATCGGGGCTAATTTCAGAGAATATCCAATAATACGCTACTGACATATGAATGTAACCATTTTGAGAATACATGGTTTTCGCGAGAAACACTTATATCTAGGCAATCAAAACGAGAAATAAAATAAAATCATTGAAAAGATGAAAAAAGGAAAAAAATAGTTACTGATAAATAACTGAAAAAGTAACAAAACACAACATATTAGTATACTTACTGTGTTATTTTTCTTTCTGATTTGACTAAATTTGTATAAATTGGGTCAATTTGTCAAAGTAAACTTAACAGGAAATTCTGCTACCTGCTAAAGAAATTGATAATGCATTATATGTCAGTTACCTGATCGTAATGCCATGCAGTAATTATCGGAATTTGGAGGAAATTCTTTGACGAAGGTTATATTACTCAGACTATTGTTTCTTAGCTGGATATTCCCTCCTAGAGAACACGTGTTTCGGAGCACTCCAGAATCTTTAGTACTGTCTATTATTACGTCCACTCTACTTCCGCACGTACCAAACCCTGGCTGTATAGAGCTCCGTGTAAATACATACAATCTAGCATTGTCGTTGGTTGTCAGAGGGGTTAGGTAGCACGTACAGGACCGGATTTCCTCTGTCGTCCTGCTGTTAGCGCCTGTTACATCAATCACAATATATGCACCCTGGGCACTGGATGCGCTACACATGGTGGCCACTGTTTTAAATCAAAATTCAGACATTTTCATTTTTTTACAATGAAGATGAAAGCAATTAGTTGTAAATACATTTAGGTAAAAATGTTTGACTGGTAATATGTATCATTATATTATACCTGGAAAATTTGACGACGTGTCAGAACAATACGAACCAGCAACACCTAGATGATTTGGGAAAGAAGAAAAAAAGATTTAGAAAACATATCTGGTTTAATATGCAGATTTGACATTAGAGGTTTATAGTATAAGAGGGATTGATTTTGGTGTCATGAAGAAATTTGATTGATTGATTGATTGCATGTTGTTTTACGTCCCTTTCGAGAATTTTTCACTCATATAGAGACATCACCATATACTGGTGAAGGGCTTCAAATTTAGACCTTTACTCGGCACTCAGGGCCATTGAGCAGTGAGGGTTCTTTATCGTGCCAACGCCTACCGTGACACGGGGCCTTGGTTTTTAAGGTCTTATCCGAAGGACCCGCAACTTTCACTTCAAATAGCCGAGCGCTTAGCGAAGGAACATTTGCTACCTATTTTTTATCGACTTGGGTCAGTCGCGGCTGTGATTCGAACACACGACCTTCTGATAACGGTGATGAAATATGAAGACAACGATCAGTTTTCAAGCTTAAACGTCCATTGAAACAAAAGAAATTGGGAGCAGAGCGAACAATGACCTCTAAAACATCAGAGGTGGAATCAGTTGCCATGGAAGAGTAAACATTCCCTGTCGACCGGTCCACCCACTGTGTGCTTGTTGTTAAGATCGGGTCAACGAAAATAAATCCGAACACAGATCTACTGAAATTTGTACAATATAGTACCTACTTTGTCATAGATTTTAAAATTTCAAAAATAAGTAATTAAAAAGGTGACGATAACGAACAGTGATCGATCTCACAAAATTTATAAACAATTGTATGAGGAGGGCATAAAATACGGATCCCGTTGAAATTCCTGTAACATCAACTTATCTGTCAGTAGCCTGCCTCGGATTAAAAATTGATCGTACTCGGAGCATGCTCTTGATTATCGATCAAGTTGGGAGATGTTAATACCATGGAACTCGTAAATATACTTACCTTGTCATTGGTCATTTGCAAAATTATTTTGTTAAAAAAGCATTCTGATTGTACACACAAGTACTCTGAAGTTGATATTAAAAAAAAAGATGCTTGAGTTTCTGATTGGCAATATCTATGTAGTTTTTGGAGATCAGGTCTTCCAAAAATCTGTTGGAATTCACATGGGTACCAATTGCACCCCCTAATTAGCAGACCTATTTTTGTATTCATATGAAGCAGAATTTATTCAAAAACTTCTACATGAGAAGAAGAAAACGCTTACTGTGGCCTTCAACTCGACATTTCGATATATCGACGACGTATTATCAATTAACAATAGTTACTTTCATTCATATGTCGACTCGATATATCTCAGTGAGCTTGAAATAAAAGATACCACAGATTCTGACACATCTGTTTCATATTTAGATATTTTACTAGAAAAGGACGTTAATGGTAACTTAACAGCAAAGCTTTATGATGAACGTGATGACTTCAACTTTTCAATTGTCAACTTCACTTATTTATGTAGCAATATCAATATACCCTTATCACTTGCATATGGGGTTTATGTCTCTCAGTTGGTTCGAATCGCAAGAGCGCTAGCATGCTCTACGTATGAACAATTTCTAAAACGAGGCAAGCTATTGACAAACAAGGATATTAACAGTCTCGTTTGAAGTCATCATTAGGCCACTATTTATACACTGATATGTCTATGGATTTTTCCGGGGTTTTTTTTCCGATTATGACAAGGAGCACACGGCGGGTGCGACCGGTCGGCAGGGGATGCTCACTCCTCCATGGCACCAGATCCCACCTCTAAATTTTGAGGTCCGTGTTTGCTCTGCTCCAAATTTGTATCGTTTTATTGGACTTTCGAGATTGAATACTGTTCCTTATCTTCATATTTCATGCAGGTGATAGCGGGATATTACTAAATGTATAAGGAAGGTTGCCAATGGAAAAGTTGAAGTCATCTGGTTTGTCATAAAATTTACTTGTTAGTTAGCCCATATCAACTATAGTCAGTAAAACATCCAAATAAGAAATAGATGTGGCAGATTCTGTGGTGTCTTTAATGTCAAGTTTACTGGGATATATCGAATCGTCATATGAATGAAAGTAACTATTGTTAATTGATAATACCTCGTCGCTATATCTAAATTTCGAGTTGAAGGCCACAGCAAGCATTTTCTTCTTTTTTTTTCATGTAGAAGTTTCTGAATAAATTCTGCTTCATAGGAATATAAAACAGGTTGGTTAATAAAGAAGCACAATTAGTCCCATCGGAATTTCAACAGTTTGTTGGAAGACCTGGTCTCCGAAGATTACATAAAATTTGTCAATGAGAAACTCCAGTAAATCATGCGTTTTTATTTGTAGGTTATTTTGTACACTTGAGTGTGGATATAATAAATGAATATTTTTAAAAAGTGGGGAGAGAGGTTAAGAAGAGGGGCGAATTGGAAGTGAGAGGAGGGGTGGGAGAGGGAAAAGGTATGAAGGAAGAGGGGAGGAAAACATTCGGAGAGAAAAAAAGAAGAGAAGAGAGAGGAAAGGGTAAAGATAATACGAAGAGGGGGGTGTTGAAGAAGGGCCCCTTGTCTTCCACCCTTGGAAGTGATTTTATGTAAGAGATGTTTAAAACTGCCAAGTATTTTTTCTCGTATGTATGAAATCATTATTTCTCACATGCACAAATATAGATTGGCCATTTTCGAAAAATAAATTAAGCAGAATAACCACCACCCCACCCCTCCTCTCTACAAAATACAGTTGTATGTCAAGCTTTCATTTTTTTCAAAATCTAACCCACCAGGAAATTAAGTGCAGCAACTGTATAACCTCTTCCTTCTCTACAGCACAGAGGAATTCGACACATTTCCAATTTGGGAGGAAATACAGATATGATAAAATATTTACACAATGATTTTTATCCAATTAATTTCTCGAGGCCAGGTCTTGTGCGAAAGTAACGAAATCTACATTTATGATTCTGGTATTGTTTTATCTAGTTCAGGTTCTGACATAGACTTTACTCATTTATTGATTGCACGGAAGATACATGTATTATTCAATTCGCTTTTGTTACCACACAGGTAACCTTCAAATTTTTAGATGTATGTAATAAATCATGTTCCAAGAGAAAAAAAGACATTTTTAGAGAACATTGCAAGCTTGTGCACATCTTTATACATGTACCAAGTATTTCACAGTAAAATGATGACAGCTGAAGGATCGAAATCAAATTATTTTTTGAAAAGGAAAAATTCTTAAAACTACTTCTTGCTTGAGAGAGGGTTTGAGGGGCGCAGTACATAATTTGTAACATTCAAAAAAAGTAATGGCAAGGTTCCATACCTCCTTATTTATATAATAATAACTGCAGTCATACAATTATTGTATTATTCAAACCGTTCATGATTAATACGTGGAAATAAAAATCTTAATAATCTGTTTCAAGTGCGACGGAAATGACAGAGCAGGAATGGTCAGAAAACAGAGAAATCCGATATGTACAACAAATCAGTCTAAGTCCATGCGTTAACAAATTGAGATGACGATCCTATGAAATCGAACATATCTGCCTAGTGGTGTAGACATTTTCAGTCTCAGGTATATATACTAGTCTTCCAAAATTAACTTTTTGTTAAACCTCAGAAGACTGCTGTATAAGACATCCATTGAAATGTTTCTTTTATAATATATCTCTCATTTCAACATATACACACAAAGAGAAAGACAGAAACCTGATGTAACTAAATATTGTTGATTTCATTTACTGACTGTTATTCCAAATTAAGAAACGTCCTATTTTGTAAAAATTATCTTATTTTACAACCATTGACTGAACAATGCGTCATTCAGATGTGGTAGAAATTTAAACCGTGTGATGACAAGGTCTGGTCGAGCCTCTTTAAAACATTTCTTTTTTGCAAAGTTAAAAGAATGTTAATGTACATTTAAACATGGCTATTGTTATAAAAACCGTGAACAAAAATCAAATATTTGAATCATCCTAAAATTTACACAAAGTCAAATGCAAACAACACCCAGTAACTGTCTCAGTAAATACATACAACCTTTGCTTTAAAGAGATTATCAGAAATATTTAGTTATTATATTTATATAAAAATCGTGATTAAACAGGTGAATTTAAACATCATACATATGTGCAGATTATATTGTAAGAAATTTAATTAAGAGTTTTACTTATTGTGCATGTTTCATCATTCTTAAGACAATTTTTGAATATTTATTTATTTTTTTTGCGCCTGACATTAGAATACAATAGAATAGAAACAATGCATGGAAAAGATAAGAGGCATTCCGAATAAATCGTTCATCTTGCGTTCACCGTTCGTTCACCGTTCACTTTGCGCTCGCGTTCGCGCTCCGTTCGCGTTCTGCGTTCGCTCACCGTTCAGCGTTCACCTACCGTTCACCAAGTTGCGTTCAGCGTTCACACATCGTGTGACATCTGCGTTCGCTCACCGTTAGCTCTGTGTTCGTTCAGCGTTCGCTCACCATTCAAGTGGGAAAGTAAAACGTTTCAGGGACTGTACATGTTATTTTAAGCCTTAAAAATAGGTGATTTTTTGCCTATCAACACAGAAAAATTTGCTGGTTGCTAAGGAAATATCTTTGGCTGGGTTTCCATGGTAACCATAACTCAAAACATTGTTCATTTTACATACATTGTTCATATTGCAAGAGAAATTTATGAGATAAAATCATCAAATTTGAAAACCTTCATGTATCACTTTCATTCAATTTTGTCTGATTTTTATGTTGACTGGTACTTAAAATTCTTCAGCTGAAAGTTACGAGCAGAGATAGATCGTACTCGTAAAAAAGCCTTTTTAAATTTCTGCTCTCTTTTAAAAGTCTAACCATTTTGCTTGTCTATTGAATAGAATGTGTATGAATAAGACAGGTAAACATCAATGCCAATTCGTCTGTAGCGCATGTGCAAGCTTATACACGCCTACATTATCAGAAATATTTAGTTATTATATTTATATAATAATATCCAAAATTTTCAGAGACAGAGTATAAATATATTTATGTCATAATTCTGTCAAAGTTACATTAGTTACAAAAAGGCAAAAATCTTTTAATATTGTTAAATGTTGTCCCATTATGTAAAAAGAAATATTATAATAATCACCAATCAAAGTCTAATAAAATTTTATTGATGTTATATATACTATCCCTCACAAGACAAATTGTTCTCATTCATTGTCTTTTGTACAAATTGAGGAACTGAATGACGTGTTAATCAATAAAAGGAAGTTCATTTAAAAAGCTTAAAACCGGTTCTCAATATTGATTTGACAGAAAATGTAGCTGATGATGGAAGATGGGTTACCGTACATGCAATGGCCTGATTCAATTTCTGGAAATAATGTCTGTCTTTTTGAAAATTCTTAACTTGTATACATAAAATGATATTTCTTACCTTTTACAAGGCACAAAAACATGAAAGCATAAAGCACCATCCTGTATAAATTATAGGATTTTGTTGAAGTTCACTGATTGATTTTAGTCCACAAAACAGTAGAACGTTATCCCGCAATTGCAGTGCAAATCATCCTTTGTGCTGCACAGCGTAATTCTGTCCCATTTCTTTCTTTCTTTCATTCAAGAGGTGTGCTATATTTATTTCGTGTTTGAATTCAGAATTAAAACCGTGGATTATTTAAATAGCTAGTGCTAATTCTTTAGAAAAGTGTACCACAAAACAATACACGTCAAACAACAGCTTTCCTCAATAAGAACATTCATTTAAGTCATCGATCGGAACAAATGACACGATCGGCTTGATCGGAATTTCCCGGCCCAAACGTGCTTTTTCAGGGTTGACGACTTATAACACATTTAAATATTTAAAACACCACCAAAAAATAAAACAGCGATTAACCTTATAGTGTGATACAAGAGATTAATCATGAATGCGATTAACGGACTTAATAAATGTGTTGAATGTAACTTGTTTATATAATTAGTTTGCGTGCTAACGTCCTTAATTAAGGTTAGTGCATTCTGCAGTCTTGTGCTTTCTCCAAACTTAGAATTCTGACAACGGATATCTATTATTAATCTTTGACCTGGATAGATGGTCGTTTACAAAGGTTAGAGTTGATTGGGTTTATTTTTGCAGGTCTTTGAAAGCAAGTTTTTAAAACTTCAAAAATATAAGTTTGCCTTGTGTGAAGGGCATTAAAGATTTGAAAAATATCGGGAAATTTGTTCATACCTAGGTTCAGATCCTCTTTCTTTTTTAAACAAATAGGAAATAAGAACATTAAATAGTCGTATTATGAAGAGAACCTTTAAGATAGTTGTGTTGTCACTAACTTTTCTGAGAGTTAACGTACAATTTTGATCTCATTCCATGATAAATTTTCAAGACATGTAACATGTTTTCTTGAAGTTCCCTTGGATACACATACGACTGAAGCATATATATACAGAAAAAAAAACAAAGAAAGAGAAAAGAAATGAGAAATGTTACATCATAACATTCATATTTTTAATAGTGATATAAAAACAAAGCGCATATTAACAAAGTAAAACAAAATAACACAGTGACCACATTTTATATAATTATATATATATATATATATATATATATATATATATATATATATATATATATATATATATATATATATATATATATATATATGTATGTATGTATGTATGTATGTATGTATGTATAAAGTATAATTATATGTAAAATATCTATATAAATTTTTAAACTATGGTACTCTTCTCAGTGATTAAATGCCCTCTCAATGGAATCTTAATGCACAGAATAATTAATTAAAATGTATTTTACGATGGTGATAAAAATACCTTTGATTCAAGTAAACCAATTCCTTGGTACAGCTGTTGGAAAAATGTACGTTTTTTCTTTGCATTTAAAGTCTTTATATTATTTTTTTCAAGTTACATTTCTATATCATGATTTCGTTGAAGGTAAAATGACAAGGTGCTTCATATTGGTCAAACAAATTTTTGACTCAAATCGTTTTTTTTCTCCATGTGTATGACATTGTTTACCTATCCATTCTTATTGGCTGATATATGGTTTTTTTTTCTAATCCTAATTAAGATTAAATTATGTCAGAGAGATTGTTTTCAAAATTTGGAAAAAAAAATCTATTTTGGTTAAGAAACATTTAGCATGCAATAATGTCGTACATGTAAGTGCTAGTATGGGCAATTTTCGTAAGTCAGTCAAAAATGGATGTAATTTAGCTAAATGATATGAAACGATACTATAATCTGAACAAATTAATTTCTTAAGACATACATTATATTACTTGCTCCAGTTCTTCAAAGTTCTGTTCGTATATCGTCATATCTAATGTGTTCATCATTTTGCACATGAGGAAGGTTATCTACTGTAATAACAGTTTTGGATCCGCTCCCTAAATGAATTTCTGTAAAATAACTATCGTCAGTTTCAGACTTTCTCCAGTCAAGCACACTTCTTCTGTTAGGCCGCACTGTTGCTTCGTTATTTGCAGATTCTTTGCCCTTTGAGTCCGGAGTTATTACAATAATGTTTTTGTTACTAGCAGACTTGCGCAGTTTGACACGTGATGCTGTGGGCGTGGCATTCGTCAGTTTGATATCGACTATGGGGGAACTTGAATTGCCGTCTTTGGTCATATCATCAGTGTTGTGTTGTGATATATTTTCTTTTAATCCATCTCCTTCATCGATTACAACATCATGTTGATTTGAACTTGAATCATTCTTAGAATTTTTAAAAAGTCTTTGCAAAATGTTTCTGTAAATATCGTAAAAAGGAGAGCGTTTAACCTCCTGATTAAAAGTACATATTAGCGTTTTTAATTTGGCATTTAGAAAGCATATGTAATACCTTCTCCATATAAAGACAAAAACCACTGCTAGGCTAATCAGCGCCATTGGTACGACAATTCCCAACGGAATAACTACTTCAACTGTCAAAATACATTTTTAAAAATGATACCGAATATTTTTACTTCTTATAGTCAAGAATTCTTAAATGGTTAAAATTTTCATAGTGTATTCTTTACATAATACATCAAAGCCTTTGTGTTTTGTAATTTTATAATACTATAAATTTTAAGACATTATTTACATCTATGATAATATTTAGGCTAAAATTAAAACCCGTTTATTCTTCTAGACTATGATTAGAAAGAATATGTACATTTAAAATAGCCTTGATGTGTATTTTTTCAAAGGGATATATATTTCATTAAGTATTGAAGTCAATGGCGGGCTCAAAAAGGGGGGTGGGGGATAACTATGATTTTATTTTAAAAAGTTCCCTAAATCATTCTTATCATATATCTACAAAAAGAGTTGAAAAGGACGCATTATGATCTAATTTATAACTCATTTTAGCATTACAACCCATGGCCATCAAATGAAAAAGCAAGCGATATACAATATGTACATGCATTTTCTGAGACTTACGATATACACGGTCTTTTTCGCTGACACGGTCGTTTTCGCTGACATCTTTGGAAGTATCTGTTATCAGCTTCGGAGATGTAGTTGAATTTGGTAATGACGTTGTCTCTTCCTGTGTTGAAACTGGTGCCGTAGAAACTGATGGAGTACTTGAAGAAGTGGTTGATAATGTAGTTGTGGTTGTAGAAGTAGTTGTTCTTCTCTCCAGAAAGGGACACGAGATCTGGAAGGCTTCTGAGCCAATTCCACTGTCTGAGGCTGATAATGAGAATCATTTACAATTTAAACATATGAGTAAGATGTTAGAGTTATTTAAACGTAATTTCTGTTGATACGAACAATTTGTTTTGTTTCTATTGTCTTTAAACAAGCTTATTCCCAAGGACATCGCTGTATGTAGGCTATTGTTCATTTCTTTTGAAAAAGAACACTGAAACATGTGAAAACAAGAGATGTTTGTGAAACACTTATCCCGCCCCCCCCCCCCAATAATTGGAAGTTTTCAAGTCCAAGGGGCATAACTCTGCCAAAAATTGTTCGATTGTACCCAAAACAGATCTTGACCTAGATATTCTTATGATAAATCTGTATACCAAATTTCATTTCAGTATGTGCAACCTTTGCAAAGAAAATGAACGGAAACTGCAAATAATTGGAACTTTTCTAAGTCCAAGGGGCATAACTCAAAAATTTGCTCGATTGTACCCAAAACAGAATTTGACCTAGATAAGCAGCCTCCAAGTCATGACCAGTATTTTTTATTCCACAAATCCATCATTCATGCATGTTCGACCCAGATGGGATCTATAGTCATTTGATAGGAAAGATATCTGCTCTAAAACATGAAGCAGAAACACTCAGGAGGGTTGAGTATACTATTCTTGATCAGTTTAATTTATGTTTAACGTTGTGTATTATTTTACGATTCCTGTGTCTAAAGAACATTAAAGCTTAATGCCAAAAGTACAAATTTCCCAATGGGTAATTCAATGACAATTTCATAAATAAAATAGACCCAATACATGTATATCCTAGAGAACTTGAAATGAAATACACTATAGAGTCTTCAACATCTGTTTCATATTTGGATGGTTTACTGACAATAAACATTAATGGCCAACTAATAACTAATTTATATGATAAATAAAATAACTTCAGCTTTTCCATCGTGAATAACCCTTTTTTCAGATGTAAAATTCCAATATTACCTGCATATGGTATTTATGTATCCCAGGTGATTGGTATACAAGAGCAATGCTCCGAGTACGATCAATTTCTAAGCCGCTAATGTCAAATAAGGTGATGTTACAGGGTTTTAAAAGTTTCAACAAAGCCAATATTTTGCAAATTCTATGGTCGTATAATGACTATTTGCAAATACAGCCCATTGTTAGGCCATTGTTTTAATACTACGGATTCCTCCGTTTACCTTATCAATACAGAGGTCTTAGGGCGAATGTGACCGGTCGACAGGGGACGCTTACTTCTCGTAGGCACTTATCCACACCTCTGGTGTTTCCAGGGCCCCTATTAACAATTTGTATTGTTTAAAAGGTTTAAAAGATCGCTATTTTTACCTTTTTTTAATTTATCCCGATTCATAGGTACAATGTGTATGTTTACTTCATTTAAAAAGGTGTGTTCTTTTACAACACTCACGATTTTCCTGCACTCATTCTGAAAAAGGGGTGTATTACTTAGTGAGATGAAGGAAACCTTTTTACTCGTAGTGTCTGAATTTGTCGTTTTGAAGATCGAAATGTGACTTAAATCAATTTACCAAGTGATATAATGTAGCAATATGATGTGTTGTAAACTGGCCCTTCTAAATTGGTTCTTCTCACAGTAATGTTTATCTTATCATCCTTTTTAACATGAAATGACGTCGATCCGGTACAGAGGAAGGTATAATTTTGGTTTCCATCATAACTGACAATGTGGATTGCAGATCCGCAGTCGGATGATGGTGTTCTTTCTGGCACAAAATATATTTTTCCAGGAAATCGCACGTGCACCGTGCAACTACAGGATTGGAGGTAGTACAGACTAGCGTTGTGAACATCCAGATAAATAAAGCTTGATAGATAACTGTCTGGCGAACACATACTTGTTACTGCAAAAAGGAAAAATAGAGAATTCAAAGTGAATGATTTGATGTACTTTGATGTTCTTCTTCGGATGAACAATAAAATGTTCTTTGGTATTAATATCGTAAATAAAAATGAAGTATACGTACCATGCAAAGATGTTTCCGAACATGAACGCATTCCTACAAAGTACCGTGTACATGTATGTAAGTGCAACATGAAAATTTTGTCCCATATTAATTTCACATAAAAGCAACGAAAGCAATAATTATTTCATAGTCGCAGAGAGAGTGGGGTGTCCTATTAAGCATTAAGATGAATATTTCTTTCTCGTTTCTAAAGAAATGGGCGTGTCATTATGTAGCAATTGACGTTCGATAAGAAACACCCAAACTTTCCACCCAAACGAAAAAATTTACCACTTCAATACGCTTCATTGTAGCTCATTCCTATGGACAATATATTGAAATTGTTCGAAAATACAAACTATTGTTGAGTTGTATTTTGTATCAATTGTTAGGCCATTATTTTACACTAGATTTAACTACGGATTACTGACTTCACCTGATCACTACAGAGGGTGTAACAGGGAGGGAATGCTTACCCTGATCTCAGTACTGGTGTTTCCAGGGGTCCTTGTTTTTACAATCACTTTCCGTTATTTTTAACTTTTCCGTGTTTATTTGCGTTTGAAATTTGTATACATTTCAGACCGAAAGTGAAACTTGAAAGAATTTTGTAAATCACGATAAGAATTCTACAAAATCTTGATATGCAATATATAATCAATATAATTAAACGATCACATCTGCTTTCAAACAAATAAAAACAAATTGGCCAGTGCGTTCAAAATTTTATGAATGAATGCAATGGTGCCTCAGTATGAGTTTTAACTACACAATGGACTAATTATTAATAGATCTGATTCCAGGTCATGCAGACTAGTTCAAGCTTTGATAATGAAAAAAAAAAAGCTTCACACTTACCTGTTATTCTCAATACACCGTTATAGATCGATAAACAAATAAAAGACAGTCCTAAAGCGGAGACCATCCCGAATCTCCAAAATTACCTACATTGCTTTTTTAACACATATCCTTATATAGAAGAAATATGTATTATATTTAAAACAAAAGCGGTAGGTCTAGTTTCGTGACATCATTATCGCACCAATCTTAAATACCAACACGCGATTTTGGCGTGCATTTTTTGTTACTTATTCATAGGATAGATGTATTATAACTTAAACGGTGAATGTAATAAATGGAATAAGGTGTTTCTTCTGCATAAATAGATACTTTGATTCAGTGTGATTTCCATGCAAACCTATCATTAAAGAAATGGCGGCGACATGCACGTATTGTTGTTCGTTTCAATCGACAGAAAACAGTTTTCTTAAGAAGCCGAAAATGTATCAATATTTCGATCTTTCAGGTCTGTTTAAAACACACAAACAAAATAAATGTACTTTTACATCATAAAAAGAAAACTTGTGTGCAATGTAGGACATGATTATGACCTACACTGATAAAAAAAACGAAATGTAAACTGACATTGAAAAGTAAGGCCAAACCAAACAGAAAGTTGAAAAAAAAACCTACATGAAACATGTATATACCACTTCGATTAAAATTCCCAAATTTATGTAAAAAAAAAAAAAAAAAAAAAAAAGAATCCTGATTTAATATACTATGTTGTTATACCTTTAAGAATTTGTTCCTATATGAATCAATACTAATAAAAGTCTAACATTTCCAATGTTTTACTGAGCGGGCATAAAAAAAATCGATGTTTGACTGCGGAGTGAGATACTGGACCTGTCGATGAGATGTTGGACCGCTTACATAATGGGCGGGGTCAGCTAAATCCCATTTGCAGTCGTTGGTGTTCGACATACATGTATGTCAATAATAATAATAAAATAAATAAATAAAAGGTATAACAAAACATTTATTGACTGTGTTCTCGGGCAAAATGCTTTTTGTCGAACCCTCGAACCAAACTGTTAGGTTCTTGGGTCCGACAAAAAGCATGTTGTCCTCGAACCCAGTCAATAAATGTATATCATATTATTAATCAATTTATTAGAATATCTGTACTTTTTGTGTTTATGATTATGGTTAAACTCAACGATATTTTCCATTTCCTGTTATTAATCCGACCCTTATCCAATCACGGCAGTAAAATGTTCAACAACAAGGTTTGTTTCAGAAACCCGTATATACAGGTATATTTCTGCTTAAATATGGATCCCTCCATTTTTTCACACATTTATCAAAAAACTTTTTTCCAAGGCATGGATTTTGGAAAATAAATCATATTTATTTTTTGACTGAATGTCGGCGACATGTTTAACAGTTAAACATTAACTTTACTTACAAATCTTGATTTCAAATTGGGAAAGAATTGGTTTTAATGTAATTAACATTTTCTTAGGTGAACTTCCGTTGTCTAAAGGTAATAGAGTTGTAAATTTTCTGATCATGTATACAAAACAATATATTTTTTCTTGTCTAAAAAAGGCAAACTGCCAAACCTCCTGGAATTTCTCCTTCACTTATGCAATAAATATAGGGTTGAAAAATATATTGCAAGCAAGAATTCGGAAATGCAAAAGTTTAATGAAATCTGGCCAAACTGGAAATGTTTATTTGACAATGCTTATAAGTTATTATATGTTACAATATGTGAGGTTTTTCTTTTTTTTAGTGTTTTTATATTGATGTATTTTTTTTCTCTCTTTCTGTTAAAATATAATGACAAGTATGCTTCTACATACCGAAATGAATGAGTGTGGGTGAGAAACATCGATTTTAGTGCACAGTAACCAAAATTTACATCTGACCAATTCTTATAATATTTGGCCATCCCATCCAGTCAAAGAGCTAGAGCCACGAACCATCAAAATGTGCCTTAACTCAACAATGAATGAGGATTTCAATATAGATAGTAGAGACTTTTAGCTTTTCATTACTGTTTTTCTTTTTTAGATATCTATTATACTTTTTCAAGAAGAGATTTTACATTATGGTATTGTTTTCATTGAAATTTGCGTGAGGAACGTCATTATTTGTAACGTAACGTCATTATGTTAATATCGTAACGTCGTAAAAAATCCATGATTGCAATTATATGAACACATTTAAAAATTTAAAATTGGAATAGAGAAGTATCTAATCAGCATCATGATCATTTTACCAATATATTAAAAAAAAAAACAAAGAAAGGTGTTGATTTCATATTGCAGTTCTTGCGATAACTGCGCGCGAGTGTAAACCGATTGCATTATATCCTATAGTACATGGAAGAATAATCTGTGTCCCAGAGACTGGGAATCATTTGACGAAGGAGCGTTCTACAGTATCTGCTATCTTTGTACACATGAGCACTGCAATAGTCCTTTTGTTTAGTATTAAAGTATCTTATACTATATAGACGTATAACTTATAAATGCTATATTCTACATTATTTTCTGATATCAGAAATAAATTCTGGAAAGCTTCATCTGAACTGGATAGAAATACAAAGGCAAATACATATTTTAAATAGAAAGTGATGTCCAGTATGGTAATTGTCAAACCCTTTTCGTAGCGAGCATGTGAGGCTATTAAAGATCTTATTCTAATTAAACTGAAATTGAATTATCAGAGAAGAGTACCTTGTGAGTGCGAAGGACTTATTGCCAAATCATATGTGCGTTTTTACAATGAAATGAATTAAAACAATTGCATGTCTCGCCGATTTTCTTTTAGTTTAGTAATTTTGAACACCGATTTTAGTGCACAGTAACCAAAATTTACATCTGACCAATTCTTATAATTTTTGGCCACCCAGTCAAAATTATTTCTCATATTATGTAACCCTGCGTTTCTTTTTCCTTTCAGTATATTTAAAATGGTTAATTGGTCCTTAAAACCCTCAGCTATACCTAGAAAATGAATGAGTGTGGGTGAGAAAGTGAGAGCGAATGGTGTGTAAAAAAGAAAAAGTTTAGTACTTCATACTGTAATATGTATGTATTAAGATGAAAAAAAAAAATAAAAAGAAAGAAAAGAAACGGAGGGTAAACGTTTGCAGTGAATGAATGCTATTTTTTGGATGTATTTTCAGGTATTTGTTATTTAATTTTTAAACTGATCTTTAATCAATAAGTTACCAGAATCTCATTTGATTTTGACGGATAATTCATGAGTTATTGAAATTCATATGATGGTACCCCCCAAAAACGAAAATAAAAATTTTCAATATCTCCCTCGCGCGTCTGTCACAACCTTGATTCTCCTCTGCATGGGGTTCAAAAGTGCTATTTCTCAAAGGGATATCATTCACCTTTCCGACAGGTAAACTCCCAGTTGGTCGAGATAAGCTGGGCTATACCGTCGACTTCAAACCCTAGCGTTCAGTTAGTCCTACAGCTTTTCGGTTGGAGAAAAAGAATTTACGGACGCCAGTTGATTTGGTAAATGTGAATATTTACGAAAAAGTCTTGACAAACTATGACAACATTTTCCTGTGGGTGAACATGCTTAATAATTAGGCTTACTACGCACTCGTGCACGAAGTTGACAAGCAATGTTTTTTTTTTCAGTTTTAGAGTGAATAATGCTTATAATTGCTTACTGTATCAGAATCGGTTTCAGCATCCTCACAATGTCAAGGTTTTGTGATTTCGGAACTCCACACAAACCCTTGACATAAGTCGCTATTTAAAAATTGGGCTAAAAAGATACTTTTTCATTTGTTCCTGGTCCAGGACTGGAACCAATCAGAAAACAGCTTTTATTGTAGGTAAGTTTTGTAAATAAATATGACTCGTCTTAAAAATGGAAAGTGTCGATATTGTAGGATTTGTGACTAGTTACATTAAATGAAACATCGGGGATTAATTATTGGAAGATCGTCCTCAAAACAATCACAAAAGATATGATCTGGAGTTGGGCCATTTGAAAACGACGGATTTGAAAATTATATTATCATTGGTAAGTTTATAATTACTGTCACGTTGATCTTTGGGGTTATACGTGAACTCGTCTGATATATTTTAATTTGGGAAATAACTCTTTTGATTTAGGTAATGAGTTCTTTATTCCATATATGGATAGCTCTACACGTGGGCAACTTGCAGGTTTGGATTGTCCTCTACGGTGGCTGTAAATATCCAAAGAATAAAGGAATAAAATATTTTATTTATGAAGTTTATTAATTGAAGTCGTTGATAGAAGTGCTCAATAATTTTTATAAACAAACAGTCACCAGTTACAAAAATATATATATATTTTTTAATAAATAATATATTTATTTTCAATAACATACAACAAAATATCGAGGCAAAACTTCCGCAGAAGCCCTCTGTATATACCTCACCTGGGGTGCAAAGAGCTCCCTGGATCGGTATTTTCTTTTTTAATATTTAATTTACAAAATTATATACATTAAATGAAAAAAAAATACATGTATTTATACATATCATTGTTGACATTTCATTTCTTTACATATACTTATATATCATTGTATAATATTTTTTGTAAATAAAATAAGTATTATAGATGAAATATCTACACTTAATTTATAATTTTATATACTTCTCAAAATACATATAATCACAAAGAAAATCATATTTGGTCAGCTAACTTTTTTAAAAGATGGTAATTTAATTTAACACTTTTTGCATTCTTTGCTATTAAATTAATACTGATATAATGATGATTTTAAAAAAGATAACATTGCATGTGCATTTACATTTTCATTTTGTAATCTACATTTCATTTTATTCTTGTATATTTTGTAACCTACAATTGATATGACATTATTAAAAATTTCTGTTGTTTCGTTAAACTCATTAAAAAATCCTACAACAATATTTTTCCAGGATATATTTAATTTCAATATTTTTGATATTTTTTCCCATAATCTTTTTGAATCCGAACATTCTAAAATTAAATGTTCAATATATTCTACTTGTCCACAACTTGTACAATTTTTTCCCACCTCTTTATTCCATTTACTTACATTATAATTACAATTCAGCTGGTTATGTAAAAGTTTAAAATTGAATTCTGCTATCTGTTTATCGAATACATTTAATATCTTAGCTGTATAAATATTTTTCCATTGACCATTTGTTATATTGAATTCTTTTGACCACTTCGTTTCCATTATTGGCCTTTGCTTCTTTTTAGAAAGTAGAATTTTATAATAAAATCCTGATTTTTCAAATTCTGGGTTTCTACTTTTTCTTTGAAAAAAAGGACTTTTGTATATTAGTGTATTTACATTACAGTAATCTATATTTAGCTTTTTAATCGCTTTTTTCATTATTAGATCTTCACATAAGTAATTACCCTTTGATTCAATGATCTCTTTTACATCCGTAATATCTTTCATACCTTCTATTGTAAACAGTTCATTTACGTATAGAAAACCACTTCTTGCCTAGTTTTTTTTAGATATAGTGGTTTATTGTGTTTTATTAAATTATTTAACCATAAGTTTTCTGTAATTTTATTACGCGGTGATAACGATTAACATTCGTTAAAACTACAGAAAATATTCTTGTAAAATTTCGAGAATTTGATTAAAACGTTGAAATCATTCGGATTTATAATATTACTACGTAACAGATATTCAAAGTTTATTCCAAATCTTTTTAATGCGTTATCTAAAAAAAATTCTAAGCGTAGAATTCTCATTGTATAGCCTTTTGATCCATCCGGCTTTTACGCTTTTAAGTTTGCATTCGATATCTATTAAACCAAGACCACCCTCATATATTGGCCTTATAAGTGCATTGCGTTTAATTCTCTTTCTCTTATTCCATAAAAAATTGTAAATAATTTTATTTATACTTTTAATGTATTCGACATCTGGATTTTTGAGAACTGTAAAAAATATAATAGTTTAGACATTAAAGTGAATTAATAACGGTACATTTTCCGAAAAAAGTTAAGCTTCTTGTTCTCCATGAATCTAATATTTTTTCAAATTCTTTAAGCTTATGCAACCAATTTTTTTCATTATTAGATATTTTGTCGTGTCCTAAGAAAATTCCCAGTGATTTAATAGGTTTATTTGTCATTTTAATTCCTTCTATATCCTCTCGTGTGTTTTTAAGGGGTACCAAGAGAATACCCTCTGTTTTTTTTTTTTCTAAATTTAACTTAGTACCAGACATTTTCCCAAAAGATTGTATAACTTTAATAGACGCTTTTAAGGATTCAGTATTTTTCATTGGCAAAGTGCAATCATCTGCATGCTGTAAACATTTTATTTCGTCTGACTGTCCAATTTTGAAACCTTGTATACTTTCAGAGGCATTTATTTTTAATACCATGATTTCAATAACAAAAAGAAAAAGCAATGCTGAGACGGGACATCCTTGCCTAATGTATCTTGACATAGTACATTTTCTAGTTAACCAGTTATTATTTTTAACATGAAAATAAGGTTTTGTGTATAAAAGTTTTATCCATCTTAGGAAATTTTCCCCAAAATTGATTTTTTTAAGAGTTTGAAGTTCCATTCAACTGAATCAAAAGCTTTTTGGAAATCGGCAAACAAAAGTATTCCTTCTTCGTTATTTTCTTCACAATAATCGTATATATCTAGTATTAACCTTGCATTTTCACCAATAAATCTTCCTTTGATATATCCAGTTTGATTTTTATCAATCAGTTTGTCCATAATCATTTGTAGTCTCTTTGCAAATACGAAGGCTATTATTTTATAGTCGCAATTTGTTAAACTAATAGGACGATAGTTATCAAGATTTATTAAGCTCCCTTTTTTGTGTATGAGTGATAGAACAGAAGATCTCTGCGTAAATGATAATTCGCCTACCTCGAAAGATCTCAACAGGCTTTTATATAAATAAACTTTTACATATTTCCAAAACATTATAAAATTCCAAGTTACAAAAATAATTCGATATATTATAAGAAATACGTTTTAAAGTTAAACCTGGTGATTGTACAGAGGGGTAAAAAATTTAATAAAAATCCCTCTGTGAAATGAAAATCTAAAATAACATTGATACTACATAAATCTAAACTATACACATCTTACAGCGGACAGTCTCATAGTACTAATTCATAAGCAGAGAAAATTTGGAAGGAAAACAAAATCTATTTTACACTTTTCTTTGAACTTTGATCCAAACAAATTTAAACTGCAATTTGTCTTAACTAAAACTATTTAAATATGAAGATAATACTAACAATCAAAAGCTTGTGTACTTACAATTAACTCTAAAGTCATTTTACTTTTCCAGCGCTTTTCGACATACATAAACAAATAACATTTTCACCTCCTACACTAAAGAACGCGGAATGAATATAATGGCGCTAAATTCAAATTATAAATTGCCAAAAAACATACTTTACTAGAGACTGTCGCTAAACATCATTTCAAAGATAAAAATACAACTATAAACAACTAAACACTAAATAAGGCCGTTTAAAATAAAACTTTTTCGTCAATAAAATATTTTAAAGAAAGCACAAATTTAGAGACAAAATATAAATATAAGTAATTCATTTATGCAATTGATATATTTGTTTTAAATGAGCATAAGTTTATTAAACAAGAAATATGATTTACATACCTGGAAATATCCAAAGAATAAAGGAATAATATATTTTATTTATGAAGTTTATTAATTGAAGTTGTTGATAGAAGTGACCGAGTTAGGGCGCATTTCTACCGACGACCCCGCGTCTTTGGATTACAGGATTTTAGCCAATCAAAATTTAGTATTTCTTTTTGTGAATAGCCAAAAGTTGTAAAAATTTTCCAAATAAAGAAGATTAATTAAACTGAGTAATCATGTGACATAAAAAATGACCGCCACAGTAATTGAGGTAATTTGAAGACGTGTGCTTGACCTCAGACCCTTAGGCCTTCTTGATAAAAAAGACAAAATCACAAAAGGGATTAACACTATTACGTAATTATTTGATTATCATGCTTATTGAACATCTGACTTTAAAAGCTCATAGAAAATTATTGACTAAAATACAATAGAAATCCATTAGTTGGACATGCCAATGTTTGTAAAAGAAAGTCCTTTTTTCACCTGTACAAAAACTGTTTTACATTGAATAACAAGAAAATCTTGAGTGACAAAATGATTTCTTTCACTGTAACAATACATGTATTTTGTGCTAAATTCTGACACTAAATATTCAAACACAATTTATATTTTTCTTCATAAAAGTTTCTTTTTAAAATACATATCTTTCCAAAAGTACTACATTCTCAAAAACAAAACATGAATTTATTGTAATATTGCATTATATACAATGTATCAAATAGTCATAACACCAAATTTTCTATTTTAATAAAAAATTGTGGGAAGACATTACCCATTACGTCATGTGTAACAACAAACCCAACTTTTAAATACCGACTTATGTCAAGGGTTTGTGTGAAGTTCCGAAATCACAAAACCTTGACATTGTGAGGATGCGGTTTCAGTGGTAATGCCGCGGCGATTACACTGGTGGCAGGATGAAAAGTCCATCTTCATATGACGTTGTTAAGCCAACGTCACCGTCATGGTTGGAAACCATTTCTGTTCCTCTCTGACAATGGATAAAATGTTCTATTGTGCAAAAATTAATAATAAATTGCAAAACATCATGTTGTTGCCTTTTTCTTCACTTCGCAATTCAATTACCAGACCTCATAGAACTTCTGTCAGCGCGCCATGATTACAAAAAAATTATATTGACTGTTAAAATGGAATAACAATGTGTATACATCCAGTGCATCAAGTAGTACTACAAAATCTGTTTCCAAACCCTACATCATCAATATGCACGTGGTTTTAGCTTTTTACAACTCTTTCTACATTTACGTGATATACATTTCACAGTTTAGTAATTTTGAACACCGATTTTAGTGCACAGTAACCAAAATTTACATCTGACCAATTCTTATAATTTTTGGCCACCCAGTTAAAATTATTTCGCATATTATGTAACCTTGCGTTTCTTTTTCCTTTCAGTATACTTAAAATGGTTAATTGGTCCTTAAAACCCTCAGCTATACTTATAAAACTATTGTGACAAATAATTCAAGTAAAGTATCTTTTTCATGTCTGGAAAAAACTAGCAATATCGACATCAGAAATGACATCAAATTTCCTAAAGAATAAATCTTGACTTAAACACAAGATTTGACTGTTTCATAAAATTTGAGAAATTATCGACGCAAAAATCAGTTTGCAAAACAAAACTTTGAAACAATTTTATTGAGGAAACAAGAGAGAGGAACAAACAAATCTAAATTATAGATCAGAAATGTTCCCTTTATATCCTACACAAATGAATGAAACAAAATATTTGATTAATGCAGTTTTTTTTTTTGTTGGAAAGTCACGTGTCCATTAGACAATATATATCAGAAAGATCAAGAGCAAGAGTCCCAATATCAGCTTCTTCAGCAGACTTATCCACCCCTCATAGATCCCTTCCTTGCTATTTGTGCCAGCTTGGCGTGACCGTAACGGATACCAGGTGTTTTCCTCCACTCGTAGTATCGCATCCTGAGCTCCTTCCCACTTTCCGGGACCATGCAAGCGCCATTGCGGAGGGGTTGTTCCCCAAAAATAAATCTTCCTCCAGAGGGCGTTGTCGGAGAAAAAGAGTCGCCATAGGGGAGGTTTGCATCCGATGCATCCAGCAATTTTATCCATATATGGTATGTAGTGAACGATGATTGTGTATCGTGATGACTCGATACCAAAGCGTCTCTTTGATAAGACATACTTCTGATCTACTTCTGCTACCCGTGTAGCCACAGAGGGAAGTTGACATTTTTCAGAAAAAACGCGCGTGGCCCATCGAGCCTGCATTTCTACTGTCGGAGGAACCGGACCAACCGGTTGAACGAGCCCAATGACAGCCAAAGTTGCTGGCTGAAGATCCACAGGCCACACTAAATCGTACAGGTATGGGAACGCATCATGGAGTTTGACAACACCTTCTTCTAAGAAATCGTAGCTGTACTTATATCCTGTTGCAAGAACTATTACATCAATATCCTTCAGCTCCGTGCCATCAATGAAAATCGCACCGTTCTCTGTGAATCGTTCAACTCCAGTTTTCATTGTAATCTTACCGTAGATGATCCGATTTGGAAGGTCGTCGGTAATGGAAACCGTTCCGCCATTGTACCTCTGGTTTGGAGACAGCCCGTACTTGTCATGGTTATACCTGTCGAAAATTCTGTGGTACATGAAAGGACGCATTAGAGACCAGGGAATGTGTTGTCTGAAGCGACAAAGAATGGTATGATCAAACGGACGACCCTCGTGATAGGTTCTTTGGAATACGTAAAATCCCTTTCTCGTGGACATGTAAAACTGGAAGGAAATATGATATATATAATGAATATATTACAAAATCTGAGGATACGGTGCACCACATACACATGAAGTCAATCGAACGTTAGAAAAAAGATACGCCAAACGGAGTGCAGAGATATTAGAAAAATGTTTTTTTACTTCTTATATTAATTTCGATGCTTCTTTAGAGATTCGAAAAGTTAAAGCATATACGGTATAGGGGGACATATAAAATATGTGCACTTCATAAAATAAATGAACTCATTCTTTTAAGAATTACAAACTGTAAATGCATAGAAATTTATGCATTGGGAGATTTTTCACAAAATGGAAATCTTTCACTGAAATACATTTTTCATTCACTGGTAAAAATGCGCTATCCTGGTATCGCGGGAATACAGTAACAATTCAGAAATGCTTCATATGATAATCTTTCTATGCTAAATCTTGTAACTTACATGTCCTGCGTGAAGACTCAGTTCTGACGCAACATCCATACCAGAGTTCCCATTCCCGATGAGTAAAATCCGTTTTCCTTCGTATCCGTAGAAATCCTTATAATCATGTGTATGGATCACTTTTCCCTTGAATCTCTCCAGGCCGAGGAATTTTGGAATATTTGGTTCATGTAAATGTCCATTACAAGCTAAGACAAAGTTCATCCTAGTGGTTTCTTTTTTACCCGTTCGAAGACTAATGCTCGTAATCAACCAGTCACCAGATTCGGAGAAATCTTCCGCTTTCTGAATTCTTTCAATAGAATGTTGAAATTTAATGTACTTTCTTAAATCAAACTTCTCAGCATACAGGTCAAGGTATTTCTTCAGGTAAACATGATTCATGAAGTTAGGAAACTCCTTAGGGACTGGAAAGTCACTAAAACACATAATCTCTTTGCTGGTGTTTGCGCTGCACGACTTGTACAGACTGGGCTCACCATCTTTTGGGATGTCCTTGTAATTCCAGAGTCCCCCAATGTTGGCGTCCTTCTCAAAACAAACCGGAAGTAGTCCCTCTTCAAGACAACTCTTTATTGATGTCAAACCAGACACACCAGCCCCCAAAATGCACACGGTTTTAGTCATCTGAGGAATAAGAAAAAATATTTGAATCAAAATTGCTAATTTCAAGTCTGCAAGTGTATGCATGTAGTTCGTGTGAATTCCATTTTCCGTATATCCAGATGTCGTAAATCTGGATTTTTTGTCCCCCGCTTTCACTGAAAGTGGGGGATATTAATTTGGGTCAGTCCGTCCGTCCGTCCGTCTGTATTTTCTGTCTGTAAAACTTTCGTTTGCGCGCGATATCTCGAGAACCCTTTGAGCTTTTGCATAGCAACCCCCTATGGACTAAAGAAGAACCCTATTAATTTTGAGGTCAAAAGGTCAAAGGTCAAGGTCATAAATTCAGTCTGTTTTAACACTTTCGTTTCAGCGCGATATCTCGCGAATTCTTTAAGCTTTTGCAATGAAATTTTACATAACTCCCTGTGGCCTAAGGAAGACCTCTATTGATTTTGAGGTCAAAAGGTCAAAGTTCAAGGTCGTAAATTCACTAATTCCGCCTGTGTCTAACACTTTCGTTTCTGGGCGATATCACAAAAATCTTTTGAGGTTTTGCAAAGACATTTTATACCATAACTCCCTATGGCATCTCTCGCCCCTCTCAAAGTGTCCCGCCCCGTTTTTTTTTTTTATTTATTGTATATTTAAAGTCGCTTGGCACTATTTTTAGCACAGGGGCATATGGAGAGTTATTACGTATAATACAGGTTGTCGGCCGACTTTATATTCTAATTACATCTATTAGAACTGTTTAGTAAAGTCTAAATTAGACAATATGTAATGTGTAAAATTTTGACAATATCGAACGTGAATATAAACATTATATGTGACCTAATGTTTGCATTTAATCAGACTTAACTCAGTATGAGTCATACGTATTATGGAAATGAGTAGATCATATGGAAATGAGTAGATCAACTTCTCGTTACATAGTCAAAGAAGCATAACTCTTACGACATTATCATTACTGACTTTTTTGTGTGACCTAGTGTTTGCCTTTAATTTGCTGTATAATCAAGTGCCTCCGTGATCTAGGGGTATGTTGCTGGCTTAGCAAGCGAAAGGCCCGGATTCAATCCCAGATCGATTCTATTTTTTTTTTTTTTTTTGATTTACTAAATGATACTATTCAACATGTGAAATGAAAAAGTTATGATGTCTGGCGTGTACAAACTCATAAAATTATTATTACAGTGTGATAAATATTCTGTATATTAAAAAGAATCTTCTATACACATATTAAAGAATAAGCAGTCAAATCTTTATATCCATATTGGCATTTTTTTAAATTTGCTTCAATATAAATGTATACATTTAATAATTCTACAAATACAGGGGGCAGTGTGACCTCCCCCCCCCCCCCCGAGTGCGCATGCTCTTCTTTTTTCCCTAACCGGGGGACACAAATTCTCTGAATTAGCTTGTTTTTTTTACTGTCCATTTTTTGCCAATTTCGCGCAAGTAATACATTTAAAAAATAATTTTTCTTGACAATGAATCGGCAAAAAATAAAAATTGATAATATTTGATGTGTCAAGACAATTCTTTATTGATGTCAAATCGGACACGCCAGCTCCCCACAATACACACTTGTTTTAGTCGATAAACATAGTTGAATAAAATGTCTAATTTTAAGTTTTTAAGTGTATGCATGTAGTTCGTGTAAACTCATTTACCGTATATAGAAATTTGGATTTTTTACTGTCCATTTTTTAGCAATTTTGTACAAGTAATGCATCTGCAAAATATTTTTTCTTGACAATTAATCAGCAAGAAATAAAAGTTGATAACATTTGATGAGTGGTTTCTTTTTCTTTGAAGGCGAATGTTCATTATGCCCAATTATAACCAATTTTGTTTTAAAATTTAAAATTATATGCATTGCCTATTGACTGTAAATTTTACATTTATCAATGCAAAAGAGTGGTTAGTTTTTTTTTTTTTTGTTTTTTTTGTTTTTGTTTTTTTTTAAATATTTATTTCAGCTTTCACATTTATATCAAATAAGCATATATCTTCACTCATGTGCATATTAAGAATACCATATACAGAGTACATTTACATACATAGATATACATTTACACACATACACTTATGTGAAAGTTGGTTTAATAGGGAAGAAGAAAAAGAAGAAAGAAGAAATAGAGGAAAAGGAGGGAGAAAGTAAAAAAAAGAAAATAAATAAATATAATAAAGAAGGGGGCATAGTATTTTTTTACATTAAGGTGGTAATGAGCAACATTCATTCCTTTAAAAATTTACTATATATATATATATATATATATATATATATATATAAATTACAACATTTCACATATTCTCTGCCAGTTATTTTCAAACTCTGTATATTTACATTGTTTCAATAGTAAAAATTTCTCAATCAAGATTCTTTCCACAATAATTGTTTTTAGAGTCATTGTACTTAAAAGTGGATGGTTTTTATATTTACTTGAAAAAATATAATTTTTAATTATCAGAGTAATTAAATTTTGCACTTTATGTGTATCCCTGTTCTTATATTTACCAAATAATATTGTTGTTCTGTCAAAAACTACAGATATGTTAAACTTAGACAGAAACCACTCTTCAATATCATTCCAAAGCTCTTTTACTAAATAACATTCAATAAAAAGATGGTCAATTGACTCAATGTCATTCTTACAGAAACTGCAAGCTGGGGACTCCTTTATCTTAAGTTTAAAAAGATATGAATTTGTTGGAACTATTCCATGTAAAATTTGAAATTGTAACCACTGAAGTTTTGATTTTTGTGTAACTTTAAATGGGAGTTCAAAAATTTTACTCCATTCAGGCAAAGTGAATAAATATCCATCTTCATTCCATTTTAAAATTGAAGTACTTGTTTCTTTCTATTTCTACAAAAACTGTCTGCCAAGATGAATTACCGGAGTCCTTACCTGTAAAGTCCGCATCCAATGAATCTACAAAAACTGTCTGCCAAGATGAATTACCGGAGTCCTTACAAAATAGAACAATAAACATCCACGGAATTTATGGACTGTTTAATTAATCATTAAAGGGGTTTTATCACGTATCTAATTTTCTTAAAAATGAAACACTATCATATTCTTGAAACATATAATTATCGTTTAATTATGAAATAATGTTGAAAATGGTCGTAATTAGACGATAAAGCGCCCGTAATATAGGGTCCTCGAAGTAAAAATCTCCACTAATTAGATAGGGGTCACGTGGTAAATAATGTAACGTAAAGTTTTGTGACAATTTCACACGATTATGGTTGTTAAATTATTAATGTAAAGATTCTAGTCCGCAAGTTGTTATGACGTCCGCATTTTTTATTTACATAGTAACGTAGCCCGCAATTTTTACTTCATGTATAATCATTTCAACTAGACTGAAGCTAGCAGCCAATAACAGCAGCCATTAAGCCCGTAGAAGCTAGCAGCCACTAAGGAAATTCATCAAAGGACTGAGAGTACTCTGACGCAATACTGTTTAATGCCTCATTTTCGACAATTTATAATTAATAATTAGATAATTAATGCAACACTTAATTATTAATTAATAATTCAAACACTTGGAGGCAGTTAAGCTCACCTGCATAAGGAAAATTATGCGGTTTCACAACAAACAAACAAACAAACAAAAAGAAGAAAATGTCACCATCTTTGACCGCTTAAGAATAAAACAGCATTGGATAGGTTAAGTACTTCCGAGAGAATCACTTTTAGGCTCTTTTACGGGTCTCAGGAACATGATGGTGCCAAAAGGCTAACCTGAAATTTGCTTACTTCTAATATTTACATTGATAAGGGTTTGAAGGTAATTTAATCTATTTTAAGTTATGATCCTTGAAGTGTACTTCGAACAATTACTGGCTCAAGGTAAAAGGGTCCACAGGGCTATTATATACGGCCATAAAATTTAGGCTGAAGTGGTACCACCAAGTGGTGCCAAGGGCGGGTTACGTATTTCAAGCAGCTATTATACCTCTTATCTTATAAGTGTGCTTTAAATCATTACTGTGCAAGATAGAAGATTTCTAGGACTATCTTTCCCGCAATCGGTTTGAGGCTGTAACGGCACCACCAAGTGGTGCCAACGGTGGAGAACATCTTTCATGCTTTCATTTTTCAACCATCATTGACCACTAGAACAAACTATCACTTAACTGGAAAAAAGTTAAGGGCCTTAGGGAGTATCCTTTGTCAACTTTTTGACAGGTTCCAATGACTAGAAAAGGCCAGTTAGGTAACCTGAAATTTGTTGTTTTTCACATTGTCTATTGATATACGGATTAAAAGTCAGATGTTATACCCCTTATCTTTGAAGTGTGCTTCAAATCATTACTGGGGCAAGGTAGAGGGCCCCTAGGACTATCATTTCCCGCTATCAGTGGGTGGGGCACGTATTTCAAGCATTCATATTGAAAGCATCTTTGGTTACTAGAACAAAGTAACACTAGTGAAAGGTTTAGGACATAAGAGAGAACAACTTGCCAGGTTTCTGAAGGGTCCCGACAAAGAGAAAGGGCCAGTAAGCTAACCTGAAATTTGTTGTTTTTCGTTTGTGTTTTAATATACGGGTTAAAGGTCAGCTATTATACCTCTTATCTTTGAAGTGTGCTTCAAATCATTATTGGGGCAAGGTAGAGGGCCCTTAGGACTATCATTTCCTGCTATCAAAATGTTGCTGTAGTGGTACCACCAAGTGGTGCCATGGGTGGGGCACGTATTTCAAGCATTCATTTTGAAAGCATCTTTGGCTACTAGAACAAAGTAACACTAGTGAAAGGTTAAGGACCTTAGGGAGAAACACTTGCCAGGTTTTCGAAGGGTCCTGTTGAAGAAAAAGGGCCAGTTAGCTAACCTGAACTTTGTTGTTTTTCACTTTGTGTTTTAATGTACGGGTTAAAGGTCAGTTAATATACCCTTTATCTTTGAAGTGTGCTTCAAATCATTACTGGGGCAAGGTAGAGGGCCCCTAGGACTATCATTTCCCGCATTCAGAATGTTGCTGTAGTGGTACCACCAAGT